TATGGGTTCGAGTCACTTCTGGGGTGTGAGTTTTCATTCGCATATAGTCCTGGGGACCATTCAGGCTTGTTCGCATATATATATATATATATATATATATATATATATATATATATATATATATATATATATATATATATATATATGACCTTCTGAAGATGTATTTAATATACGAAAGTACTTAAGGAAATTTCCTGTTTCATTTTTCCTCCGTGGTCTGACATTGTCACATTCTTAATCACGTGTTTATTTTCGTGATATACACACACACACACACATATATATATATATATATATATATATATATATATATATATATATATATATATATATATATATATATATATATATATATATATATATATATATATATATATATATATATATGTCTCATTGAATATGACCGCATATTCTGTATTTACTATCTTTTGATTTATGATTCTCAATACACATGAGAGAATGTGCAGTGACTTAATATCTAACATATTTAGAGATTTGAGAAGGGGTGCCGAGTGATATCTGGGGCCAGAGTTGGATATTGTCCTAATAGCAGCTTTGTGTTGAGTAATTAGAGGACGTAAATGATTTTGGGTAGTAGAACCACAAGATCAGATACCATAGTTGAGATAAGGATAGATGAGAGAGTAGAGTGTCACCAGGGCAGGGCTGGGTACATAATATCTGTTCTTAGAAAGAATGCAACAGTTTTTTAATCTTTTTTTGATATATTTAGAATGTGTCCCTGGAAATTCAGTTTGTGGTCAATGAGAACGCCAAGGAATTTGCCATCTACTTTGATTAAATCAAAGTAGATGGCTATCAAAACCATCTACTTTGATTAAATCAAAGTAGATGGCTACTACTATAAAATCAATTTTAAACATGTGTGTATTAACGCAAATGTTTCTCATTTATAACTTAATATTATGTATTAAAAATTTATGTATAGTTAGGCGTAGGTTACGTTAGGTGTTTAGGTTCTACTGGCATTTATTTGAATTACGTGGATGAAGCATTTAGTTGCGTTTCGAACAGAAATCTTCGAACGTCATCAGTTAAGTTGTGTGTATCCCGTTTTTCACACGTAAATAAGGGGCTTGGCAGCTGTATTAACGACCATCCAAGGCTGTTGTTGATGAAGACTGGCTGATATTTGCTGATATGTGAACAGCGGCATGAGGTGAAAGGTAACGTATCCAATAAAAACATTTCTGTCTAGCTCGAGAATCGAAACAGAATGTCGAGAACGAAGCCAACTATGCTACGATAATCCCTGAGCCCATTATGTGCCTCTGTAACCCTTTCCACTACCGCCCACAAGATGGGTATGGGGTGCATAATAAATGAACTAAACTAAAAATAATCAGACCCATCTTCGTCAACAAATGCCAAATGCATGTTAATACAGTCGCCAAACAACCTGTTTACGAATGAAGAACGGTTTACAAACGACTTGCAACTGATGACGTTCGGACAGTGCTTCGCTGATGACCGCTGTTTCAATTGCAACACTGTAAATGATTCACTCACATACTTCAAATAATCTCCAGTAGAACCTAAACACCTAAACTATGCTGAGCTATACTTAACCTTTATAATATTAATACATAAATAAGAATAATTCAATTTTTAATACGCTAAAATTTGTGAATGTGTCTTTGGGGGCGGCTGCAGCCTTAACTATGAGACTCTTGGTGAGTGATTGATGAAGATTAAGTCACCCAAGAGGTGGCATGGGCATGAATAGCCCGTAAGTGGTAGATTTTTTGGGGTAAATGTGATGGAAACTCTTGTTGTTGTTGTTTTAGATTCAGCTACTGGAAAGAAAAAGTTGTAAGTAGCACGGACTATGGTGAGCCCGTAGTGGACTTATACCTGGCACAAGAGCGGGGCTGTGGTGAGCCCGTAGTGGACTTACCTGGCACAGGAGCGGGTCTGTGGTGAGTCCGTAGTGGACTTACCTGGCACAGGAGCGGGGCTATGGTGAGCCCGTCTTGGACTTACCTGGCACAGGAGCGGGTCTGTGGTGAGCCCGTAGTGGATTTATCTGGCACAGGAGCGGGGCTGTGGTGAGCCCGTAGTGGACTTACCTGGCACAGGAGCGGGTCTGTGGTAAGCCCGTAGTGGACTTACCTAGCACAGGAGCGAGGCTGTAACGTGCGATGGAAACTCAGTTTCGACACAGAACAGACAGCAGACTAGCACCGCATCGAGCTACAACGCTCTCCCACATAGAGCTCCGCGACTCCGGCCACACTCAGCTCTCTGCCCTGCTCCAAGCTCCGTCTCAACGTCTACGACACTGCTGTATCCAGGACTACTAAATAAATATGAAACTCACTAAACACTGTGTATCTAATCTACCCAACAACGTAACAATTCCCTTTATATATATATCTATTTATGGTGATGGTGAATACATTGGTGAAGGAAACAGTGTTTTGTTCATTCCCCCCCTTGTTATTCGTGCATTATCTGACCAATTCCTTGAAAACCACTACCGACTCGGTCGGATACCACACACAAGTTCATCCATCAAGAACCCGGTTACTAGTCCTAAGTGGCCGTAACACTCTGGAACCTCGGAAACAAAGACCCGCAAACTGGGGATCCAAATGGGATCACATACGAGGCGAGTGGTCGCCACGCGCCCTCACAGGAAGGAAAGCCTCGGAGCACGAAAGGCCGCCAGACATCACAGACGCCGGCAACACATCCTCCGGGACTCCAACAGACATCACGGGAGGGCGTGGCAGAGGGCAACACCACAGGGGCCCCCGCGGCAACGTCCACACAACCAGGCACCGTCAGGAAACCCTTACGGCGAGCATCCTTCCTCATTTCACCACCAGGCCACGGCCCGCACCATCCACGGCATGTGAATCCACCACCCCCCACTCCGGAGAGCCACCTGGAGAACAAACAGAAGGCACGTTAGAGACACCGGCATCAGCAGGCACATGGACCTCCGCCACCACCAACTGCAGAGATTGCAACGCACCCGGAACCACCCCCGTCGACACCCGAAGACTCGGTCATTGGAATCACCCACATCCTCCCAGGCTGAAAATGAACGCCGGGAGCGCTTGGGCTCCGGCCGTACATAGTAAATTTTATTCAGGAAAGTACATACATAGTTGTTTTACAAACATAATGTTGGATTTATAGATCATCAGAGCCGGAGGCGGACCCAGAAACACGGGCACCACCAGCCGGGCGCACCGACGCCCGACGCAGAGCGGCAGTAGCTTCTACCACGGGGGGAACCGGGCCGCACACAGCAGGAGGCGCCGCAGCCTCCTAATCACCCAGCACAGCCGTGACACAAGGCGAGGGCGCAGGGTCAGGCACAGCAGCAGGAGACGAGGAAGACGACGACTCGCAGAGAACACCGGAAGATCCACGGCAACAGCCGGGCCAGTGACAGGAGCAGGAAGACCATCTGACGACACAGCAACATTCGTAGGCGCGTTGGACGATGCATGGGGAGCAGCATCAGCGAACGGGACGCCCACATCCTCACCCACGGAGGCCATGGGGAGCGGCGGGAAATCCTCTTCCCGGGACAGGTTCACGGGAGTGACCGCAGCCTCGGAGCACCCGGCAGCTTGATGCCCCAACAGGCCACACCTAAAACATATTCGGGGTTGCCGGGCATAGTACATCCGGACGTAGGGAAATTCGACTGTGGTGGACCTCGATATAAGCCTAACATGAATTATCTATACACAAGCTGCCTGTCCTCGACACGATGAATATTAATTATTATTATTTATTATTATTAATAGTCCCCGTGATGTAGTGGTAAGTCACTCGCCTAGCGTTTCGCGAGCACTTTGTCCTGGTTTCGTCTGGCCGGGGAGGATTTGCTGGGCGCAAATTCTAAACTTTAGCCTCTGTTTACCCAACAGTAAAATGGGTACCTGACTGTTAAACGATTTGGCGAGTCGTATTCCGGGGAACATAGGATTGGACTTGCCCAAAATGCTATGCGTGCTAGTGGCTGTACAAGAGTGTAAGAACTCTTGTATAGATAAATAAATAGTGTATCCTGTCCTTAAACGCTTCCTAGAAGATTGTAACAGAACCCATGGGCACCACATCAGAAACAAATACCAATTTGATATTCCAAGAGTGCTACTTAATCAAACTAGAAATGCTATGCAAATCAAGGGGACCCAGAATGTGGAATAATCTTCGCAGTTATGTCAAAGGCTGTACCCCTCTCAACCAGTTTAAGAGAAAAACACTATACAACCTAGTAAACTCTACGTAACCAGCTACCTTTCCCTTTAAATGTCAACCCATGTCTTGCTATTTTCAAACGATACTGTTTGTTGACCATGTTTTTGTATAAGTGCTGATTCCCACCATGTTTTCCTCCCCCCCCCATCTTCTTCCCTTCTTCAACTCAATTTATATTTTGATTTCAATTAGTATTTTTAGTCTGTGTCCCCCCTCCCCCCACTCCTTGCTCAAAACGCTGTGCGTAGTCGTGACTTTAGGCATAGTATGTACTAGCTCTATCTAGAAATCGAACATTATGTTTGTAACTCGTATGTATGTACTTTTGCACATTTGGTTTGATTTAAATAAAACAATGAAATAAATAAATTACCGTATATTTTTACCTAATGGAATTAAGCGTCACATCCTTTAGATAGTTGGAAAAGCTGATTGTTTGGAAATGCCAGGGTTGCTAATTTTTTAACCTAATTTTGTTGTATGCAATTGGTAACATATATTAAAAAAAACAGCAAAATCTGTGTTTATCACAACAGTTCCATAAAGGTTTTCTATGACAGCTTGGCGTCTGACGGCCTCTGCTTCGAATGGTTGCACTCTTGACTTCGTTTTTATTATTTGTACTGCATACTTTAATTAAGTATTACTTTTAAACAATAAAATATTTTTTAGTAAATTGTATGATATAAAATGTAATAATGTTGATACCTAATTAGACCATATATTAGCTGTGAATTTAGGTAGTAAAGGGATGTTGAAGCAATCGGATACAGAAATGTCTTCTGCTGGATGAAAACACTGCTAGCAACCAGCAACCTCTGGAGAACTCTTTATATTGCTGTATATTATAACTCTCGCACAACTAAGGACGACTCTTGGCACTTTATCCACTATAGGAAAGCCAAGATTTCCCCCCAGGCACGAAGAGACACGTTTCATCCATACGTCAAAGTACGTAGCGTCATGTGAAGGGAAGGTGTCAGTACTTCACTAGTTAGATACAAGGATCAAGAGGCGTGTTATGTGGAAAATGACTTTTGACAGTTTTGGTGGTCAGGGTGTGTGTACGCGTGGCTTGGTGGCATTTCAAGCTGTAGTTTAATTATGAAGGAACAGAGAGCCTAGAGTGGCGTGTGTAGCCGGTGTGGGGGTGAGGGGAGGGGGAGGGTGCTGGGTCACGAGGGTTGCAGATTGATATCTTGCAACTGAGTAATAATGACAGTTTATTTGCATTATGTGTGTATGTGGAATGTTAATATACATGCATTATTTAGCAGTTTGATTGTTTTTACTATACAGTATATTGTTAATAGTTCCGTGGTTTGTCTTTACTATACAGTAAATTGTTTTTCAGATTGATATCTTGCAAATGAGTAATAATGACAGTTTATTTGCAATGTGTGTGTATGTGGAATGTTAATATACATACATTATTTAGTAATTTGATTGTTTTTACTATACAGTACAGTATATTGTCAATAGTTCCGTGGTTTGTCTTTACAGTATATTGTTAGTTCTTCCGTGGTTCCATCTTCCTTGGCCTGGGCTATGAGAATGTGGTGTGCTTTATTTATTTATATAGATATACATGAAGGTACAATGGGTTTATGAGAGTTCATAGCATTGATGTTTTTGCATTCTTGTAAAGCCACTTAACACGCATAGCATTTCGGGCAGGTCCTTAATCTAACAAATAATTATATGTAGGTAATTTGTAGCAAAATGGAAAAAGTTAAGATACACTATAATAAAATTTTGAAGAAAATTAGTAGGTACATTTTAGTAGAATTTGAAGATTATTGACAGGTACATTTTAGCATAATTTGAGGATTATTTGTAGGTATATTGTAGTAAAATTTGCATTCAACATCACAACCATGATATAAGATGATGGCAGTAATCACAACAGTGAAGTTACATAACTTAAACACATATTTTGGGGTAGCACACGATACAGTGCAAGTGTGAAGTACTAGGTAGAAAATGAAGAGGATGAAATTGGGTACTTTTTGGTGTTACAGTACTTTTGAATAAGGGGTAGGTAGGACAGCTTTTTATATTATATCAAACTAAAGTAATCATACTAAGTAATTAAACTTAAACTTCATTCTCGGGAATAATTCAACAATTGTCTGAAAAATGTGATATAATCTAATGTAATTGCTTAAATTAAGAAACTGGCACATGGGTGTGGGGAGAGGATGCCAACATCAACCTACAAATATTTCTTAACAAAGCTCTTAAGACTGTATAATACATGCAGTCCCATGCTAACTAACCTTTTTTTACTGTCAAGACATGACATCTATATAGTATGTGTATAAAAACCTGCTCGGATGCGAATGGAAAGTTGTGTGAAAATTTCAAAGCTATTGGTGAAGATCTTTCGGAGATTAGCGGTTATGCATAAATGAACATTTCCATTTTTATTTATATAGATGTTTATACAAAGAACATAAGACAGAAGATAAAGCAAAAGTTGTAGGTACAAAGGTTGTACAGTACTGTACATAAAAATATAGCTACTATTATGGGAAGTGTTTTGGCCAAAAAGAATGTTAGATAAAATTATTTATAGTTATAATGGGGTAAAATGAAATTAATACTAAATGAGAAGTATGCTAATATGAGAGAGATGTTCAAAAGAGATATAACAATGTTATACAATAAAACGGTGATTCTAACGATGACAGGCATGATCTACTACATTATATAATCTGTAGTTTAAGTAACAACACAGAAAAAGATTTTAACACTAATAATAGCAAGGATATACAAAGGTGCAATTCAGTCAAGCCACTAGAACATAACACAGTAAATGAGTAAAATTTAAAGGTTTAATGGGATAAACATTTAATAATAAAGAAGAGGTAAGGTAACATATATGACTTGAATAAGCAATTTAACAAAATTTAAATCATTAATGAGATGATACCTAATGATACTTATCATTTAGGTATCATCTAGTTAATGCAACACTTTGGAGGCCAGCATCCTGCATAAGGCAGGATGCATAAGAGTCCAACATCCAGCATAAGGCAGTCCCCGTGGTGTAGTGGTTAAGACACTCGCCTGGCCTTTTGTGAGCACTTTGTCATAGGTTCGTATCCTGTCTGGGGGAGGATTTACTGGGCGTTCTGTTTAACTCGACAGTAAAATGGGTACCTGGTTGTTAAAGAATTTGGCAGGTCATATTCTGGGGAACATATGGTTAAGGACTTGCCCGGAATGCTATAAGTGCTAGTACTCACCTAATTGTGCTTGCGGGGGTTGAGCTCTGGCTCTTTGGTCCCGCTAGTGGCTGTACAAGAATGTAAGAACTCTTGTATATATACTGTATGTGTGTAAATCACGAAAATTAGCACGTGATGAAAAATGTGACAGTGTCAGACCACGAAGGAAGAAATGAAACAGGAATTTCCTCAATTACTTTTGTATTTAATAATACATCTTCAGAAGGGTCTATATATACCCAGATTATATATTTATATATGTACTGTATGTATAAATAAAAATAAAAATAAAAAATGAATAAAAATCACTTCATTACTTGCAATCTTACAACAGTGACGGGTACACGAGGATGTTTCTGCAAATAATGATACTTCTCCCACACTGCCAATTAACATTAGTATTGTGCATGGTAGTATACATGGTCAACTTCTCTGTCATTGTAATGGCATGGTGGTCATGAACACACAAATATTTAGGGTCAAATTACCTACCAGTATTTACTCACATGTCTGCTCACCCTAAACTCTCCCAGGGTACTTGGTATTGTAATAACTCACAAGTTATTACAATACATTTTAAATTCATGTATTGTTTAACTGTAACTTATATTAATGATTATGTTTCAGATATGATGAAGTGCATATAGAGTTTTAATAGAACAAACAAGTGCTGTGTTTAACCATGACTGCAGATGACAAATCTGATGGCTCAGGATCTTCAGAGGGATCTGCAGCAAGCCTTGGAGCTATTGAAAAAATGTGTGCAAAAGAAAATAATGTGCGAGCTCGAGTCGGTCTGTACATGAAAGATGGAATAAAGCTTAGAGCAGACTTTCATGCCCTCTATAGAGCTTTACCAGACTTAAGGTATAATATATATATATACTGTATATCAGTGGTTGTCAACTTTTTTTTTTTGAAGGTGCTCTTAGCCCATTTATCATACATTTTTTGGTACTCCTATTTCAACGTTAGGATTTATACCTGCTTAAAGGAAGTAAAGTGCATATATAAAAGCCATGCCCTTGGCAGTGTTCCAATTGGGAAGGGAACAAGGAAGGATGCAATCACAGATGTGGCCAAAGAATGTAGAATTTAGAATAATAGTAAATATAGTTGGTTACTATCATAGTGGTAATGTGGAAGTAATTGTAGCTAATGTATAATAGTTTAAGAATGCATCATAACGTAATTTGCCGAGAAGTAGATGATAAAAAAGAGAGGAAATTATGAAAGTACAGTATTTGATGTAAAGTACAGTATGTGAATGACAATACAGTAATTGTTAAATAATAATACAATGCAAGAATTACGTAATTTGAAATTGTTTTAATGATATTTATGCTTAACGCTATCGCGCGCCGGGCATGAGCGCCGCCAACTTAGAGGTCACGTCCCAGGCGTGCGGGCGAGCGTGCGGGCAAGCGTGCAGCGACACTGAAATGTGTATACTCGTTTCAGTTTTCTCGCCTTAATTCTCGTGCTACGTCATTCGTTTTGGTATCATTGTGTTCGCAATAGAATTCCCTACAGGTGTATAAGCATATAATGTCCAAAAGCCTGGCGTGATTCCCTGCAGGATAGCCTAAAGTTACCCGTAAACGAACACCAATTGGCACACAGCAATGTAATGTGTATACTCGTTCAGTTTGATAACATCAATTTTCGTGTTAGGTCCTCATTTTGGTATCAAATTGTTCGCAATATAAAGGCACGTATTTTAAAACTATTCCCATAACAATAGAGCAATAACTGGAATTTTAACATATTTTAATTTTGTATGCTCATCGTCACAAAATTATTGATATCTTTCCAGTGTTCTGACATAAATTTTTGTGTTACATCTTTCATTTTGGTATCAAATTGTTTGCAATGTAAAGGCGAGCATTTTAAAACTAGTCCCAAAATAATAGCACAATAAATAGAATTTTAACAAATATTTTAAAATTTTGACCAAAAATGTATTTATACTCTTTCAAGTGTTCTGACATCAGGTTTCGTGTTACATCTTTCATTTTGGTATCAAATTGTGTGCACCCTAAGGGCACTTATTTTCAAACTATCCCGAAGTCGATCGAATAAAAAATGAATTTTATACAAATATTTTTGTATTGGACACGAGCGCTGTCCACGGCTAGGACTCGAGAGAAAAAAGTGGACGTGAGCGTCCACTTTTTGAATTTTCTTGTCTGTGATTTTGAGATGCTCATAGTTCAGAGGTATAATCTTTTTGTTGTAGTAGTATTTGGAAGCTTGTCTGTGTTCGTTTTTCTAACTCAATTTCCAGAGCCTTAGCTTGAGCATTGATTTTGTCTGATGAAGACAAAGATATTTTCATTCTACTACTGTATATTAAAATGCTAAAAAGATCTAAATAAGATAACTTGGCACATTAGATATTATCAGTCAGTATTTAAAAAAATTGTGCTTTTCTTAAGGTTAATGGACATGAAACAGTAGTTTTTCTCTTGATAACCACCTGGTTTGTGTGTAAAGGATAAGGTTCATGTATTGTGACCCAATTTCTTCACAAAACTCTTGATGTAATTCACCATTTTTACAACTTTTTCTAATACAGTTTTCCATTTGTGTGCTAGTGTTCTTGCAACCGATGCTCCACAATGCAAAAGCAATATTTCATTATATATACATTACTGGCAGTGTCTTTTCACCAATGAGAAAAATCCTTTAATTGGGAAATACCATACAGTACAAGAAAGGCGGTCAAAGATTTACAATAATGAAAACATTTTCTCACTTGCCATATCTTATTCATGGCACATTAATGCCGTTGTTTAATATTGTATTATTTTTATAGAAAGAAAAAAGATCGTCGGAAGCTTAGAAGGAAAGCAAAATCTAACAGACATCATAAAGATAAAAAGAAAAAGGTTAGTGATGATGTTTTTGCTATTAATTTATATTATTAATTACAGGCCAACCTTACTTAGCCAGTGTCTGTACTGTACTAAGAATGTCTAGCAATAATTCATGTCTTTAATTAGTCAAATTTTTCATATAATAAATATTTTCTCTCAAATAAAAATGACCTTTTCTGTGGAGAGCCCCTCTGGCTCCCTGGAGCTATACCGGGCTGATACGTATGTATTAGTCCGTGACATCTGTCAATTTGATTGGAGGGTTAGCCTACCAGGGACCACGAGCCAGAACCTGGCTCCTTCAGAGGCACAAGGAGCAATAGCCTATAGAAACCCCCATGTGGTTGGAACCATTCTATGTTTGCCATCTACCGGGTTAGGCATCCAGAAAGGTAGGCATCCCAAAACAGACCCCAATTGGTGAAACATTGCTACCAAAAACCGAACTGCTAAGCAGTTCTGTATCTGAAAACTATCTGAAAACAACCAAACAAGCATGAGCCCCAGATCCCCCACGCCGGCTATTCAATCTCAGTTCAGAGGCTGATGTGTTAAGTGGTGGTCGTTCGACTCTGGCTCTTGTCTCTGAACAGTGCTATGCCTTGCGGTGTTATTCTGTTGTGTTGTGGTGTGCAAGCCAGGAGCATTTCAAGAAGTATATTCACTGCACTGGTCGATGCAGTGCTCGCTCTGCGCATCAGTTGGTTTCTCGAAAGGGGCGTCAGCCTTCTCGTGGTTTGCCCTGTTGACAGGATGATTGGGGAAGTGGGGGAGGCTCACGCTGTTTTCACATGCCTTGTCCCACAATTTGTGGGTGTTTCAGGTAGTTTCCTCCGGCCTGCAGTGGCATTGGGTAGCTCCTCATTCGGGGTGTTGGGGTTCGCCGGGCAGGCCTCTTCTGCGCTCTGTCAGGTCATCTTGGAGTGTGTGCACTTGAGCGTGATCGAAATGACAATGTCTGTCAGGTGGGATTCCTGTCAGGGGGTTCAAAAAAGCATGATGCTGTGGTGACATCATGCTTGTTTGTTTTTGATTGGGGAGTTCTGCTTGCTAGTTCAGCTTTCAGTTTGCAATTTTTAACCAGCTGTAGTTTGTTTTGGAATTCCTACCTTTCCGGTTGCCTGACCTAGTCGATGGCAGACATAAACTGCTTCCAATTACATGGGGGGTGTTTATAGGCCATTGCTCCTCATGCCTCTCTGAGGGGCGCCAGGTTCCAGCACTGGTCCCCAGTAGGCCTAGAACTCCATTGACTGACTGTTGCCATGGTCTAATATATGCAGATCAGCCCGGTATAGCTCCAGGGAGCCTCTGGGTCACGCCCAGAAAATGGTGTTTCATTACATTCAATGCTGGTTTTATTTATTATATATATTTTATATATTATAGAGTTTATATTTTATAGAATTATTCTATATATTTTTATGAAAATATGTTCAAAGATTAGTTTCATTTTAAATGATAACTTACTTTTTGGCAATTACAGTACCAATATTGCAAAATAGACATATAAAGTAATTAATGTTTGAGAGAGAGGCCCTAGGTGCTGTAGTTTATGCCCTCAAACACATTTTTGTGAGTATCCTTTTTTAATAAATTTTGTAAAAAGAGTAAGTCCTTAAACATTAGTTTTTATTCATAATTTTTACTTTATGACATAATTGTTAGCAAAAAATACAGAATATAGTAGTATAATGTTCTGTTATAATTCAGTGTTAGGAAAATTTTAAAGAAATTGTTGCATGTACACATGTATGTGTACCGTAGTTAGAGTATTTGTGTCCACAATAGGAGACAAAGAGCGTGATGAAGAATATGATAAAAGCCGTGTGCTCCACCCATCACTTGCTGAGATTCCAAATATGTTGCCACCTAGAGTTTATAGGTGCCTAGTGCCTAGATTTTATATGTGCCTAGAGTTTTTTTGCCTTTATAGAGAGTGCCTTTATAGTGCCTAGAGTTTATATGAATTGACAATTTTAAGTTCTGAACTATGCTATCAAGTAATTGCCTTTGCTTTTACATAAGGTCTTGAGAATTATGTTAAAAAATTAAGCCCTCAAGTGTATAATGATATTTTATATTGCCTATTTTTATCTTAGGGTGGAGACAAGCTTGCCGACTATTTTTATAAACACACAACAGATTTTAAGATTGTGAACATTTTAGAAAGATGAAGAAATAGCCTCCACTCCATGCCTTGTCACTCACTTCAGTTGGTGCTGTGCGAGTGAGTGTATCTCTGAATAAGGGATATAATGTTCCAAGTGAAAAACAAGAGAGAGTTGTTTACTGGCCGTTTTTTTTCAACATGGCATCAAGAAATAAAAATGAAGATATTGATAATTGTATACGTAATGTGAGCAATGAAAGGTACAAACTCCTTGCAAAGTGTGGAAACTTAAATAAAGTTGAATTGCTCAGTGAGAAAAATGAGAGAGAGAGAACTGCCAAGATAAATTCTGGTCGTCGTTATTCGGTTGGTGACAGATTTGTATCGGGTTTAACAAAGACACACGAGAAAAGAAGATCATCATGTACTCCAAGTCTGTTGTCAGTTCCAGGAGCAAATTATTCTACAGTTTCTGCTGGCTTTTATGGTAATGCTTTTGAAAAGAGGCGGCATTCTCATGTTGGCATATCGACACAGCCTAATGTGGTTGGTAAGACAGGAGAGCTTGGGGTTTCCCAGTGTAGGAGAAAGTCCATGATATGCTTGGAAACAAACAAATCTCAAAGATTTGAGGCCCAACATTCCATGGAGGTCAGGAGTCGATGTGCTTTAAGTACAGGATTACATGTGGTTCAAGAAACAAATTCTATCAAAACCATTCCTTCATTTGTGCCATCAAAAGCATCAACACTGAGAAATAGTGACAAAATAATTCAGAAGTGTGTTGGTTTTTCAGTTGATATTACAAACAAGGAAAAGGAAACTACATTAAAATCAAACGAATCACAAATCGACGAGCCATGTAGCTTGTATGCATATGGTGAAGAAGCAGCAATACCATTTTCAGAAACTGCAGTTGATCATCAAATTAACATTTTAGAGGATTCTAAAATATTAAAGGATAAAAATTTAGTTTCTCTTTCTTTAAAAAATACGTGTGCTAGTAAATTGACAAGCAAAAGCACTGTGCTCCAGTATAGTAACAGTTCAGGTGAAAGTGAACAAGGAAAGGATGACTTATTGTCAAAATCTGTTTCATTTCCTTTAACAGAAGAATTGACTCTCAAATCTCCCAAGATGAAATCTCATTTGTCGTCATCAGGTCAGCTTCCTTCAATGCGACAGAGGAGAAAAGCAGTAAGCTATATCACAGAGAGTCATCCTGTCTTTGAACTCTCACAGGAGATCGTCAAAACAGGTGTGGAAGCCGGTAGTAAGTTGGCTGATGGCAGATGCGAAGATGTAGACCAAGATACCGGTATTTGTACACAGTCATTTGAACTGATAGAGAGAGATGAATCTTCAAGTAATGCAAGAAAATGGAATTTTGAAAATATCAGTAACTCTTGCTGGAATAACTTTTATAATTTTAGAGACTTAATTTCATCTACTTCTCTTCAGAATTGCCATTGTTTGAGCATCATGAATATTTGGATGGTATGAATTGGCATTTTTATTGTTTTTACTTTGTACATTGTGGGTTCTAATCCATTTTCTGTGGGGAGCCCCTTTGGCTCCCTGGAGCTATCGGGCTAATATGCGAATCGTTAGATCGGGGAATTAGTCTATGGAGTTCTGTCTAATGATTCACATATTAGCCCAATAGCTCCAGGGAGCCTCTGGGGCTCACCCAGAAAATGACGTTTCATTACATTCAATGCTGGTTTTTTATGATTTGGACTGTGGTGACTTAGATATCACAGTCTGCAATTGTTGAACAAAATATTTATATTGTATTCAGATTGCAAGTTACATTCTAATTTTTCTTAATGCTAAATGTAAGGGTATATTAATATTATTGCATTTTTAAATTTGTCATGAATATGAAAACAATAGTAAATAAAAAAATAAAAACAATAGATGGATGCCTACTACTAGTTACATACTATGCTCCTAAAACCCATTTTTTTTGTTTTTTACAGGGAGAAGTTGGTGGTGGGAGCAATACCTGCACCAGCCTAATGCCGGTCCTAGAACTCCCTGGAAACCCTTCGTCATTTGCGGTGTATGCTCACGTGCGAGGACTTGTGCTGGAGAATGCTGCACGCCAGGCCCAGGGTGTTTACTTGGCAACAACCCAGCCTCTTCCATCAGACTCTGATACTGATGATGAAGCCGACAAAGGAAGGGAACTTGCAATACAGATTCCAAAAGTATTTAACTGGCATTGAATTTTGTTTGATCATGTTTGCTATTGCCTATAGAAAAATCTTTCATAATAATGCACTATATCAGACAACACCACTTTTTTTTTTATGCATGTCATGACAATGTAAGATTAATGGCTCAAAAATTAATAGATTTGTAAAGCAAGTGCATGTACATGATGAATGTTTTATTTAACCCTTAGACAGCACAATACATGCATATATGATTTGACAAAAAATAATTTAAGATAAGTTTTTAAAACTTGCACAAACGCTTTCCAATTTTTTTGCATAATCAACTAGGCAAATGCTCCAACTTTGTCTAAATGATCGTAGCGTAACTTGAAAAACCAGAGAATCAAAATTAATTTTAAAATTGAATATAGAAAACTTCAATTTTTCAGTTCAGAATAAAAATATGAACTATCATTAATTGTTCATTTAATCTTATTATTCACTCAGAATAGCATATGATCTTCATTTTCTTTAAATTAAAATATAGGTTTTTAGTATAGTTTATTGTAAAAAAAAATCGTCAATAGGACATTTGAAATATGCAGCAAATTTAGACCAAAAAAAGTTATAACTCCAAATGAATAAAGTTTATGAAAAATCCATTCTGATGGGATTGTAGAACAGATAGCAGAGCACACAATATGTCAAAATAGTGAGAATCGGTTAATAACTGGAATTTTAGAAGCCACTCAAAGTTGAAACTCTGGTTTCAGAGATAATTGAAGTTGAAGTTATCAACATTGAATAAAAGTAGTTTTAATTCGTTAATTTAATTGTGTGTTTTAATAAATATTGTTTGGCATTCGTACTCGAATATGTGAAAGTTGTAGTCAATAAGTATTGAAATGAAGTCAAGAAAAAATAACCCCCAAAAAACACAAAATATCGGGATAATTATAATAAATATAATGATTTAGGGGATATATTTAGTGTATCCTTTATATAAGTGAAAAAGCCCTAATATGGTCCCTAATCATCAAAAAAACCTAAAGAGACAAAGAAAATAGAGTTTGAAATCAGAGAAAATTTCAGCCCAAAAAAATTAAGTCCCAAGTTTTGCTAGTTGTGACTGACTTATTTGTTGAGGAATTTCATTCTATCTTCACAAAGTTATGAAAATATATGTATTCTCCAGGATGTAAAGATTAAAACAAAATCAGATAATAAACAAAGGAAAAAAATAACTAAAATCTTAAAAAAAAAAAAAAAAAATCCCCCTAAAAAAAAATATTTTTGGAACATTGATGAAAGTAACATATATTAACATTGGACAATGTATTTATATGGTAGATAACAAAATAGATCATATTAACATAGTTATTCATTATGTTTTGTGTTATTATGTATTACTCGGCAATGATATAAAGGCACTAACTGCATATCCACTTGTGGACACTTATTATTATTAATATTATTATTCATCTTTGAGCATAGGACAGGTGCTTGCATTTCTTTATTACTGCATAATCCTTCAGTTACAGTTATTAGGAGCTGTTTTTCTTATCAATAAAACGTTCTTATTTTTCAAAAATTTGTCTAAAATAAATTTCTGAAAATATTTTTATGAGAGTTTCACGACACTGAAGCCAATAGGTTGGAGATTTGTTTAACATTTTAAGTTATTTTTACATAATTCAAATATTTTTTTATGTTATGCCCCCTAAATTCATGGAAATATGTGCGGTCTAAGGGGTCAAACTTTAGTTTTCAGTGTCACTAATAAACATCATTTAGGACTATAATGTTAATCAATATTATTTTTATTATTTTGGTTGATCAGTGATAATTGTAGTTATATAACTGTTATACAAAATATTCAACTGGATAAGGATGTAAGTGCAGAAATTCTAACGTTATAGCTCATGAAACATCTTCCAAAAGTGGAAGATGTTTCTGAAGTGGCTCTTCAAGTAAGTGTTCTTAGCACTTCTTCCAACATTCCGGCAGTTTCTGTATCTCATAATGACTACTTTTATCAAATTTTCTTTAAATTACTTCTATATTTTATTTTTCTATTCAGAATTTTATGGTTAGGAATCTAAAGATTTTGTTTTAGTTTTGAAAAAATTGGCATTTAAGGTATCCCAAGGTTGGCTATAACTCTGCTATGTAAGTATTATAAAATAAAATTAATGTACTTAAGCTAAAGAATGTTTATGATAATTCAGAAAATACTGTGTATTACTAATCTAACAGCAGCACTTTCCATAGATGGTTGGCTTGGGCTTGGTGAGCGTATATGAGTTAATACGTGGGTCGGTGTCTGCTTATCCTGCCCTATGTATTCGTGCTCTTGAGGCTCTCCTGGACATTCTCCAGGGACAGCAGCCAGAAGCTTTGCGTAGTGAACCGCCAGAGGTTATTGGTAAGTAAATTTATAACATAAAGGAAATAATTTTTTTATATATTTAAATCTTAAACCTCTGTCTGCAGTAAATCTGTTTCAGCTCCATCATTTTCTTGGGGTCTAAAAAGATAAAAAAAGTGATATAAAACAATTTCTTAATGAGTTTTCTTAATTCTTCACGAGTTTTGTGAGATCATAATAATAATATTCAGTGATTGGATGGTGCCCATATCTCAAGCACATCAATAAACTGGAAAAGGTGCAAAGACATATTACTAAGTGGCTTCCAGAACTGAAAAACAAGAGCTATGAGGAGAGACTGGAAGCTAAAAGGTAGAAGGAAATGAGGTGTTATGCTCACTACATACAAAATAGTAAAAGGAGTTGATAAAATCGAGAGAGGAATTCTTGAAACCTGCAACTTCAAGAACATGAGGTCATAGAGTTAAGCTAAGGAAGCAAAGATGCCAAATTTGTTGTAGAGATTTCTCCTTTTCAAAAGAAATAGTAAATGGTTGGAACAAGGTAGCCGGTCGGCCGAGCGGACAGCATGCTGGGCTTGTGATCCTGTGGTCCCGGGTTCGATCCCGGGCGCCAGCGAGAAACAATGGGCAGAGTTTCTTTCACCCTATGCCCCTGTTACCTAGCAGTAAAATAGGTACCTGGGTGTTAGTCAGCTGTCACGGGCTGCTTCCTGGGGGTGGAGGCCTGGTCAAGGACCGGGCTGCGGGGACACTAAAGCCCCGAAATCATCTCAAGATAAGCTCAAGATAAGGTAAGTGGGACGGCAGTTGAAGCCAAAAGTGTCAGTAGTTTCAAAGAGTCATTAACACAGATCTGAGAAGACAGGACACCATGAGCATAGCTCTCATCCTGTAACTACACTTAGGTAATTACTTGATGGTGACAGCAGTTTAAGAATTAGGTGCTGGCCAATATTTAATATTTGTCATTCTTTCTAGATGCACTGTTTAGTCTGCTCTTGCGGCTGGCCACAGCAAGCAATGGAGATGTGCTGACCTGTCCTTCCTCGCCTCTGGTGGGTGTAGCATGTGCTTGTCTCCTCTCCCTGGTAGTAGCACGTGGTGAAACTGGAAAGTTCCTGAGAGCTACAGCAGATATTCTCATGACTTCTCGTCAGCTAGCCAGTCAGAGTATTCAGGTCAGTAATAGAATTGGATCTTCTTATTATTAATTGCATTGCAAGTTATTGTTTTAATTATATTTTTAAATTTATATGGAGAAAATACCAGTACATTTTAGACCATATTTTCTCAATAAAACACCTTCTTGAACATAGTTATTGAATACTCCCGCCACTTTCAAATCGCCAAGATCCTGTAAGAAGTAGATTTGTATTCATGTATTCACTAATGATGAAGATAAGAGGAAACATTTCCTTTCAATTCTTCATGGGGTCATGAAAGCATCTTGAAGTAGGCTGCGAGCAGCCTAGTTGACCAGTCTAGCAACCAGGAGGCCTGGTCGATGACCGGGCCACGAGGACGCTAAGCCCCGAAAACACCTCAAGGTAACCTCAAGGTAGTGAACAGTCAGTAGGACATTTAGAAGGTTCCATGATGTAAGAATGTAATCTAATACAAGGTGCTCAGTATAAGACACATGGTCGTGATTCCAAAGCAGTACCCGAGGCATATCTCTTAAGAATAACGAATCTGTGGAACTTGGAAACATAACCAGGGGGAACAAAAGGGGTGGACGAGAAGACGTCAACTCATACCAAGAAGGAATATGCCTTCAGGCCTGGAAACATAGCTGCAGTCAAAAAGAGACAGAGCAAAAATGGTCCTTTCTCCAATAAACCAAAAAATCTGAGATCTCTCCCATCACAAAAGAGGAAGAACCAGGAATGAAGCATATGTAACCCCCCCCCCCACCTTCCCTTGTCCCTATGGCCTAAAGATCACAAGGGAGGAAACAAAAGAGAGCCAAGAATAGAGATTTCTTTTCCCTCTCTCTTCCTGAAATAGAACCCCCCAATGCATTTCACAAAATCAGTCGGGTTGCAAGAGCATGAGTAGGTTTCAAAATCACTGGTAAAGCCCCATTGGAAATAGACCCAGAAGCTACAGCCACCACCACAACTTTTGGTCAATGAACTGAGGTCATTAGAGATAGAACTGATGGGAAAAGCTGGACGAGAATGTTGACTAATGATCAGCATAGGAAGAGCAGAATGAGCAATCAAAAAACCTCCCCCCTCAGCAAAGTGGGAAACTTCAAACTTCCACTCTGGAAGCAGCAAGGGAGACCAAACAAGGCAGAACAAGGAAAGTAACAAAGAGGGAGGCAACAGGTTAAGTCCATACGAGTCCGAAAATATGAAAGAACACCTAGTAATCTGGAAGAGATTTCCGAGGTAAACAAATCAAGATGCATTGTTAATATTGTTCATCAGAAATGGTTTGTGACATTTTATGACTTTTTAGGCAGCTGACATTGGTAGTGGAATGATAGTGATTCCCACATACCTCCCAGCCCCTTTGAATGGGCAACATATTGATCCTTGCTCCCAGTGTGCTAAGCTTGTATGGTGTTATGGGGAAGGGGGGGGGGTTTCCGTGGGTGTTATTACAGTGAGCTTTCGGGAGCTACTGTCATGTTACCCAGAAAGTACAGTACAGTAAACTATATCCTGACAATAAATTCCTCGTAATACAATATTTGTAAATTCACATATTGCTGAGGGTGTACTGGAATGCATCCCTCATGGATAGTGAGGACAGACTGTATTATAGCTACTGGAAGGAACAGTTTGATTGCACTTCTTTGTTATTTTTTGTCATTTGGTTGTATAATATTAAGTTACAAGTTTTAGATCAATCATATAATGTTCACTGTATTATAAATACAAAAATTTCTCTGTTGTTGTGATTGAACTGTAATGTCTGACTTAAGATATCACATTTTGTATCTTAGGTGCCGGTGATCTTGACATTCCTCCAGCGTAGTGTTCATGCAGTTTTGCTGGGGAAAACTTCTCGTCCTGATTGGCTTTTATGTGGAGTTCCAAAATCTGCCCTTATTGACAAATTCTCTGTTAAGATCATGACAGGTAAGTATCTGATCTTAATGCATATATATATAAGAGCTTCATGTATGATAATTTTTAGAGATTTCACTTTGCATGTGATGCTTCACTGTTTCTGTATGTATCGCCAGTAGGGATACCCTATGACTCTTGTCATGTTTTCTTAGCTAATACACTTAGTTTTCCCTAAAGCAAGATCACTCACTCCCATTGGACATGAATATACTGGTAATAATCAGTATAAGATGACAATCTTCACTGGCATGACAGGAATATTTTTGAGATAGCCATCTCAATTCATAACTCCCTAGCACACATACTTGTGCCAAAGAGGCACTGGGAAAATGTTGGGGGGGCTAGGGATGGAGGGCAAGAGTCCTGTAGCTGGGTGCTGAGGGAGGGAGGGCAGGAGTGCTGTGGCTGGGTGCTGGGGAAGAGAGGACAGAAATCCTGTAGCCAGATGCTGGATAGGGAGGGGGAAGAGTAACTGTAGCTGGGTGCTGAGGGACGAAGAACAATACTACTGTAGCAGGGTGCTAATGAGAGAAGGTGGGAGTACTGTAGCTAAGTGCTAGAAATGTTAGATAGTGATTGGGAGTACTGTACTGTAGGTGGGTGTTGGGGATGGGAGAACAGGAATATTATAATTGGATGCTGCAGAAAGTTAGGGAGGGTGTGAGTATTGTAATTGGGTGTTAGGAGAAGGAGGACAGGAGTATAGTAGTTGGGTGCTTGGGGATGGCAGTCTAGGGAGATGTTTGGGTGCTTTGTGTCTGGCTTGGAACTGTTGTGCCTGGACTTGACAATTTGTTAACCTGAGTCACACTGCGATGTTCTTGTCAGTTACCCCCCACTTCTTAGATGTATTGAAGTCTGCACAGCTGTCTACCCTTCTCTGCTTTGCTATTTGCTGCTGGTTGGTCAATAAGTCATTCTGATATCTGCCCCTTCGGATCATGTTCTGGCTGTTCCTGGTTCCCCCAAAAATTCTTAATTCAGAGTTAATGACATTTGTATTTATAGAAAACATTTATATGGACTGTTACATTGTATATTAATGGTATCTGAATACAGTAGCACATTGAAAACCATAAAAAATGTGTAAAAAATAACCAGGGTCAAATGCACTCAAATTTTTTTTTTTTTTATCTGTTATCATGCTAACCAATACTTTTCCAATATTTTTATATTTACCTAACATGGTTCTAATGTGTATTAACATACTTATTGTGCACATTTATAGCTATAAATACTGTATACAGTATCGGCCAACCTCTCGCATACCAATGGTTTGTTAAACAACAATGAATAGAATGCTCTAAGAAGGATATTTACTTTTGCTATGTAGCTAGATGTCTGAAATGTAAATAATTTTGTAAAGTGCACTTTGAACATTTGAACTGAGTGAAGAGAGTTTTGAGAAAAGTTTGAGTGTCATCAGCTGGCAGTCATGTAAAGTTAATTTCATAAACAAGGAGAATGACTGATGCACATAATTGACATAGGCCTTATGTTTTGAAGATGGATTACATACAGAACCATTGCGAACCAATGTTCACCAGCATCTAAAATATAATTAGTACCTTATTTAACTAGTTGCCAATTGTGGCCAGTTTCCATTCACACACCCAGGCTCAACTTTGCTCGAGACACAAGCTCCAATTCTCAGGGATGCAGCCCAGTGTGTCAAAACAGTAAAGAAATTGTTATGAATTAAGTGACATTTGTCAATTGTCACAGACAAAGACTTAATATAAGTCAGTCAACAAAGTAACTGCACTGAAAACAAACTAGCTAGCTGCTTTGGCTGTTGTACTTAAATTTTGGATTTCCTAAATCTCTATTGTATTTTGAAACTTATTCCTTATAACCTCATTAGACATCCTTGTTTTTCAGAATGCAGAAGTATAATTTTACATTTAATTACAGACAGTACTGTATGAAACATGTTTCACCATTATTTTTAATTTTTTTAAATAGATGGAGAGGAGTCAAAAGAAGACAGTACAATGACTTGTGATGGCCATTATCTGTACATTCATAATGCTCACGGACTCTTCAAAATTGGTTCCGGCTTTGGTGGAACCATGAAAGGTCATGTTTACATGCATCGACCAGACTTTTATCCAAAGCAAAAAGGATGGCTTGGCTTTGCTAATGTAAGTAAAATAGTAGAATTATATATTAATGAAATTAATGATGTTCCAGGATATAGTATGTGTTCTCACCTAATTGTAATTAGGGGGAGGTTGAGCGTCAGCTCTTTTTTCCTGCCTCTCAACTTCCAATAAATTGGTGTTCAGATGCCTGAGCCTATTGGGCTCTTATCATATCTACATTTGAATCTGTGTATATTAACATTTCAGCCCCTCCTCAGGGTAAAGGGATTATATTGAGACACCAAACCCACTCTCACACAAACTGGATTGTTATCCGAAATAGGTATTTGTGATGTTCTGAAAGCATATTAAGGTTCCAGTAATAGGCTAGTTGTAAACTGCTAAGTGAATCTTTGTCCTAATCAAAATATTCTTAAAGTATAACTTTATTGTATTGTAAATTGATGGTTTAAAATGTGAAAATTGTATGTTAACTTGTTTACTTCGGAGCAGTCTGAAGCCTAGGTTCTCTTTGAAGGGAAATTCTAAGGGACACTCAAATAGTTTTCAAATTTCATATATCACATGTTTGAACATAATACACTGTTTTAACATAACCTAACCTTATCTAACCTAATCATGGATAGGGAGTAAATAATACCTCTAAATATGTAATGTTTAAAATTGATGACTGCAAGTTGTGGTGATGACAGATGGGTGGGGTTGGCACCCCCCCCCCCCCCCCCCCCCCGCCCACACACACCACAAACTTGCTCACTATAATGACCCGGCAACATTGGAAGATATTAGGTTTATTTCCACATTTCCATCCATTTTTCATCCAAATTAACCATTCTGTAAAAAAACAATAGTGTTTTAATTTTTTTTATTTTCTGCATACTGTATAGGTAAGGGTCTAAATTGAGTGCTGATGTCAGCTCAAAAAATGACTCTCAAAAACCACATTGAGGGTCAAAGTAGATGCTGATGTTAGCTACAACATTGCAGTGTAAGGGGTTAATAAATACATGTAGATTAGTACTGTACTGTAATTTTCGTCCTGGAAACTTTGATATACGGTAAATGTTCTATAAATCTCTAAACCTTTTCAACATTTTGTTTACATTTCCTGCATACAGAAGCAGCATGAGTATGTAAGTCTTCTCATGGTTCAGATCCCTATTCCTTACTAATCCTTACCAGACTTCACAAATTCCCCTCTAATTTTGGCATAGGTAAATAATTATGTAATCTGTAACTATATATACAGTAGGTAAAAGTTTTATTTTATTTTAGTTTTATTAAGTATTATTGTGATGTCAAAAACATTTTGTTTTTATCAGTATCTTATTTTTGCTTTCAGGGTGATGTGTTTTACCGACCGGAAGGCAGTAATGGTGAACTGGTTGTTATAGACCGGGAGGTGCTGAAGGTGGCTGAAGTGTACCAGTGTTCCGCTCCAGGATGGTCTCGAGGATTACCATTTAGTGATGGTATTAACATTGGTCACATCTCCCCTGACAGAGAAGTATGTAATTAATCAGTGTGTGTGTGTGTAGTTATGTAGGTATTCCTAGTAACAAAAAATATTAACTTTCTAGTTTTTTCTAAGCTGTACCACTCAGTTGCTCCCTTAACCCCTTTACTGTGCCCCTTATTATAGCTGACATTCCCCTAGTGTTCAAGGGAAAAAATCAATTTTTTTCTTTTCCAATATCGTTAAAATGAATTCCCAGATTGCGGGAAAATAATATAAAATTGTATGAGACTTACTTTGACTGTGATCAAACCTGGAGTTCTCGTGATGTCACGATTCATGAGCGTTCATCAAACAATTGGCGCGGGTTGGTTGTTCCAAGCCAGGTGTAGGAAAATATATTTTTACATATTTATTTCAATGTTTCTGATTTGATTTTTTTCTGTTTTTTTTGTAGTAATATTCAAGAGTCTATCTTTTGAGAAATTTATATAATAAAATGTGTAGAATGTCGGAATGCTGAAATATATTCATATCACTAAGATGTGCACTATACTATTTGTTTAGAACAATAAAACTTACTGGTTTTCCTGTTATTACATTGTATACACACTTTAAATATGACTATATACATTTTCATGCATGTTTATGAACCACTAAGCAGTTCTGGTGGATGTGGTAATCTCATAACACATTATCAGAGCTCAACCTTGTTCTGCATGTTTTGGGCAAAATTTTAACTGCACATATTCAATATATACAGTACCAGTAATATTTTCTTCATATTTCTAATTTTTTTATCATGGTATTTTCATGGGCAATGATGCAATGGGTTGTCAATAATGTTATTTATATCACAGAACTTATTGATCATAGGTGTGCACCGATATTTTCATGTCACACGATCAAACTTCATAGGATTAATTGTATAGTATGACTGCCGAGTTCCTTGTCCGAAATGCTGAAGAAATACACACCATATTATATTCTTTGAACAACAAGCCTACAGTTTTTGCTGTTATTGCACTATATAAACAAGTTATATGTAACTATCAACATTTTTATCAGATTCTTAGTCACTAATGATAAATATGAATAATTTTCCACAAGTTTATTTTCTAAAGGAACATGATGTCATGTTTCATGAGGGGTGGATGCATGAAACTGTGGCTGTAGGCTGTGAATGTCTGCCTCACACTAAACATCAAAACCAGCATTGTGTTTACTGTACTGATATTTGAACCTTGTTCATAGTCTTTATTTCAGTCAGGATCTTCTATGACACTATCATTGTAAAATAATCACATTTATTTATTTATTCATAATTAAGTGATGCTTTGGGCACAAGTTGCACAATGGTGCTGTGATCCGCTGCAGCATGCGATACATGAATCGCAATGTGCGATTCGCCCTTTAAATAATGAGAACCTCGCACCCAGGAGGGGTGCTGTGATGATTGTTTGCTGAAGGCCTGAGGAAGCAAATGTGGGCCCCCAAGTATGTGCGGGAATTTTAAATCTTATGTGGTGCTTTAAATCATTCCTCACTGACTTGTGCAGTAGGGCCAGATATGGCATGATTGTCCCTGTTTGACATACACATCTGTAGGGATAAGCAAGATCTTGCCGATTCCCTGGACAGTGCTACACAATTAGGGGCATCGATCTTGTGTACCAAACGCAAACTGGATATTTTCAAATAAACTGCTTGGGTAATACAGATACAAGGGAGACACTGGGGAAACTAGCTGCCTGTTCACTACCTGTTGATAATTCTGAAGATCAACATCCCTGCGCCCTTGTCTCTGACCAGACCTCCTAGTTGCTGGTCTGATCAGCCTGGCTGTTTGATGTAGCTGCTCACAGACTGGTTGATCAGGTATCCTTTGAAGGTGCTTGTCGAGCTCTCTCTTGAACACTGCGAGAGGTCATCCAGTTATGCCTCGTATGTGTAGTGGAAGAGTGTTAAAAGCCTTGGGCCTTTGATGGTTGAGTTCTCTCTCAGCCTGCCTATTTCACTTCTGTTTTTCATTGGGGCTATTTTGCACATCCTGCCATGCCTTCTGGTCTCATGTTCTGTTATTTCTGTGTATAGGTTAGGAAATAGTCCTTCTATTATATTTGAAGTGTAAATTATTATATATATCTTTTACCTGCATTCTAGGGAGTACTACAGTAAACTGAAATTTTATTACTGTATCACCTCAAGTATAGTGAAAAATGATAGAAATGGAAAGTTAATTAAAGTGAGAAACATAAATAATGTATTCATTTTAAGCTTATTGTGTATAGGACCTTTGGTCAAATATCCGCTAGAGTTGAGGCGATAGTTTTGGCAGTGTTTGCTGCAAATTAATTAATTGCTGCCAACCAACTGATAAGAGGAATTAGCAAGATAAACTTAGCTTTTCTTCTCAAATATAGTAAAATATGAAAGAAATGGAATGATTATAACATGAATATTTTTACCTGTTGTATAGAACATATAAGAATTATGGAGAAATGCAGCCGGTATGTTGGCCCATACTAATTGCTCAAAGATTTCACTAAATTTTCTCAGTAAGGAATTGTGGGAGGTAGCAGCATTTACTGGTAGCAGTTGAGGAGAGTGCCTGCCCCTTCACCTACTCTCTCTTTATTATTTCTACACAATAATGTGAAATATGGGAGAAATAGAATATTTATTAACATGAGTAATGTCAAACTCCCTTACCTCCTGCCTTACCTAGTCCCTTCTTTTACTGGCATTTCATTTTACTGAGTATTTGAGGTGCCGTGGGCATGCCACTCGATACAGTTAATTAAAGTTGCACTAAATGTATCATGTCGAGAAATGAGTAAAGAAACAGTGGAACGTACCCACATTTTTCCCATATAAAGTACACGTGTCATATTCAGTTATGAATACATACAACATACAAACTTACATATGGAGGTGAGGAAGTGCAGTTAAAATATTAATACAGTACATGATACAAAAGCCATGTACTGTAATATATATAAATATTGTATTTCAGGATGGATTTGTGGTCAGGACATACAATCCTCTAGTCAAACCAATGCCTCTTGTAAATGAACTGAGTCTCAACTTGGCTATAAAATGTATACAGGTAAGATCATTGTTGTTCATTGTTGATAGTAATTGAGTTGGTTCACAGTGACAAGACAGATGTTTTGAGTTTTAAATTCTTTTGTGGAAACTAGAATAATTAGTTACGGATTTATTGGGCTAATGTAATTGAGTGTGTTGTGGTGTTAGTGATGAAATATTCCTGTGACCACTTGAGGAACTAATTTTAACTAAAGACGTGAGAGATGTTCTTCATAATATATAAACAAGAGTTTGCTATTTTATTTAGGCTTTCAGCCTAAACTACTGGTGGTACTGCCGTGTAGTTCAGATTGATAAGCAATGAGGAAGTATATGAGAGATGTGCCACGAGGAAGATCAAAGCAAGCAAAAAGTCCTGAGAAAATGTGATGAAATTTGATAGTTTGTCGAGGGTTACTGTTTTATTTCCCCTAAAGTTTACATGAAAACACCTCGATGATACTACCGAATCATGAAGTAGATTGCATATTATGTTTTCTAATATAATGATTGTCTTCAGATTTTGGGTGGGCCTGATCAACACTCTACGCTGTCTGCAGGGCTAGATGAGGACATTGTTACAGTAGCTGCTGGGAAGGAGTTCACTCTTGTGAGGACGGCTGGTGGCCGGGTAAGTGGGTCATTGAGCATAATAACTTTATGCTCAATCAGTAGGCCATTGAGCATAACAACTTTATGCTCAATAAATTGGTCATTGAGAATAATTTGAAAATTTGAGAATAATTGATATAATTATATCAATGTTACATTTATTGCAATGGTTTTTATATACTGTCTATCTTAATAACTTTGTTCATTTCTCTTGCAGATTTATTATAATGGAAAGGCTTCTTCAGTTGGGATGAAACAAGGGAGCAGCAGCAGCAGTGCTGGTAACACTGGTACCGGGAGCGGCAATAGTGGTGGATGTGCCGTGGGTACTAGTATTTACGGGGGCGGCACTGCTGTTAGCCAGGTTGCTATTGGTCCTAATCCGCCTACGAAAAGTAATACGCAAAGTGGAAGATGGCCAGAACTCACCATTACCAAATCTCCACGCATAATACACTTAGCAGTTGGACATGAAGGACAGCATGCAGTGCTCATTTCAGATGATGGGGCAGCATTTTTTGTTGGAACAGCACGACGAGGAGAAGATGGAGATGCCAGTGAGTATATTGTGAATGTAATGGCATTTAACTCTTTGGCTGCATCGTCACCAAGAACATTTTGTTGTCACAGAGGGTCAGAATATGTTAGTTTTGTTCTTTATTACATTTATAGCAAGAAAAAGACCCACTCTTTCCACATACTAGAAAATATTGTTCAGGTAATACCAATCAATACCAAGCAATAAGTGTTCCCAAGACAAAATATCATAAATACAGTCAATAAGCATGATCACCAAAGTTTTTTTTATGTGGTTGGGTGTACTGTGTGTCTGTTTTTTTTAATTACATTTTTAATTGTTTTATTAATAATCAAATTAATTATTAATTTAAAAAAAATCAAATTATTTAATTATAATTGGAAAAATAAGTGTCATTTTCATTTACAGTATACCGTATATAATAAAATTAAAATAAAATAATTTTTACTAGTAAAAACAGCATAAGAGTATGAATAATCAGTATTTAATTTATTTATATTTAACAACAAATTCAGGTAAAGGTCGGCGACAACCTAAACCAGTGAAACCTAAAAAGATGATTAAGTTAGATGGGCAGTTTGTTGTGAGCGGTGCTTGTAATAATGGTACGTCTGCACTTGTGACTCGTGACGGAGAGCTCTACATGTTTGGCAAGGATACCTCTCATTGTGATAGCTCTACTGGTAAGATTTACTAGAATGTTAGTAGACATATAAGCCTTAAGGTATAGAATGTTTTACATTATCTCTGTAGTGTAAAAATTTGCTGGTTGTAAGTGTTACTTGTAATATATCAATTATCAAAGCTACCGCAACTACTTAAATAAGCAGTTGTAGCTAAAACTAGTTTATAGAAAGTCAATTAATCAACTATTTAACTTATTTTTGTCATTTTTAACATTACAATCTTGAAGAGTAATAATCTCCGTGGTGAAGTGGTAAGATGCTCGCCTGGCGTTTCGCGAGCACTTTGTCCTGGGTTCGTATCCTGACCCAGGGAGGATTTAGTGGGTGTCAATCCTTAGCTGTAGCCTCTATTTACCCAACAGTAAAATGGGTACCTGGTTGTTAAACGATATGGCGGGTTGTATTCCGGGGAACATAGGATTAAGGACTTGCTCAAAACGCTGTGCGTGCTAGTGGCTGTACAAGAATGTAAGAACTCTTGTATATATATAAATAAATAAATATAAATAAATAAATAATTACAATCTCAGAAACAAACAAGATTTTAAATGTTGGATCCTCTTGACCAGATTGCTGCTGAATGTATAAAATCTCATTATCTATTAGAATGTTATTGTTTGTTTAAGTTTTTTTTTTTTTTAGGTTTATAATAGTTATAATTATTTTTCCAGGATTGGTTACAGACCTTCGTGATGTTCATGTCAGCACTGTGTCACTTGGCAAAGCCCATGCCTTGGCTTTAACCAACAAGGGTCAAGTCTTCAGCTTTGGCATTAATAATAAGGGTCAATGTGGAAGAGACTTCATTCCACAGGTTAAAGAAGGAACTGGTGAGTGTAGATAAGTTTTATCATAGACATTGAAATTTCAGTGGTTATCTATGGCCGGGATAATTTTATTCTTACGAATTAAAATGGTTGTGTACTTGTCAATTGTAGACCAGGTTTCTTTTAATCAATAAAATATTTTGAAAACTAATTTTACAAATCTATATGGAATATACATCTCATTGTTCACTCCAGTACAGTACTGTATATGTTTTCATAGTTGTAACAGGTAATGAATAGTTAGCCCAGAGAGAAAAGTAACCTCTCAGAGTATTCCTAGCTGGTTTAATTTTGAACCAACCTGTAAGGAATAAATAAGCACATTAACTACTATAAAGATAAGTACTGTATTTAGAGCATGTGTACCAATCCTCTAAAGAAATTAATATATTAACCTTTAATCGTATTTTTAGTGAAAATTTATGAAGATTTCATAATATTTGATATACAGTACCATATATTTATGAACTTGGTGCTTCATTTAGACAGGACTGCAATGAAATATTTTTATAGAGCATCGTATCTGTACTACTCTTGCCACCAAACTTGGTTTCAACTCGTAAATAAAGTGATGATATATCAGAAGGAAAGCCAGCGAGAGATCACATTGCACTCTTACACCAGGGAAGTATAGAGTCAGTATGTAGGTTCTCACAGTACCTCTGGATGGCTCATAACAAAACCACATAAAATAAACTCATTTGTACACTTTATAGTGTAGTACAAGCTTGGTAAAACATTTCTTAAATATAAGGGCATTGAACAATATTTACTAGTAAAAAAAGTTGATTGGCAAAAATATGAAACAATATGATTTAATGGAAATTACTTTGCTTGACAAACTGAATACAGGTACAGTATAGGGTTTCTCTTTGGAATCTGGATTTTTTTTATTTGTTTAGAAGTCAGAGTTTTAAAGGGGAAAATCCAGGGAATATATTTGGTTCATTGTTTTGATGAATTCGTTATAATGAGATCCAAATTTTTGAGGGTGCAATATATGTATATTCGTGACTGTTTAGAAGGGAGTAGTTCTCATTATCGCTCATATTACTTTCATCACTGATGATCTAAAAAAAAAAAAATTCCCCTCATTTCTCAACTGCTTCTAGCACATGAGGTCTTGGGAGGTTAATGGATGTACACTCATAATCTCTTAAGGGTCACTGACTGTGAATAGGATTTTCTTGAGGGGCTGAATGGTGGCTCATGGTAGCTTACTGGAGACTAGAACCAGAACCTTGTCCAGCCAAAGAAGCACAGGGAGCTAGGGTGTGCTACGATCACCCCCACCATGAAACATGTAGAGAGTAAGAGAAACAAAATGCTTCCTGGTTCACAAAGAAACAAGAAGTGAAGGGACAAACAGTCCACTCGGTGATCAGTTTGAATCCTCCTAGTTACAGCTGTCGTCTGCCAGATGGCAGGGGAAATAAATTATTTAATTTTTTTTATATTTTAAATAATGTTTTTTCTCTCAGGCATGTCCATGTCTGTAGGGCCAGCAGGAGAGGAAGAAGTGGAAGATGAAGATGGTGTTGAGAGTGAGGAAGGAGGCGAAGGTGGGATGTGCCCTCCAGGTCGCCATCGGTGGGTTCGTGACCACTGCCTTGTATGCACTGTCTGCCATGAGTGTACAGGCTATGGAGCTGCTTGTGTTTCAAGTGGAAGACCTGATCGTAACTCTGGACAGTTAGTATCATTGCCGTTAAATCTTTTCTACGTTTAGCTAAGTTTTATGCAATTTTATCATTATGATTTTTAAAGTCATCTTTAGTGAACAAGAATGGTGTTTTAAGATGAACTTGGCATTAAGTAAAATTAATGCCCTTTCCTGAGTGATCCTTTAGTTGCTTCCCTAGCCAGGACCTGGGTCTACCCAAGACACTTCTCACCTGCTAAGGTTTAGTTAACATTTTGCATTCTTACGATACAGTAACTAACTTTGCCAATGGTTTTGCCTTATAGTTTAGAATGGGGGACAGTGAAGACCATATCCACTACTGATTGCCTGCTTACTAAAAAATAAAAGAACAAGAAAATTACTAAATAAATCCCTACAAGCAATCACTGGGATTGCAAATATAGCCAATTATCTTTCTTTGAACTACAGATTAGTAACTACCAGCTAATACCAAATGAAATATGGTTGCAGCACTAATTACCACATCAGTGTTGGAGAAACTGGCAATTCTCACAGCCCAGGCCACCCAAGCATACCCAGCAAGTCAGGATCACAAGTATGGGAACTGTAGCAAATGGCAAACTGCTCAGAAAGAGCAATTGATTCTACACAATGCTCTTTTTTTATATAAGTTCTTCAAGTTAATTTCCCATGCAGCAAACTACTGCAAAACGTATATACAGAATGACATTGGGAATTTGGTTGAACAAGCACCATGAAACAGAAGGGCCATGGGAGATATGAACCGTGGTAGAGGAAATACTTACTGTATCAGGATTCTGATTGAGAACAGGTGGCTCAAGGTTAGATAATGCATCCATAGCCATGGTATAATGGGCAGATAGTGGTTGGCAAAGGTCTTGTTCAACCCCCCAAAATATTCCAGCCCTTATTTTAGAACAGAACATAGGCCAAAAGAACATGGCAAGGGGTCACGAACTTCCAAGAACATGAATACGGAGAGTGGCAGTGCCAAGGTAAGGCGTCGAGAAGCTTTAGCCAACTCCATAATATTTTATTAGCCACCTAAAAGCACCACCTTCCTGTAGTGTTCAGGATTTGTTGCTTGTGTGAGTGAATGATAGGAGGGGAAGGGGAAGCCTGATCAGGCTCCTTGGGTCACTGGTTGTCCTGCCACCTGGTGGTGGGCAGCTGCTACTGGATGAACAACCTAACTACAGGGTTCATTGTTGCTGCTTTGTTCATATTTACCTTGCTGATGTCTGTTTTAATGTACTCTACCTTTTTGGAGGTTCTTTAATGAAGGTGATCAGTAGATCCCCTGTTCTCTGAGGGTATTTAAAAGGGGCCAGGTTTTTGCCTCTGGTCTCCAGTAGGCTTCTATTGTTTTGTGAGGGTCTGGTGTAACTCGGTAAGCATGGAGTTGTCCAGAGCAGCAAATAACAGGGGAAACCACTGAGGCTCCTTTATTTGCCATGCAGACCCATATTAAAGGAAATCAATCATAGCTACAAATACATAATCCATTGCAGTGAGCGACCATAATCAGATTTTGTTTTGGCTTGCACGTGGAATTTAATTCCACCTACATTTGTATTAGTAAGGTGAATGGATGGGGGTCAAAGAATTAAGAATTTGTAAACCTAAATTATGATAGAAGTAAATGGTTTTTTAATAATAATTATTGTATGTCTTCAGGCCTTGCGGTTGTGGATCTGGGGATTCGGGTTGTGCCGAGTGTGGGTGCTGCCGAGCATGTGCAGATGAGATTGAAGGGGATAGTGATCAGGACCCATTTTCCCTAATGCAAGGACAGCACTCTGGCCTGTTTGGATTCCCTGAAGTTGGAAATCTAGGAGGTAGGGAATTGTAAAACAATTGTCTGGTTTATATATCTTATATTTGTTCATATATATATATATATATATATATATATATATATATATATATATATATATATATTGTGACGATAATCTCCTTCAAGAGATTGAGCCTGCTCTTCCCTCCAAAATTACGTCTTCACAACTATATAAAAGACTATGGAAGAAATGTCCAACAACACCAGCAAGGCTTGCCAGGGTGAGCAGAAACGTATGCAACCAGCCACCTGTTCGAACTCCAACCACCAAACTACCCGTTGATCGCTACGACTCCGCTGATTGGTCGCCGGTCTGGCTGCACCTGCACTCGCCCCCCAATACTACCTGATGTCTGGGGTCGCCCCAACATCAGTCCTCAGAATGTTCAGTGCTTTCGTAGCCAGCACTCCTCCCAGCTAGACTCTAGAGTGTACTGAGAGAGGTGGTGGCTTTAAGCCAATATTCCAGCACCTCCCACTTAACTTTTGTGTTGCACTTCTTGTTATTTTGCCTTAACGTAACTTTTCATTGTGTCATTTAAGTATTCTTATTATTTTGATTCATTGATTTTATTATACATATTTGTTTGTGCATTATTTTCATGTTTTGATTTATTTAACGTAATTAAAATTTCATTGTTAAAGTTTTACTTGTGTTTTGTGTGTCTTCTCCTTACCTTACCACAGACGAAGTTCCAGTTTTTCTATTTTTTTTTATAACTATGTGACGAGGCCATACCCCTAGCCTTAAACAGCCGAACACCAACGCGTTACCGTCACAAGTTATATGGGGGCCTGTCCTAGGAGCTTCACTCAGGTACTGGTGCCAAGTGGTAATTTATGGTAAGCGTATTTAACTTTGTTAACGTAGCTTTACTATTTTTCATTCAATTTCATTTTTTATAAGGTGCGGTGTATTGTGCATTACGAGAGTAACATATAGTGAAGGTGAGACAACTTTGGATTACGTGGTGACTGTAGGCCTCAGTCATACTCTTAATTGGTCATCTCTCCCTCCATGTTATTACTCGTATTTACCATCTATGTCCCTTGAATATTTCTCATTCTGACAGATCATCATATTGGTACCCTGGTACTGTGGTCTGCCCCGGGTCAAGAGTACCCAATCTTCTGCAATCTGACTGTAGGAGGACAAAGAGGGCCATAGTTCCTCTAGCTCGAACTTTAGTTGCTGAATTGGGACCTCAGCAGCAGTTCTCGTCACCAGTTGACACCTCGCACCCCTACACGTCAGTCAGAGATGATGATACATACAACGGTAGGGAATTAGCTTATTTTTTCAGAGCACAAAAGTTCGCTAATTCTGTAAGTATCATATTAAATTCAGTGGGAAAAACTTGCTTTATGTCCTATAGAGACTTGGCAAGGTATGCCTACATCCTTGGACTACCAATTTTACTTTTGAAGCATTTAACTGTTTCATTTGTTTTCGAAACTTTGTTTCATTTGTTAGTAGGATTTTCTTGCCCTTATTCTCTTACATGAGTACCGGGTACAAGATTTCCTGCGCCCTTGATTTAATTTAATATCTTTCACTTAACGTTAATTGTTAAAGATCACACAGGATAGGTGCCAGTTGCCACGTTGTCCTGTTTCTGACATTTCATTATTGAACATTCGTGTACCTTTATTTGCTAATTTCACCATGTTTCGTCTCCAAACTTTCCGTGCAAATCCAGCAGGTGAAATAGGGACTTTAAGTCGTGCCAAGAGGACTGAACTACAAACTCTTGCACATGAGTATCAACTAGAAGTTCCCTACCAAGCCAACAAAAATGACCTACACAACCTGTTGCTGGATTACTATTTAGAGCAAGGTAAGATAGACTCTGAAACTCATGAAACTTACTATATTGCAGAGAAAACTGACTTGGCAACGATGAAACTTAAACTAGAGCTGGCTAAGATTGAACGTGAGCAGCAAAGAGAAGCCCGCGAACAGCATAGGAAGCCCTCGAACAACAAGAACGAGCAGCTGCCATACGAAGAGAAGAACACGAACGCGAAGCTGCTTTGAGGAGAGACGAACAAGAACGAGAAATCACCCTCAGAGAACGTGAAGCTGCTTTGAGGAGAGAAGAACACGAACGCGAGGTCGCATTACTCCGTGAACGTGAAAGAGTACAGCTTGAAACCAAACAACGCGAGTTGGAAATACAACGCGAACATGACAAGCAACAAGCGACTCTGGCTCTAGAGTGTCGTCAACGCGAAATCGCCTTGGAAACTTCACACTTCACTCAACGCCAGCAAGCTACTGCCAATCTTCCCGTCAGTTTTAATATATCACATGCAAGTAAGTTAATGCCATCCTTTGTAGAAGCAGAAGTTGATGTGTTCTTTACCACCTTTGAAACCCTTGCTAATCAACTCAGTTGGCCTGTCGACCAATGGGCAACACTTCTCAGAGTCCATCTTACAGGTAGAGCTGCAGTCACACTCAGTACTTTGGCGTCTGAGAATGACTACTACACTCTGAAACAAGCAGTGTTAGACGCCTACCTACTTTCCACCGAAAGTTATAGAAGGAAATTCCGTGACCACCTGAAGGCAAGTACCACTACCTTCCTCGAGTTTGCTAACACGAAACGGAGGTATTTCATGAAATGGCTGGAAGCAGCACATGTCTCTACTTTTACAGAACTCGTGAACCTGATGCTTGTTGAAGAATTCTTGAGACGTGTGCCGCCTCCTGTCCGCCTCTACTTAGCAGATAAAGAAGAAACCGACTACCTGAAGTGTGCTAAGTCGGCTGACACTTACAGCCTCATCCACCGGCTGACACCTGAACCATCCTCCAGTAAGAAGTCGTGGTACAGTTACGAGAAGGTGAGCCCCGATCAAGCTGGTTCACAACTGTACTGCAAGTATTGTAGACTCTATGGACATACCATAGACAAGTGTGGTAAGTCTCAATACAAGGGAACCACTGACCAACAACGACCCAAACCAACTCCTCCTAAGTCCGGTAAGCCTGTGATGAATGTTGGTGTTGATGTTAATGATCTTTCTCTTTTCAGTAACCACCTGTATACTGGAACTGTCTCTGCCAACGGTTCAAATCCGGAGGGACGTTTCAAATTGAAGATCTTGAGGGACACAGCGGCTCTACAATCGATCATCTTGAAGTCGGCTGTGCCCAACATAGTCTACACCGGGGAAACGGTCTTCATCACTGACCTCACTGCTACTACTCCATACCCTCTCGCCAGAGTCCACCTGGATTGTCCCTACGTGAACGGGGAAGTCCAAGTCGCCGTCAGGGAAAAGCCTTTTCCCATGCCTGGAGTGCAACTTCTCCTAGGCAACGACTTGGCAGAAGACCTGCAACCAACCAACCTGATCGTCATGGACAAACCCCAGGTGTGTAACTCTGTGCCAAGTAACCCTATTCTTGAGTATGTTCCAGCAGAGGTTCAAGAGAGTGATGAGTTTCTCCTCCGGTTCTCGTGACCACCCGTGCACAAGCCGCACGTCCACAGCCAGCTGACTCTACTGCTACCGCTGTCCCTCAAGACCCTCAGAAACTACCCCCGCATCTGACCAAGTTGGAGTTCCGTAAGTTGCAGAGGGAAGATCTTACTTTAACACCATTGTTTTTCCAGGCTGAGACTCAACCCGACAGTATTCCTGGGTTCTTCCTAGAGAACGACTTGCTCTACCGCAGATATAGACCCAGTAAACTGAAGGAGGAGGACGATTGGGCCAACACCGAACAACTTGTGATTCCCACCAGCCTGCGGCCCACTATTCTACACCTGGCCCACGGAGCATTCTCCCACTACGGCTTCAACAAGACTTACCATGGGATTCGCCAAGACTACTACTGGCCAGGTATGGTAAACAACGTCAAACAGTACGTAAAACAGTGTCATACATGTCAGATGGCAGGCAAACCGAACGTCTCCATTCCCAGAGCACCACTGATTCCCATACAGGTGCCTGCGGAACCTTTCCACAGACTCATAATAGACTGTGTCGGTCCTTTACCTCGGACCAGTTCAGGTAACGCCTACATCCTAACCATCCTGTGTCCTACCACCAGATTTCCCATAGCAGTTCCAGTGAAGAACATCACGGCTGCTACGGTTATCAAACATCTATTGAAGATCTTCACTCAATACGGATTTCCCAGGGAGATTCAAAGTGACTGTGGCACCAACTTCACCAGTGATCTCTTCAAAAGGACACTGGAGGAGTTCAACATCAAACAGGTATTGTCCAGCCCCTATCATCCTGCTTCACAGGGTTCTCTTGAACGTAGTCATCAGACCATCAAAGCACTCTTGAAAAAGTTTTGTAGTGAAACCTCAAAGGATTGGGATAAGCAGATTGACCTAATAATGTGTATTTTCAGAAGTCTCCCCAATGAGTCCCTAGGAGTATCTCCTTATGAGATGCTCTACGGCCGTAAGTGCCGTACTCCCCTTAAGGCTTTCAAAGACTCTCTCAGAGATGCCACCTTCAGTGAGCATCAGAATGTGCCCCAGTTTCTTCAAAACCTTCAGCACATTCTAGAGAGAGTCCACCGCTTTGCCCATGATAATCTATTGAAAGCCCAGGTGAGAATGAAGACTCATTACGACCAGACCAGCAAAGTAAGAAAATTCAAGCCGGGAGACTTCGTCCTTGCTTATTTCCCTATCCCAGGTTCACCTTTACAAAACAGATTTTCAGGACCCTACTGCGTCAAAGAGTGCAGGAATAATAATAATTATGTGATAGAGACTCCAGATAGGCGGCGGAAGACCCAGCTGTGCCACGTCAACCTCCTGAAGCAATATAATGGTACTCCTCCCACTGTCTTGATTAATTGTTCTACCTTCACAGAACCCTACATCCACAGTGAGACCATCCCGGCTTCTTCTCCCGAAAGCACTGACAAGGAGTCGGCGCTTTCTAATTCCAAAATCCTTCATGATCTTCCCAAATGCTTTCAGGATAATAATCGTGCTCCTATGCCCTCTTCTAATTCCACTCTCACCTCGTCAGATAAGCCCTTCATCCTCCATGTCGACGCCAATGGTACCGACGTGGGTGGTGTCGTGATGCAGCAACGAGGCGAGAAGAATACACCTGTCAGCGACTACTGCTACAAGGATCTACGGAACAATTGGCAAGGAGCTACTCTTCCTCATCCTGAAGCTTCAGCACTTCACTCCACACCTGAAAAGTGCTCGGTCCACCATCAATACGGACCACACCACCCTACACCTCCTGCAGCACGCCCACTTCTCATCTCAACGTCTTCTACTATGGGCTTGCTACCTGCAGAAATTCAACCTGGAGACACGCTATACCAAGAGTCTGACAACATCTTAGCCCATGATCTCTCCAGAGTTTATGAAGTAGAAGCAACTCCATCCATTACTCCACCACATAACGACGTACTTCTTCCAGAACCGCAGGCTTCGGGGGAGAGTTGTGACGATAATCTCCTTCAAGAGATTGAGCCTGCTCTTCCCTTCATAATTACGTCTTCACAACTATATAAAAGACTATGGAAGAAATGTCCAACAACGACAACAAACACCAGCAAGGCTTGCCAGGGTGAGCAGAAACGTGTGCAACCAGCCACCTGTTCGAACTCCAACCACCAAACTACCCGTTGATCGCTACGACTCCGCTGATTGGTCGCCGGTCTGGCTGCACCTGCACTCGCCCCCCAATACTACCTGATGTCTGGGGTCGCCCCAACATCAGTCTTCAGAATGTTCCGTGCTTTCGTAGCCAGCACTCCTCCCAGCTAGACGTTAGCGTGTACTGAGAGAGGTGGTGGCTTTAAGCCAATATTCCAGCACCTCCCACTTAACTTTTGTGTTGCACTTCTTGTTATTTTGCCTTAACGTAACTTTTCATTGTGTCATTTAAGTATTCTTATTATTTTGATTCATTGATTTTATTATACATATTTGTTTGTGCATTATTTTCATGTTTTGATTTATTTAACGTAATTAAAATTTCATTGTTAAAGTTTACTTGTGTTTTGTGTGTCTTCTCCTTACCTTACCACAGACGAAGTTCCAGTTTTTCTATTTTTTTTTATAACTATGTGACGAGGCCATACCCCTAGCCTTAAACAGCCGAACACCAACGCGTTACCGTCACAATATATATATATATATATATATATATATATATATATATATATATATATATATATATATATATATATATATATATATATATATATATATATATATATATATATATATATATATATATATATATATATATATATATATATATATATATATATATATATATATATATATATATATATATATATATATATATATATATATATATATATATATATATATATATATATATATATATATATATATATATATATATATATATATAATATATATATTAATATATATATATATTAATATAATATTAATATAATATAATACAAACAAACTTCACACCCCAGTTTTTTTTTTTTGTTATATAATAGCTTGATTGACTTTGGAACTTTCCATCTCTCTTTTCAAACAAAACAGTTCTGAAGCAAAATACTGTACTTATCTCCATATTTCACAGAAGGGATGCATTTCTTCAAGGGGGCTCCCTTTTCTCCGCCAACTGTAGCTTGCATGTATTCTCAAAACACAAATTTTTGTGTCATCTGATCATAAAACATACAAGTGACAAATGGAGAAGTTTGCTTCTAGGAATGTTTAACACTTCCTTCTGAGAAATGTGTGTAGCTATTAAAAGATTATAATAGCACCTTCTCTTAGTTATCAAAGCTAAATGAAGAGGAATGAAATACTGACTGTTGGACTTAGAGTAAAATTAAGCATTGTGTATTTTGAAACAAAATATTCACATTTCTCTAAGGTTTTGAATAACTCTGTAGCCTTTTCTATATGTTTGTAATTACTGTACCAAAGTCTGGTTACAGGATGAGATTTATGCTTGTTGCTTCCTCTTTTTCCATATAATCTTTGTTATGCAAATTTTTAAAACTTTGAATCCACATATTCAAGAGTAGATTCACCATTGAATTCAAAAGTCCAAAGATTTAAAAAATGCTTCGTGTATGTAAGGATAGAATGCAGAGCATGACAAGCTAGACCTCACTTCCCCAAAGTCACTGATAGATAAGTATTATATTACCACGAATACCTCCATTATCATCACCATTACCACTTCTACCACCATTTTCATTGCAATCAACATTACCCTCCTCACCATAACTGTCGCCATCACTATTACCACCACCCTTATCTCCTGCACTTATTACAGAATGCTGTAATTATTGTAATCTTGTCTTAGAGGCAAGATAGGGGGAGGATACCTCTCTTGATCAGCTACAACAAAAAATGTGTTAGTTAATTGTTCTGTTTGTATTAATGGCTTTACTTTTTGAGCATTTATGTTGTAAATTTTATTTCCAATTTGTAAATAAATATTATGTATAACAGGAAATATCTTTGGGAGAGCTTGTGGACGTTTACAGGATCAACTACAGAGGAGACTTGATGAGAGACGACATCGACCACGCCATAGGCACTCTAGATATGCACCTACGCTTGCCAGAAAAGGTATTGTCATCATCATTGTCGTCATCAACGCTATCACCATCATCACCATTATCACCATATCATTACCACCACCACCACCACTATACTTATTACCAGTGTCATTATTATCACCACCATCACTACCATCAACACCATCAGCACCACCATCGCTGTCACTATCTCTAAACGGGGAAAAGGAGTAGCCCTACTGATGAAACAACATTGGAGTGTAGAGGAGATAGAGATTCTAGAGGTCATCAACTAGAAGGATTTTATACTTTGTATGATAAGTGAGGACCATGAAGATAGTAGTAGGTGTTATTTGCAACCCTCCATTTACTGCAGGAAGGTCAAGGGAGGAATATGATAAATGCAATGTAACATGCCAGAAAACACTAGAAAAGGTGGTTATGGTGGCAAGGAGACAGACTGGTCAACAAAAGATCCTCATATGGAGGATGAAACATGAAGAGCAAAATTTGTGGACACTACAGGCAAACACTTCTTGTGGTGCTGTAACATATTAAGGAGCCAACAAAAGGAGGTGGTGGTTATCTACCAGCTACCCTAGGCCTGGTATTTTCCAAAAATGAAGATGTAGAGAACTTAAAATATGAGATACTATCGCTACGAGCCAGTGACTACTGCATTATCGTGTTTGATTACTTTGTATAACATTGACATCATATCTTCAGCCATGTTATTGTGACTCATTGTCTACATGGCAATCAGTATTCAGAAGATGTACCAAGAAAGTAATTGAAGTTACTGTATAAGATAAAATAAAAGAAATAGAAATGTATACCGGTTGTTAAAGTGCAAAACAAAGAAGGGGCGATAAGAAGTTAGATTCATTAGTGAAGAAAAAGTGACAAATTTCTAGGAAAGAATACTCACTGAAAAAGCACTGCAGATTAGAAGAATTGAAGAAGCAGAACATTTGTAGCAGATGACCAAGTGGCACTGCAGTATGAAAGAGACTAAACAAATTTATTTCTGAGAGAGAGATCTCTAAAGCTTTTGCACAGTAATCTTTTTATGATGTGAGACAAACTGCTCTGCTGTTTAAAAATATATGAAATATGTAAAGGCAACTAAGTAATATCAGGTGTGCTTGGGCATCAGGTGTGCTTGGACAGAATTTCTGAAAGCATGGATTTAGTATAGCTATTCTAATTTAATGAACTTTAGGGATAATGAAATGCAGGATCAACTACATCCATTCTTGTTGCTGCTGGCATTTCTTAGTCCTCATTTTAAGAACTGAAATGTTCTTAAAAAAAAAAATTAAGATTTTAAAATTTTTTGTCTTACATTTTTGAGATAGAGAATTAAAACATGACAAATGGTAAAGAATGCAGACCAGGGTGGCATTAATAATAGACAAATTGTATAGGTCAAATTTTTAATGATTATAGTTGAAAGAGTTAAAAGAACAAAATATATTTCTTGATTGGAAGAATACTTGGTGAACATTACAGACAGTATCTGATTAGTGATTTGAAAGTGCAAGTAATGGAAGAGAGAGTATTGGAAACTATGAAAGAATTTTATGGAAAGAGAGGATGATAGAGCCAGTAGAACTGTGAGCAGTGGCTTTGTGATTTTAAATTGTCATGTATCTAAGGAAGGTAGGCAGTGGTGAGTCTTTCTTACTTCCTCGCAGTGCTACAAAGGAACAGATCATGACTCAAAACCCCCCCCCTGCAAGGCAAAGCTAGAAAATACTGAGTGCCTAAATTATTGCTCTGCAAGCTACTGTTAATAGAATAATGGCTAGACCAATCATCACCAGGTGTCACAACTATCACCACAACTGGGGAAGAGGAGCTGTACACCCTCACTTTTAGTGCTTTCTTGAATCTATCAACATCGTGGTCCTGAGGTTCCGGGTAGGTACCTATTTACTGCTAGGTTCACCTAGCAGTAAATAGGTGCCTGGGGAGTTAGACAGTTGCTACGGGCTGCTTTCTGGGGGTTTGTAACAAAAAGGAGGCCTGGTTGAGGACCGGGCCGCGGGGATGCTAAGCCCGAAATCATCTCAACATATAAGAATCACCTTGCTAGCTCTGGAGTTGCTAATTAAGTTTTCTTCTGACTGGGTTTTTCTTAATGCTTTGGCTGCACTAATCAGTATTGGTCGATTCATAAAAATATGCCCCGGAATGTGATAAATGGCGCAAGTCCACACGCCTATGAAAACATTTCCATGTCTTGTAATGTTTGACTAGGTCCTCCGACCTTCGAAACCTTTGATCCAGTAAATGGAAGTAGAATCAAATATCATCTCATGTGGTATTGCCCAAAATTGGCAATTATGCTTCCTTCAAACTCACAAATTGTACTTCATTACTATTTCTGCTGTTTTTTCTGTGGGGGAAGCTTCGTCGGCTCCCTGGAGCTATTGAACTGATATTAGCTAATATTAGTATGGGGCTTCAGTCATATGGAGTTGTCATGCTTACCTGGGACCACTAGCCAGAACCTGGTCCCCCTCAGAGAGGCAAAGGGAGCAATTGCCTATGAAACTCACATGTATGAAAGTATTCATGTCTACTATTGACCTGGTTTGAGCACCAAGAAAGGTAGGCACTTCAGAACAGACCCTGCCTGGTTGGAAAATTGCAACCTAAGACTGAATAGAGGCTAGAAAACTCCCCCATAGAAAAACAAGTCAACAAGCAACATGTCATCACACTAGATGCTGCTCGTTCGGGCCGAGTTCAGGTTTTGAACATTTGTGCCAAGTTCACTCCTTCCCTTCTAATGCTTTTTTGTTTTCTGCTATATGGCTGGTCTACCTGGCTTCTTTTTGCTCAGCTTCTCGGCCTTCCTTGCTGATTCAGGCCCTGTACCAACTTCAGGCCTTTGATCCGCAGGCTTGATGAGTAAGGCTCCTGCCCCTTTCTATTCCCTCCATATCCTCATAATATATTTAGATTATGCTTTGGAGTTTGTTGTCCCAAGGTTCTGAGGCTTCCTTCCCCAGTTAGCACTTTCTTGCTTCTTGCTGGCTTACCAGTATCTGGGGGGGGGGGGATATTGGCTCCATTGTGGGGGATTCTTCCTCTCCTAGTGACTTAGAATTGCTGGTGGAGGGTTCCTTGTTCATTCCTTTGCCATTCTGTGGAGTTTGGTGTTTGGCATTACAGGGTTTCTCGGTACAGATGTAGCTGAGGCCGTCTCATTGTTGTACGAACTGAATTCCTCCCTTGCAACCTCAATTGCATTTTTGAAGCTTGGTCCTTAGAATGGTCCAGACCCACTGAAGGTCTGCAGGGTCCCTTGCATATTACTCCATTTTGAGTGGGGCCTGACTTCATTGCATGCCTTGGTGCTGAGGGTCTTGAGTGAGTTACCAAGATTTTATTGTGGGGGATTCTCTATTCTTTAATTTTGGGTTTATTTTTATTGATTCCACATTTTAGTGGCATTACCCTTCTGTTGTGGTCTTTTCCATCTTCTATATTCTGCTCAGCCATTCTTTCTGCTGTTGTATTCTGAATTTCCTTTGTCCCTCTGAGTGGGTCATATTCTGGTCTCAATAGATGTTTGTAGGTTATAGAGTCCTGGTGTGTTCCCCAAGACTTGGCTGCTTCCAGGTTGTAACATCAGAGAGCTTCTGAGTGGCCCACTAAAAAACAAAAATTCATTATTACATTCCATGTTGGGTTTTTGTAGTTTACTTGAAGCTAATGATATTATGTACTGCAATAATTATATGTCTAGATGCAAATTTGTATAGGTTTAAAATGTATATTGGGCAAAGCAGTAACTTGATATTAAAAAGAAATAATTTTATCTTTTTTTTTTAGTGATTAATTGCTTTTTGAAAAGATATGTCATTTTTTAATTTGAATAAGTTACATGTTTATCAGTGAGATGTATACACTGTTCTTATAAATGTTTACACATTTTGGGAATATAGGTTTGATATGATAAAGACTCGAGTGATGGGTTTTACATTAATGTTATTAGTTTAACTGCATCAAGTTTATTCTGGAATGATTTTGCCTGGTTGTTCTGCCTATGGAATCCATGTACTGTATGTTGTATGATTGCTTTACAAAGCAAATGGCATACTTCATGAATATGTTAACAACCTGATGCTAAATTTGACAGCATGTTCCACCTTGCTTCATGCTTGCTTCATGCTTTATAAGTGCAGCTCTTGGGATACTTCATTTTTCATTTTCAAAATACAGGTTTTCTTTTTCTAATTACGTGTGAAAGGTCATGTCATAAACTTTGGAATTTGGAAAATGTGGAGAATAAATTCCATGTAATGTACAAAGAAAAAAATTCTAATTACATTTGGCTCTCAATTTGTATTTGAGTTAAATTTCTATTACAGTACAGTATAGGGGAAAATCAAAGTTAGGTTCAAGAGACATTCAAAAGTTCACTCTTTTTAATTATATACTTCTAAAATACCTATTTGAACACTGTTGTTTAATGATACCTTCAGTTTCCATCCACAAATACAGCATGTAATAAAGTCCATAGTGCTTAGAATGTGCAATGACGTAACAATATTCAGTAATTCCATTCCAAAAATGTGTAAAACTTAAGAAGCCAAGAGAGCCATAGAGCATGTGTGATTCACTGTGATCCATGCTCAACCTACTCACCTTCAAAATTCACTTGTCCACTTTAAAACTTGGTGTAACTATGTACTTGATGTAACTTGGTTATGTCAAGTTACTTGGTGTAACTTGTAACTTGATTATGTACTATGAAATCCACCTTCTACAATACAGTACTGCACAAATCAAGGGCTACCAGTGCAGTATTTTATCTCAATATAGGCTATATAATGGACCAATAATAACAGTAATGAACATTACTGAGGTGCCAAGTACTGTATGGTGGAGACCTTTGAGTGAGTGGTTCTGTGTAGTATTCTTGATGGTATGTTAACAGGGCTAGGTGGCCAAGCCTCAGCCATGGATGGCCACACGGGTAACTTGGGCCAGTTTGAGGCTCGGCTGCTGCGCCTCCTGGCCCCATCCTCCAACCTTGTGGGCGGTGGTCCTGTTCTGGCCGGTACTGGTAGTCGTGCCCCTGCGGCAGCAAGCCCCGATCCTGCTGGCATAGCCGCCCCTGCTGCCCTTGATCCTCTTGCTACCAGTAACATCTTAGGTTTGTTTTGCTGCTTATTTATTCAGTTTCACAATGTATGGAAACATTTTATTTTTTTCCACCTGTCATAATTTTTTGCTCATGACTTTTTTTTGTAAGTCCAATTGTTTTAATAATACTTCATTCCATACCTCCTTTCCCTTCCATTCACTTCTTTCCCCTCCTTCTCTCCCAATTTTTCTCTCTCCTTCTTCCCTCCTTACCATTGCATCTTTCTATTCTTTTCTCCTTCTCTTCTTCTGTCCTCCTCTCCTTTTCTTTCTCTTTTTCACACCAATTATGTCACAACCATCTCTGCTAATATTATGTTTCATGGCTGTTGCTATCTCTTTATTTGTCATACATTTTTCCCTACATAATATTACTACATGGGCTACCTTATGTCATCATTGGCTCCTTCACATGTTATTTCATCAGTGAATAACCCATGTGTTAAGACTTTAATGTGTCTCCTTTCACAATTACTATCCCACTTTTACTTCAAAATCATATAATTTGTATTCAAATGATTTATTTTTATGTATAGAAATCCATGTCTGCTTGTGAAACTGCATTTTGTGATCAATGAGCATCAATACATGGCTCATTTCTTCCAAAATCCTCGTTGTCTGCTTGGTATACTGTGTGTGTTTTGCCACTGAATCTTTGGTTTGAGGCGTATTCTGTGACTGATGAGGGTTCATGACAATGAGGGATTCATATCTTTTATTACACATGCCATATCATTCTTTGCCATAAAGCAGCTATTTCCTGTATCTGTGTTAAGTTAGATTGACTTTGGAATTCTGGGATTAAACTGATATTTTTACATTTGGATGTGTCATGTGTTGGTGAATTGCAGGATTGTACTTAAAGCTCATGTCGTGTTCCTCATTAGTCACAATATATTTTACAGAATAATTTTTCTGGGAGGGCTCTCTCAATATCTCCCTGAGCAACACCTACTTGTACAGTATACCTGTAAAACTCTCTGTACCACTTCAGGCTCTTGACAATTCATGAGTGTCTTATCAGAGGCTAGTATCATTATCTAGTTCATTCAGTAAAGTGAAAGGGAAAGTCTATGGGATCTAGGATCGCTACAGTAACCAAGAGAAACACAACCAGAAAGGTGAAGTGCATCAAAACAGACAACTACGTGAATTGCATTTGCAATGCTGATGCAAACTATGTAAACAACCATTAGTCAGGCTGAAGCCCTGGTTTGTAGCGCACACCAACAAATGGCAGCCAGTGCAGCCATTCTTGTGTCGTTGGGCTTTCAGTCTGTTACCCCAGTTTGTGAAGCATTTGCAGTACTGTACTGAGATCTGGTTGGCCCTCATGAATCATTAGAGCCTTATATAGTATTGAGGATTTGACAGGTATAACAGTGTATAGTTCAAGAAGTTACAAAGGAGCCTACCAGAAAGAGGCATTTCATTACATTCATCACTGGTTTTTATCGCATTTAATTCCATGTGAGTAGGGATGTATACAATGATTTTTCTGCTTTTGGCTTTTTAAAGTACTGTGCAATATATTACAAATAAGCAAATATATTTCATGTCAAATGTTTATCATAGCAAAGAGGTTCAAGCACACTAGTAGCTGATTTCTGGTTCAGGTGAAGCATTGCTGACTTGTAACTTCAAATAAAGGGTAAGTTTGAAGGACATTTTGCTTTGAGCATTGTCAGATGAACATATGGCCAGTTGTCTATGTGCAGTATATATGGACATGTGGTAAGCCATGAACGTCAGCTGTTTGCTTGCATGTTATGAAATGTCGCTATGCATGTGAGAAATTTCAGAGGTTATGTAAAGTTAATGAAAATTGAACCTAAGTCAGCATAGTACCTGTAATGTTAAATATGAAAGGCATGACAAAGAAATGCATTAAGAATTTTGGGTGTATATGCAAATGTGTGGGATACAATGTAAAACCAATGGTACAGAATGATAATTGAACATAGATTCAGTATATGAGTTTGAGAATAATAATAAAGGACCTCTACGTAAGATAAAGGCACTGGTCATTAGCTATCTTACATACATTTTGTTTATAAGTGCATTATCAATACATTGAATAACCATTTAGAAAAATCTTTGATATGAATTGTAGAGGAGATATATATATATATATATATATCTATACCACACTTTAGTGGTATAATACCAGTGGTAATACCACAGTTTAGTCAATAGATGTAATACTTACTGAGATATTAACCCAAATATTTGGTTGCTGGAGCTCTAGCACAGGCCTAGAGGGACGTGTCCTCAGCTCCCATTCTTTGCCAAGTTTTTATGTCACTCAATTTCTATGGGAAGCCTCTTCGGCTCCCTGGAACCACTGGACTAATATGCGAATCATTAGACCTGGGCATTAGTCTACGGAGTTCAACCTACTGGGGACCATGAGCCAGAACCTGGCCCCCCTCAGAGAGGCACAGGGTGCAATAGGGATTTTCCTTGTCTGCCATCAACCGGAGTTAGGCACCCAGAAAGGTAGGCATAACAAAACATACCCCACATGGTAAGAAAATTGCAACTGAAAACTGAACAGAGAGGCAGAACTCCCTCCAATCCCAAGGAAACGAGCAGACAGGCAAGTACAAAAATCTCCAGATGGCTGGGAACTGGCATCAGTCACCCTAAAGATCAGTTGCTTGTATCATGATAACCACTGTACTTGAGATATTAACGTACAAAATAGTATGGTGCATCAGTGTGTTTTAGAGAAGAAAGCAAACAATATTACTCCCCAGGTAGACAACAACTGCACTAACTCTTGCTGTCACCAGGTGGCAGCTCAGGTCACCTGGGGATTAGTTTATTATTCATTTTTATGCTTCATAATTGTGTTGTCCCACCCACCCTGCTTGTCTCTAGTTGATTAGTTCATTCCATCTTAGTTTCAGGATTCTCCTAACTGGCATCGGTTTGCATTCTGATTTCCCCACCAAAGATACCTTGTGTTAGGGGTCTGGGAGTTTATTCTTTCAAGTTGGGTAGGTGTTGCATCCAACATATTGTTTACCTTATTTATCTCTTGGATGGATTCTTATAGATCCCCCACACAATTTAAATCTGCATGTTGCTCCTTGCAGCTTTTCAGGATTCAACTCAGTGTTTTAGGACACTGTTAGTCGTTCCTGTTGCCTCAGTGTACAAAGAATACTTCTGGAGGGGCAGAATGGTGACTTACTGTAGCTACACACACACACTAATATATCTGAACCATAAGTCACACCATTCCTTGCTAGTCCTCAGAACTTATTTAACAGCTCAGATGTAACACAATCAAGGAGCACCGGTTTCAGGCTCAAGTCACAATGTAGGATGGAAAACAGGAGATGCTTTTTCATCCATAGAGTTATGAACTCATGGAATTGCCTACCTTCCAAAATGCCCCTAAATATTAAATCCAGGTTGACAAATCATCAGGATAAATGCGGGACCTTATACATGCCATCAACTTCTTATCCTCATTGAGGCCACTAGAAATAGTGGCCCACAGGTAAATTCAGATAAAAACCTGCTGGGAACAAGGGGCCAAAACCTGGCACCCGTCACAGAGGAGCAGAGAGCAGGGGTTTCATGATCACCTCATCAAAGAATCAAACACCCAGAAAGGAAGTGAAGCAAAACAGGCAACTGCAAGTTTCATATAAAGTAAGCAAACAAACCAGCAAACAACTTTGCAAATGATCCCCCAAGTGGTTAGGTTATTCTTCCCCTATTAGCAGCTGATCATCACCAGGTGGCAGGACCACAGGGGTCTGCAAGGTCTTCCTGTCAACAATCCTCATTCTTCGCCTGATATATGACTTGTCTGATCACTCCATGAGTTGCCAGATCATGGTCCCTGGTTTTTCTAGGTAGGGATCAGCCATCGGCCGGTTGGCCGAGCGGACAGCACGCGGGACTTGTGATCCTGTGGTCCTGGGTTCGATCCCAGGCGCCGGCGAGAAACAATGGGCAGAGTTTCTTTCACCCTATGCCCCTGTTACCTAGCAGTAAAATAGGTACCTGGGTGTTAGTCAGCTGTCACGGGCTGTTTCGTGGGGGTGGAGGCCTGGTCGAGGACCGGGCCGCGGGGACACTAAAGCCCCGAAATCATCTCAAGATAACCTCAAGATAGAAGACCCTTTGGACTTTGTCCTTTGGGACCCCATTTACTTGTGAAGTTTTCATTCTTTAGTGTTTGCTTCATGTTTGTTCAAGCCAAGGGCGACCCGCACAAAACTACAACCCCATAATCCAAAGGCCAGACCCAAGCAGAAAAGGAAAACTTTACACCACTGGCTGGAATAACTGCCAAAAAGATACAAGATGAGCAGCCTGCAGAGCACGGGTAGTGCATCCCATCTAGCCTGGGGGCAAATAACCTATACAGCTTGAAGATAGAAACACTAAAAGCAGAATCCCTGAAAATGAGAGCAAGGAGGTTTCTGAAGCAAAAGGAAAACACCAAAAAGCCTATAGCATACAGCGTGGGGCAGGGCACAGACTGCAGTGTCACCCCAAACAGCTGGAATCACAGGAAGGTAGGCACTGCAGCCAGGGCAAGGTGAACCCCCAAAGAGAGACTTGCTCATGTGAATGGACATGAAGTATTAGTCATACAGGTAAAAAAAGATTTAAATACTGGGCATGAAAGGTTCTAATGGGACACAAACCTGCAACCCATGGAGTGGAAGTGCAGCACGGAACTCCAGAGGTCAATTACGCAAACCCGTGGGCTTGGGAGGCTAAGACAGCCAACTCAAAATGGTGCTGATCTGCAAAAGGCACAGGGCACATAAACTCTCTAAGTCAGGACAAAAAAAATCTGGTTCCAGAACTAGAGGCTAGCTCCTTAGCAAACACGCCATGTAACAGGTCAAATTTCCACCAGGAAAAGAATAGGATCTGGGGCTTGACAGCTGAGTGGATAGTGCTTCGGATTCTTAGTCCTGAGGTTCCGGGTTCGATCCCCAGTGGAGGTGGAAACAAATGGGCAGAGTTTCTTTCACCTTGATTAGCCCGTTCACTTAGTAGTAAATAGGTACCTGGGAGTTGGACAGCTGCTACGGGCTGCTTCCTGGGGTTGTGTAACAAAATGGAGGCCTGGTCGAGGACCGGGCTGCGGGGACGCTAGGCCCCCAAAATTATCTCAAGATAACCTCATGAAGGAGCACCAGATTACACAGCTCATTAGCTGCTGAGTTCATATCAGAAGGACTGGATATCAGGCTGGACTGAACTTTACTTCATTGCTTCCCTGGCATTAATATATAACCCAGCAACAGCTGGGTTATATCTTAAGACACCTTTTAAGTAGAAATATCATTATAATGCAGTTCTGTACTTTGTAGCTTCCCTAAGGGATATATAGTATTACTATTGTGCACTCCTAATTATTTTGTACTGTATTTTGATCATACTGTATTTTCCATTTAATCTATAATTCACTCAGGGATAAGAGCATCATATATTGTGCTACATCTAATGATTTCTAATGATTTCATGTCACTTTACTAAAGTTTGTGCATTTTTCTCTTCAGCAGCAGAAGATGGTCTTGGGAGTGATCAGGAGAGAGATGCAAGTAAGATAGCTATGCTCTCTCCTGCACGGGTCCACTTGACAGGGTCTTCACCAGCAGTACAAGTCACTTGTGGGCTTCATCATTCTGGTATGAATGCATTAAATATTGTGTACAATCATTTATAACATAAATTTAAATGTTATGTATCCGGTGTTCAGATACACAATGTTTTGAGGAATATGCTTAACTATTTTAAACTAAGTTCGAACCTGACTCGGCCTTTCTCAGTGAGATTTTAACTTAACCAGTTGCCAGTTCAGCTCAATATCTCTTTGCTACTACTGTATACCTATTGTACCTTCTTATATAATAGTAGGGGAAATAATGATATAAAAATTCCTGTTGCCGAGAACTACCTGCCTTGCCAAGGAGCAAATGACAATAGTTGCCCAACTCCCAGGTATCTATTTTAATACTAGGTGAAAAGAGGCATCAAGTAAAAGAATCATTTATTTCATTTAAATTATTTCATGAATCGGTCATTTCTGCCCTGTCTGAGAATGGTAAACTGAGGATGTCGACGACTATGGCACTCATGTGGTACAGCTGTCAGTTATGTTGTACAGCTGCAATCAAGTAGCACAGCTGTTGATCATATAAAACAGCTGCCAATCACAGTTGTTATATGTGCACTTGTTCATGTTTGTGGATATTATGAGATAAGAGGCAAAATGCTTGGGAATAATTTTACTCAATTAGGGGGGCAGGGGGTAGGGTGGGAAGGGTCTGGAGGGAGAGGAGGGGAAGATGGGTGGAGGAGTATGAGAGGGAAGGGGAAGAGTAGGGGTGGGTGGGGGAGAAGGGGAGGGGAAGGAAGTAGGGGTGGGTTGGCAGAGAGGGAGGGGAAGAGGGGGAAGGGAAGGAATTATCAGGGCAAAGTGCCAAGCCATCATAACTATATAGCACTGGGAAGGGGTCAGAATAAAGATTTGGGGTGGGACGGGGAAAAGGAATGGTGCCCAACCACTTGAACAGTCGGAATTGAATGCCGACCTGCATAGAGCGAGACCATTGCGCTACCGTCCACCCAAGTGGTTGGTCGGGAAGATGTAGGGGTGGGTAAGAAGAGAGGAGGAGGGGAAGAGGTAGGGGGTGCATGGGGGAGAGGAAGAGGTAAGGGTGGGTAAGGAGAGAGGAGGGAGGAAAGAGGTTGGGGTAAGTAAGGAGGAGAGGGGAAGAGGTAGGGTTGCATGAGGGGAGGGGAAGAGGTAGGGGTGGGTGGGGATAGATAGGGAGGGGAAGAGATGGAGGTGTGTGAGAAGAAGGGGTGGGGGAAGGAGGTTAGAGGGAGAGAAAGAGAGGATGGGGGAGAGGAGTGAAATAGACATGCCTGAGCACTGCTGAGCCCCCCCCCCCACCCCTTCTAGCCATAATACTGTAATAATAATAATAATTCATTGTGTAAGGGAACAGGCAGCCAGAGTGTATTTATACACATTAATCTTATATCGAGGTTTCCCCCCCAAATTTGAATTACTGACCCCGTCCAGGATACAACCTCACAACAAGCCGACTGACTCCTGAGTACCTACTTATTGATAGGTGAACAGGGCATTGGATGATAGGAAATGCACCCAACCATTTCTGTCTCGCCTGGGATTCGAACCTGGCATTCTCAATTGTGTGTTGAGAACAAACCCGACTGTACTACTGGGACTCCCATTTGTATAAGAAACATACAAATTTTGTGTGTGAAATGGTAGAAATATCTGGGTGCTATCATTCTTGTGTACGATGTGTCATGTAATGGATGCTACGAATTCTTCACTCCAACAAATCAGGGTTGATCCCATATAGTTTTCCAAATTGAGATTGTACTGTATAGTATAAAATTATACTTTGTTGAATAATACTGAAAATCTGTGAAGTGCAACTGCTGTAACATGATTAAATACAACATGATGTACTATACTTGACCTGTCTTTTGTGTGTGTGTGTTTATAAGCTATAAAGCATTTGATTTTGCAACATCTCCCTTTATAATTCTTATTTAGTTGTGCTGTGTGCCAATGGAGAAACTTACACCTGGGGCAGTAACAGCTATGGACAGCTGGGAGTTGGGGATCTGATTTCAAGAGGATCACCAGTCCTGATCCGCTTACCTCCAAATGTTCGCGTGACGCAGGTGGCTGCAGGAAGTAATCATACAGTTTTTTTAACGTCCAATGGACAAATCTACAGTTGTGGAGATTTTCAGGTAAGACCCAGAATTAATTGAAGCTTTGATAATCAGTGTGATTTTAACGGTAGTACAAATAATAATAATAATTAAAAACTAATACAAATATTTGTGATGATTCATATATCAGTAACAATAATTCAATTAATACTGTACTAGTAATAATGATTTTGGGCTTTTTACTAATTATAGTAGCGTATAGATTGTTTGTACAAGCATATCTGCTCTTAAGATGATGTATTGATGTGTGTGAGGTATTTGAAGATCCTGGAATTCGTCTTCATTCATGTTCACCCATGTAACAATGTTATCGATTGGTCCAAAGCCAAATACTTAGGCTATAATAAGTGCTTTATTGATAGGAATATAATAGAATTGTCCCTCATTAGTTAAAATACATGTAGTGGTATTCTAAATATTAGTCCTGGTTTGTTTAAATAGATTCATTTTTAACTGAACAAATTACCACAAAATTCTGAATGTTTTCTTGTTTCAACACATTTTTAGGGAAATGCTTGAATAGCCCCCAAGCCCTAAATCACTATTAACTTTATGACTCGAGCAAGATTTGAACCTTCATTACCAGGGCTTACCCACTGGCATACACAATACACAATACAGTACTAATACCACTTTACAAACCACTTCACCAGTGATTGCCTGGTGAAGTGGTGTGCGTGTATATACTGTATATATTATCATATATATATTTATTTATTTATTTTTGCAGAAAAGTCAACTTGGTCGATGTGCACCTCAGAGTGATGCAGGGGAAGGCAGTAGTCGTGGTCGTTGTCCTTGGTACTCCGTGCCTGGCATAGTCCCTGGTATTGGACCAAGACTTGGATGTCGTGCAACATGGATTGGTGCATCTGCTGATGTCACTTACGTCAAGCTAGATCAGTCTCTCATCAATGCTCATAATCTTAGTGCTGCTGCTGTTGTTGCCAATAGCAATTGCTTAGGTGAGGATATTTATTGTATTTTCATTAAGGCTGCAGTTGTTATTACTACAATACTCCTGTTGCAGTTGCTTCCAACTATATCTCTGATGCTTTATGCTTTACTGCTTCTGTAAATTGCCTGCTCATGTTTGAAGGAGTTCTTCATGTATAATGTATTAACTATATATAAAAGAATGCTGGAGATACAGTATTCCAGTTGTTGGTTTGGTGCCCAATTATTGAAGAAGTTGCTGTTTAATTGTACTGAGGAGTAAGAATGTGTTCAACATATTAGGGCTTAAGTAAACATAAATTTATGGAAAACAATCTTCATTGCATAATCTTAATACTGTACTGTACAGTAAAATAGACCATTGTTTAAAAGGCGTATGTAGAAAAAATAGAAGATCGAATATTTTTTATAGATATATTGAGGATAAATATTTTCAATGGTTCAGAAATTTAATTAAAACTTTTCATTGATATTTAAATATAGTAATAACAATTAATTTTGTACAGGACAGGCATCCTGTGTATTGTATATGTTTGACTTATATCGAGGTCCTCTCAAGGTCAAACTACTGACCTTCCCCAGGATGCAACCCAACAACAGTTAACTAACTCCTAGGTACTTATTTACTGTTAGGTAAACAGGCATCAAGTGATAAAAAACATGCCTAACCATTTCTCTCCTGCCCGTGACACGAACTGGGAATATTATCCAAACACCGGGTACTCCTAGAACACCCAAACCCCGAAGCCTGAATATCTGCCCAGAACATGTTGGAAAACTTGCAAACGTCATGAGCCACAAAGATGGTCCGCAGGCTGGCTATATTTGATTACAATGCGGACAGTTTGGGAAATATTACCCTTGTCACAAGGGACCCTGTTCAGCAAGATAGCTTCAGGGAGCCACCAGAGCTCTTCCAGAAAGAGACATTTCATTACATTCAATGCTGGATTTATTGGAAAGATTATGAAGCCCACCCATTCCATGACCAGAAGCCAAGATAAGAAGAAAATCAACCTTAGATAAACAAAACAGAAACCTATCAACAAGGATTCAACAAAGAGTCCAGGGGCCAGATTCACGAAAGCACTTACGAACGTGTACATCTTTCCTCAATCTTTGACGGCTTTGTTTACATTTATTAAGCAGTTTACAAGCATGAAAACTTGCCAATCAACTGTTGTTATTGTTATAAACAGCCTCCTGGTGCTTTGGAGCTCATTAACTGTTTAGTAATTATAAACAAAGCCGCCAAAGATTGAGAAAAGATGTACACGTTCGTAAGTGCTTTCGTGAATCTGGCCCCAGAATGAGATCGTTACCAAGATGGCTTAAGATGAGGATGAGTTGCATGCAAATGAAGAAGTTACATACTCAATGATGCTAAATCTAATACACTTTCCAGGATAAGAGGCTCTATCAAAGCCAACCATTATTGGTGACATTAATTGGCATTAGATGCTGTAAGGACTAGATTAGTTAGTCCTTATCAGTGACTAAAGGAGTTAGATATAAGACAACATTCCCAACCTTTTAGCCTTTTATTTTCTGATGCCCTATTACATCACCTTATATTCAAGTTCTATTTTCCCTTAAATGTGTGTGGACTGAAGTTGGATTCTTATGTTTACTCAAAGCCAGATTCATATTTTTTTATAAATAACTAAAAGATGAAAGCAAATGATCGTGTTTTACAGTGAATTTTTCATGTTTCATAAAAATAATAAATAATAATTTTATTTCAGTGTTGTTACCAGTTGGTGGGAAAAAAGAGGAGGAGGAGGGATGGAGATGTCTAGTTATCAGTCGGTCTGATGGGCAGTGTCGCAGTTTCTCTACACAAGATCAGATATGTTTTACTGGCCATACCATATGTCTTGATCCTGTGTATAATGTGCTGTGGAGGTAATACGATGCTTCTTTATGTATGCTTTTTCAAAATTGTCAAGGATACTGACTATATTTTTGTTTCTACGCCTTTTGAGTTAAGACTTGGATTTCTTGCAGATTTCTTTAATGTTTTCAGATATAATAATGAAGCCTCATTTTAAAAATGTGTTTCTTTTCATGTAGGATTCTTGTCCATCAAGGATTTTGCCAATATTTTTAACTTTATTTAATGCAATATATCCTTGTATATACAAGCACAATCTAACTATGTTAAAATGTGTTTTAAACATTTAAATATTAAACCAAAGAAGCTATATTCAGTAAAATCCAGCTCTGATTCGCCTAGAGAAACCAACCAAACTCGGCAAACAGAATATAAGTTGAACATTCCTCCTGGAATCAATGGGTACTGTCTACCTGGAATAATGTGCAAACTCGCAGACATACTATGCACAGGGAGAGTCTTGTCAGAAGTTGTATACCTAGCTCTGATCAATTTCTGACATGGGTAGCTGTTCAACACCACAAATGATGAAGAATCTCTTTTTGCTACCCAAGTGCATACCCAGCAAAGGCACAAGGCACTAAAACATTGATGAATCAAGGGCAAGTGCAACACAAACACTAGCATATAGCAAACTATATCAATTCCCAATTAACAGGCTTCACGATGGAGGAGAAATAGCACACAATACCCAGAAGCAAGGTGACTCTAGAAAAGCTGACTTGTAGAGATAGAAACTGTATACCTTGGAGAATGTATCTAACGGCAAGTGGGAGATTCACGCCGGCCACCTAGGAAGACAACCATGGCTCGGAGCTGCAGCAAAATAAAAGCCAAGAATATGCAGTATAGGTGGTATTAATCACAAACATGAGACCTTAATAAAATCGAACCAAAGCAATATAACATGGTACAGGATTTCCAAGGATAATGATCATCATTTAGCTGAATCAGGCTGCAGCAGAGTGGTCCCTACAGAGTGGTGTGATTCATATTACACCAGGCTCACAAGTAAGGTGGATAGCTTGTGTAGGGATGGCATCTGAATCCTGCTTCTAGCTTCCATCAGCTCAGCGTGGGTCTCAGAGGAGTCTGATGTGATTCTGAGTGCTTGAGTATAGAAGCAGTCTTAAGAAATGATAAATCTTTATTTAAAAGATAAAAAATACACAAACATATATCTACTCATATTTTGTTCTTGATAGTGGTCAGTATTCCTTTTGGCATTTGTGAGTATTACATTGTGATTGGAGCCAGGACCAGACAAGTAATATTTGTTGTCTATTTTTCATATGAAATATATTGTATTCAAAAGTTAGGAATATGTATGTAAAATGAATAGCAAAATATATATATGCAGTGAAGATTCCATGGTAAGATCTTAGGTAAGTGCAGTATTGTCATGTATTGATGGGAGTCCAAGAGTTGAAGTCCATCTGAACGTATTTTGCACCCTTCCATTGAGCATTTGGAACCATACGAGCAACATTAGTATTCAAACACTTATGCAAGATGTAAATCGTCCTTTCATGATGACTTTATTGTTCTAGAAACTAGACGATTAACGCATGACAATAACTGCATTTTGAAGGATAAATCCATCCCTTAGATATGTATGGCTATTTATTTGCCAATTTCTAATTTCTGCTTTGTCTACTGTAATACTGTAATACTTTGTCTACTTAATACTGTACGCTCCCATGCTTATCTTCAATATTTCAATTCGTTTTTCCACTAGACTTTGTATTTTATACTTTTCCAAACATTTCAAACATTTATTTCACTTTTTTTCACTCCCGCATTCATAATTTTACATGGCAATATGAATTACATTTTGATACACTTTTTTTTTAATATATAAGGTTTTATAATACTTATATAAACTCTGACCATTTTTGTAATTTACTTGAAATCATCAGCTATGACAACTCTCGTCAAGATGTGTATTGTTACAATATAGTCGCAGCTGAGGCCCAGAGGCTGTCTAATGGTGGACTCCAGGATGGCCTTAGAGATCTTCTTTCGCCTGAATTATCTCTTCCTATACTACCTGAGTACCAAGTTTCTCGCGCTCAGGTATGTGGCATAAACGGGCATGCAAATCATTGAATACAAAATTTCTGTGTGCGTGAGAGAGCAAAAATCAAATGAATGAACTTAGATGTATTTATACTTGAGGAAGTAAAATTGCTAGGTCAAGGCACTATCCTGGTATCAGCTGTGTGGTCAACCATAATAAAGTTTGGTGAAGAGCGAGATTTGGTATATTTATTAGGTAAAAAAATTACTGTTTTTAATTTTTTGAACAATATACTGTATACAGTACTACAAATAAATTAAAACACCTGGAATGATTTATAAGGTGTTATTCAAATTATTTTGCTTTGTACTGGAATCTTTTATTGTCTCACAGGTTGCACTGCATATGCTGTCATGCATAGATACTGTTACTTGGGCTCATGAGCATGGCTTGACTGTGGTAGAAGACGATCCCCAGACAGTTGCTACTGTACGGGTGTATACTAGAGAGGACTTCACACCTGTTAATAGATTTGAAAGTAAGTTGACCATTTCTCATTTTAATCAATCTATCTGTTAACATTTATTTTTTTCTGGAAGGCTCGTATCCCCCCTTCAGTAGTTTCCTGACGCGTCAGTCTGGAACCATCCAAGTCTTGGGAGGCACACCAGGGGCCAGATTTATGAAGCAGTTACACAAGCACTTACGAACATGTACATCTTTCCTTAATCTTTGACGGCTTTGGTTACATTTATTAAACACTTTACAAGCATGAAAACTTCCCAATCAACTGTTGTTATTGTCATAAACAGCCTCCGGGTGCTTCGGAGCTCATTAACTGTTTAATAACAGTAAACAAAGCCACCAAAGATTGAGAAAAGATGGACAGGTTCGTAAGTGCTTACGTAACTGCTTCGTGAATCTGGTCCCAGGCCTCTGACAGAATATGAGCACCAACCAAGGAACAGCACCAGTATCTAGTCCCCTGCACCTTTTTGGTGGTTTATTATCTCAGTTCTGTGGTGATATCTAAGCCATAGGAATGGATGGTTCTAGCTTGTAGCATTGGGGAGCTACTGAGGGATCTCTCACACACAAAAAAATAAGATATTTCATTTTGTACAATACTGGATTTTATTTTGAGCTGTGCCATTTAGTTGGTTTTGTTGGCAATATCCTGCTCTTTGCATATCGAGGGAAGAAACAGTAAGGCCGGGCAGATTAACAATCAAGCCACAGATTGCCTAATAGTGCCCTTCAAACTTCTAGTTGGCCCACCTGGCTACTAACCTAGACCATTAACAGAAGTCAACACCTATATACCAGCATAGTAAGAAATTATCGGTTTCATATTTTTCCTGCCTCTAAAATTTTATACTTATATTGCTAGCCAAGACATCATTATACAGTCAAGTGATTTGTGCTTATCTTTTGAAACCTTAATTTCTCTGTGCAGTAGGCTCATGCCATTTGTGGACAATTGTGTGTTTGCTTAGTTATTTGTTGATCTAGATTTTTGACTGGCAGTCATAGCTTTTGAAGGTTGACAGTCCAAAGTTGTTTTCTCTGTTCTGATTCTGTTTGTACCATAGCTGTGGTCATTGGTTATTCTTCTCTTTAGTTTGCCTCATGCATTTTAAAATCCCTGAGAGTTGTCCTGTGCTGAGACATTAGAGCTGTACATGCACATTTGGTTGCCACATCATGTGTGCTTGGTTGTAATTCATTCAGTTACCCTATGGTCTCACTTGAGAGTATTATGTAGCTATCTCTAGGCTGGTTTCCTCAGTAGCTCCTCTCAGGTTATGTCACTGGCACAATGGAAACATTACGGACATTCCTGATTCTTCCGACAGTCCCGACCCACGGTGGGCCAAGGACCTTTACACAAAGTTTTATTTATTCAATGGGGACAAGGCGTTCATTGGGAATCAGAGGTAAACCAACAATCAAACTGAACCCCCGTTTGAAAAAAGGGAAAAGAAGCCCTCAAATTACTCGACCCCTCACTCTGGGCAAGCCAGCCTGGACACAACCAGGCAGTCCAACCCAGAGACAGCTGGGCAAGCCAGCTATAATACACTCAAAATTACAGCCAGACAAGACAGTCTCAAGTCAGACAAACCAACTGGGCAGAACAGCCTGGAGAACAAAATGTCCTGTAGACAGCCAGAATGTTTTCTTTCCCAAATCTTGGCTTTTTTCCTCCTTTTGCCTGCAAAAGCCCTTTTTCATCGTTTTGATAATGTTATATTCCTCTCTAAGGTGCCATTGTGAGTAAGCTCCAAGAAATTACTTGGAGTCAGTCTTCGATTCCTGCAAGCTCCCTTCATCTCTATGAGGGAACTACATTCTGGGCCTTTATGTTAAATTATAACTATAAGACATTTAATGTTGCAGGTCATGGAGGTGGCTGGGGATACTCAGGCCACTCAATAGAAGCTATTCGGTTTATGTCCGACACAGATGTCCTTATTGGGGGCTTTGGACTTTTTGGAGGAAGGGGTGAATACATGGGCAAGATCAAGGTAAATTTGTTGTCGTATTTCTTACTTGCATGTAATACATACACCGTAATTCATAATTTATTATACTCTTAAGTCCAGTTTTTAGAGAGGGACATAACATTTTATCTAAGTTTAGCTCATAATCTTGTACATTTTCAGTGCTATGATTTGTATTTGTTAATTTACCTTACTATATTTAAAAATTGTATATAGTTTTGATTTTGCCTTGTGTTTCTTTATGATATTTGCTGTTATTAATTATCAGGAGTTGGGGGCTGTCATGTTTCCCTCATCAGGAATACCTCATGGTTTGATCTTTTTTGTCTTATTAGTGGTTTGTGTGTGATGTCTGGAGGATGTCTTCATGTCAGTTTAAAACTTTACACACTTGTGCTTGATTGTGAAAGTAAGGCTGCTATTGAAATCAGAAAGTGTAGTTCTCTGGTGCTGGTCTTAGAATACTTGATAGTTCTTTCAAAGTTACTATGACAATTTCTTCACAATCTTAGGCAGACTTTTTCTGTTAAAAACAAGTTATCGATTGAGGGGTAGAGAGAGGGCAATTTTTTTTAAATAATGATGACAAATGCACAAATTTAGAATTAAGAGCCAGGCTCTTAATTGCGCTAGAGCTGCACTCTTCTTCTCACCCACCAACACTGGTCTCTTCCTCCCACCCACCAACACTGATTCCGAACACAGGCACACTTGTTTACCTTCACCATACACATATAGAGCCGCATGGGGGGCTTCGCAGCTGAGTGGACAGTGCTCGGGGGTCATAGTCCGAAGGGCCCGGATTCGATTCCTGGCCGAGGCAGAAAAAAATAGGCAGAGTTTCTTTTACCCTGATGCTCCTAATCACCTAATTAAGCTGTGTCATAACATCCAATAACTGCTTACCGTTTACTTAGCAGCAAGCTTGGTAAATTCAATAGCAACCATAATCCATCTGTACTGAATGTTGACTCTGTAAACTAGGCTCCAAATACTGGTATCAAAACCGGCTCTTAACTCCAGTTGGATGCTAAATCAGAGATCCTTAAATCGGGTGGATGCATCTGTGTGAAGTGTAGAACCTTCAGAATAAAAACCTTTCCCCCATCCTTCCCTGGAAAACAATTGTGGGTGCTTCCTGTCCCATATGAGTTGCTGTGTGAAGAATTAAATGGAAGCTTCTGTGGGAGAGGGGGAGGACGGGGGCTCCAAAGTAACACATTCAGTGTTATGAAATGCCACTTTCTGGGCTTTGCCCTAATGATGACTATTCTCCAGTCTTGATTTGTTGTGCATTGTACTCTGTAACTTTGTTGTTAAATGAGGCTTTAGCACTAGAGTAAATTACCTGGATCACAGTTAACATGTTGTCTGAGTGCTCACCTTTCCACCTTGTCAGGTTGGCCAGGGTTGTCTTTCCTGGCTCTGATGGTTGTGCTCATTGACCACCAGAGGGTGTCTTCTTTGTGCTTGTACTTATTACAAGCACTAAGACTAAATCTTGGACACATTGTTTAATATTCCCTTGACTATTATTGCTCTGTTTTCATCTGCAGCTATTTGAACTTGGAGTTGAGGGAGGGGACCAGGAGACTGATGGAGAGTTGTTAGCAGAGACAGAGGAGATGCCTTATGAGTGTGGCGCACGCCAAAAGTTCCCGATGCTCTTTGACGAACCGGTTGCTGTGCAAGTTAGTAGATTCTTGTTGTATTACAAATTAATCTTATAGTTAATCTTTTTTCAAATTGTTGATTTATGTTTAACATTTATCTGAACTAAGGAATGTTGGAATATATTAGTCATCAGGTATTAGATAAATTTGTGAAATACTTACACTGTTACTGATATTACTGCAAGTGTCTTTTGTGTTCTCTAGACATGTATATTATAATGACTTATAATCTTTATTTAGTATATTTAGGGTTTTGTTTGCCATATCTAAGAAGGATAGATTTGGGCTTACAGTATTACTTAATTTTCCAACTCATATGTACCATATGTTTCTAAATTAAGGCGAAGAACATAATACGGTTTAATTCTTGGTAAATTATTATTTTTTTAATTTTATTATTTTTGTTTCTCAAAGGCTAACAAGTGGTATGTGGCATGGGCCCGTGTGAGTGGACCGAGCAGTGACTGTGGATCATCAGGGCAGAGTATGGTCACCACCGAAGACCAGTAAGTAGTACTTAAACAATTTAAAAAACTACAGAGTAATTACTAATAATTAATTCTGGAGGTTTTTTTCCGGGTCGGGAGTGATTTTGGTTGGCGGAGCACACTCGTATAACTCGCACGCTGCAATTACAGCATAATGAGGTCGGCCTTCGCAGGTGCACTGCTTTAAGCTGTGTTAGCATACTTGTATTTCTTTGCAATACAATACTTATATAAGATCTGGCGTATTGTCCCAGGTTCAGTGGTTCTATGGATATTCCCCCAAACTCGCTCTCGCTTCATGTGAGTTTGAGGGTTGCATATCGTCCTTGCCACATGGCGATGTTTATTCCTTCTGCTTCTGCCAGGCTGCTTGTTGGGTCAGTGACACCTTTGGACCCAAGTCATGTGGGGTTTGCATCCTTCTTGCTGCTCTCCTTTTCAGGCAGCAACTGCTTTGCATCTTAGATATTCTGTGTTGCACCAGTTGGATGCCCTCAAAAGCTGCCCTAGTTGGTGTATAGGGACATAGATTTGGAGGTGTTTGTTACCTCAACCTTGGTTCTGTCTGCATCTCCTCTTCCTTTTCCTTTGGGTGTTGTTCACCCAAAGGCAAATCCCTCAGATGATTGTGGCTGGAAACATCTCAGAGGTTTCGGCATAGGGGCAGGGCTTGGCTCGGGATGTGGCTTGGTCACCTCTGGGGGGTTGCCCCATTTTGATTTGGGCATAGCAGCAGTTGATCATTCCAGTCCTGCCCAGGCTTCTGGGTCTTCCTTTCAACCAGATTCTTCTTCCTTCTTTGAAGCTTCTCTCTCTAACTCTGCTTATCTGTCCTGGACAATGGATGGAGACGATAGCTCTGCCCCGGGGCCCCTCTGCTGTAGGCAATTAGTAACACTAAATAATGTATAATAATAGTACACTAATAATAATCATAGCATAACTATTCCTGTGAAGTGCACTAAATTAACCAGTATTAAATTCACTCCTCAGTAGTGATTACTGATTATTGTCACTTGAATGACTAATATTCATGATTATTTTGCATAGCAACCCAGTCCTGTAGTGATCTGGGGCAAGATGTCTTAGATCCCCCACCATGTTAAGTTTGAAACCTTGGATAGAACTATGTGGCTGATTTAAAAGTCTGATTCTGATTCTGAAAGTCTGAGACTGATCACAGTCTCCGTGGTGTAGTGGTAAGACACTCGCCTGGCGTTCCGCGAGCGCTATGTCATGGGTTCGTATCCTGGCCGGGGAGGATTTACTTGGTGCAATTCCTTAACTGTAGCCTCTGTCTAATGCAACAGTAAAATGTGTACTTTGATGAAAAAACGATTCTTCGCGGCAGGGGATCGTATTCCAGGGACCTGCCCGAAACGCTACGCGTACTAGTGGCTCTACAAGAATGTAACAACTCTTGTATATATCTCAAAAAAAAAAAAAAAAAATTGAATACCTGCCTGCAGAGTACAAAACATGTTGCAACACATTTATGAGGTCTTGGTTAAAACTTGGATTGAGTGGCAAGGCAAAAGAATTGAAGCCCTACCCTCGCAAACACAGTTAGGCAAGGAGTGTGTGAATCATTAAGGTTTGAGGCTGGTAGGAGCAGAAGTAGGTGGGATAGAGGGTAGGTGGGGCAGGGGTGGGATAGGTTGGGGAGGCTTAATGCATCTATTTAAGTCATGATCCCCACCAGAAAATGGTGTTCCATTGCCTTCAATGCTTGAATTTTAATACATAGTATTATTATTTGTTAATATTCTGTACTGTGTTTGTAAAGCATCAGTAAGTAACTTAAGTAAGTTACTAAACTCCATAAATCTGGTTTTGTCCTATAAAATTAGCATAAAACTTGGTTATGATTTTGGCTGAGTTATCAGATTTTTTTTATTAATATAACCAGATAACCAAGTTTTCTGGTTAGTGAGGGCCAAATTTGTGAACAGTCAGTGTTCTGGATGCAATATAATAAAATATTTGCAGTGGATATAACCTGCCATATTCATTATTTAATTACAATATTAATATTTCTGATCTTATATTTAATGTTGTTCACATTTTCAGGGTTATTTTCTACTTCAAGTCATCAAAAAAATCTAATAATGGGACAGATGTCAATGCCGGACAGATTCCTCAGCTATTGTATCGTATTTTAGCACATGAGGGATCAGTAACTCCGAGACCAGTCCACGATTCTTCAGAATCGATTCCAATACTCTCTAAAGGCTTTTTCATGAGTGTTAGAAATGTAAGTACAGTATATCTTAAACAGTTTTGTTTTAATCATTAATTTTGTAAAACAAATATTTAAAAGTATTTTTAGGCAATTTTTGCAAGGATTATTTAATGGAGTTTGTCTGTTTATTTTGGACCTGCCTTGAGTTGTGGGGGGGGGGTTGTTGTACAGTTGCTTTTTGCACCTGAAGCCTCTGCTGTGGAGATTCGTGGGTCTCATGTTCACTTGGCTATTACCTGGTTAATACCTGGTTGATGGGATTCTGGGAGTTCTACTCCTCAAGCCCGGCCCGAGGCCAGACTTGAGGACAGACTATTGTTTTCTGCACCTGGGCTGTGGTTTGGCTGTTCTCTGTCCTGTTCCGGTGGGGTGGCCTGGATGTTTTGGCTTCAGTGCTCGGGGTCTTAAGGCTGTTTTGCCCATGATGCAGGTTTGGGATGCTTTGCCCAAGTAATTCACTCCCCTCCTTCAGGAAGTGGTTGCATCTTTTCATTTTCTTAAGCCCTGATGATTGTTGACACGGGAAATCTGCAGGCTTCCCGTGTCAACAGTCATCAAACTTGTGCAGCACCATCACCGTGGTGCTGCCTCCTTGTGATGGCTAGCCGTTACTAGGGACGGTATGACCTAACTTCTGGATGGTTCATTTGCAAAGTCATGTGTTGCATTGTTTGTTTACTTTCTGTGAACCTTGTTGTTGTCTATATTGCTTCACTTCATATCTGGGGATGTTTCTTTAGTGAAGGTGATCATGAATGCCCTTCACCCTGTATATCTCTGAGGGGAGTATCAGGTTTTGGCCTCTGGTCTCCAATAGGTTATTAAACACTTCTAGGACTGATGTGACTTACATGTGGGGTAGCAATCTCAGTGCCACTGAGATCCTCTCAGAAAGAGGCATTTCATTACATTCAACATTTAATGTATTTATTTGCAGTTAGGATGGCAGTTGTAATGATAATTACATTTTGAGGCTTAAACAAAATTAGGCAGTAATTAATATTTTACAAAAGTTTTTGGCTGGTTAGCAAATGTTCATTGTACAAGAATGAATTACTTACATTTCAGGATGTTTTCCAATCACTGCTGGACCTGCTTGGCTGGGCTTGGTCCACTTTAAGATCATGCGTGGGGGAAGTAAGTCATGAAGTTTTGTTGCACTCAAGAAGTCACACATTTTGTACATTAGCATTATATAAAAGGATATGTACAGAAACTGAAAATTTAGTTTTTGGTATATACAGTATTGTATTCGTTTTCTCATTATGACTATCCTGTGTTACTCCTTAAACTTTATTTATTTACCTTAATTTTGTCAAGCACTCCATGTAGACAGCCATTTTCATATTAGCGCATGCTGCTCAATTTTCAATGCACATCTTAAATGTTCTTATTACAAACTCAAAAGTTCCACAGAAATATAATCATTATCATAGTTGTTTCTAGTAAATGAAGTGTTACAAGAGGGACCACCTGGTACTTGATGTAAAGTCTGCTATTGGATGCAATATTGGTAGTGAAGACAAAATGGATTTCTTTACAGGAAAATTAAAACAGAAGATTTCCAAAGGTCAAGGTACAGGGATCTAAAAGCACTCTTTTTTTTTTTTTTTTTTTTTTTTTTTTTTTTTTTTTTTAATGTACTGTAAGGCCAGGAAATAATTTAGACACCCTGTATGAGAAATTCTGAGATATGTTAGAGAGAGAGCCTGGGCTAAATACCATAAACAGGGATTGAGAAAAGCAAATACTGTACAGTATATGTGTGTGAAGGAAAGCTAGAGGAAGGGCAGGTGAGAAGAGGAAGAAAGGTAGAAAATGATTTCTTATTGGAATAATTATTTAACTGTATTATTAACATTTTTCTGGTGTTTATTATTAAGCTAAATTATTTTTTAAGAGATTGCGTTCTAATTTCAGCAAGTGAGTCATGTAGGCAGCACAGGAGCAAGTCCCACCGTAGCCATGTTGGATCTTCAGCGACTTGTGTACATTTGTTGTGCTTGTCTACGCCTCCTCAGAATATACATTAATGAAGTCTACCCCAATTCAGGTTAGTTGCCTAAGATATAATGAAACAAATGGCAGTGATAATTGCTCCAGAACCAAGGGATGAGTTGATAATACACTCCATTTATTCCCTGTGCTGTGAGTGGGCAACGTTACCCTTGAAAAAGGTCTTGTTAGAAAAAATAGATGACAGTCTTCTGAAGTGATTAATTAAGGTGCTGGTTTGGTCAATGTCTGGCTGAGGTTTATGTAGTTGTCTGATGCATCCCACAATAGTGTGGCCTTGATAGAAACATACCCGGGCTGCCATATCTCAATATTATTTACTAACCTGTGTTATTCTCTTAGTACATCACAGGACCTATCATGTAGGTAATATTCCCCAGTCACAACATTATGATAGCTATCCTTCTCTCTAATGCCCACTGTACTACCCTTTACCTCACGTACTTGGCCTACATCTTCCAAATTTTATTTCCTGAGGCTATGGTTAAAAGCAATGTCATGTAATTCTTTCTAAACATCTATAATATATATAATTTCTAATCTTGTTAAAATGCATTCCTCTGATCAGGGGTAAAGTGCTGTAATAAGAATATGCCACTCTGGCCGTGGTGGAGTTTAAAGGCATTTGCATTTGTTTTAGTTAAATTAATGAGAAAAAAATTAAATATTAGATAAGAAAATAGAGAGAGATGATAACCACAAACAAATTTGTAAATAAATATGAGAAGAAAGACATAGAAGAGGTCTTTAAACCAAACATAATCAGAAGTAGAGATTGTTGTTGTGAACTTCCCCCAATAAATTTAAACCCAAATATATGAAATAATTTTAAGTTATACCTAGAACACTGTGTGTAATTAGTGACTAGAGGATATATATATAACACTAGATGGTACCAGTGGTACCCTGGTGTGTCTGTCTGGCTTGGTGTGTATGTCTCCTCGCCTCTTCCAATTCTCCCTCCCTCCCTCCTATTCTTCTTCCTATTCTCCCTCAAATTTTTATGTTAGGTGTTGGAGGCCAAAACCATTACAGTAGTAGTTTCAAAGCATCATATGACAGAGTCCTGGGAAGATGGGACACAAATAGCATAGCTCTAATCCTTTAACTATATTTAAGCAATTAAACTCGAGTAATTACAAAAAAAGCTTTCAAGGGCATTTATGTAAGTTGTGGCTCGAGAATTCATTACCCCGAATTAAGAACTGTTTGCAACTTTTCAGTGCGAACATTACGAAGTAATGGTGAAAAGGGCTGCCTTGCAGAGAGTGTTGCAGATGTACGTGGTCTCCTTCGTCAGATGCTGTCTGATCCGATACCCTCACTTTATTCCTCACGCAAAGGCAAAATGCGTAACGGAAGAGGTACGGTATTGTAATAAGATATTTTATTATTAGCTGCATAATTTATAATGCCCTGTACCTTAATTTTTATGTAGAGCTTATAATATTGTGATAAATATTTGTGTTTTTGATCACATTATATACTGTACTCTTGGTGCCGATTCCTTATTCTCACTGCTTTAATAATTACTGTGTATCAGAATATTTCTTTAATATGAAAACGTTGCATCATTTTGAATATTTGTCACAACTTCAGTACTACAGTACTATATTGTTTTAGCCCAAGAACTGAAGCTTCTTCACCTCAGGTTTAGTGTCATTTATGTTGCAGTGCTATATAATGGGAGGCCACCCAGTTATATATATATATATGGTCTCCTGCTGTATTTCTTATAAATTTCTAAACTACCCAAATTTTCCTCCCTTTTTTATATTAATCCTATGTGCGAATGATAATAAGCAAGCTTTATATTATAACATATTTTGCTACATTGCATAAATAATACAACCCAATCTTATGTGCTCTTTTGCTAGTGTTTTGAATATTCATTTTAACCTCTATACATGTGATCATTGTCATCTGTTGATCATCTGGGTCACTGCAGTCATCATCATTTGCCAGCTTTCATTATTTTTTGCCCAGTCTTTATAACGGTGTTGTAAATAGGGTTACAATACATCTACAGTATTTGGATGTAATTGAGTTAACCAAGATCCATGAACAAGTTCTGGTATTATTTTGTAACCGCTTACTATGCAATGAGGCTGTCGTGTACTAGGGTCTAGCGTAAATTACATGTAATTTATATATATTATAATTGAATATGATCAGGGAAGTATTTAAACTACTGTGAGATACTCAAAGCACTCAATCAATTTAGTTTCAATCAATTTAGTTTTACTAAATTGATTTAGTAATCAATTTAGGTTCTCTGGTGGAAACTGTAGTGCTTTCTATTCTTTCCATGTCTCATTAATTTCTCTTGGTTGACTTTGGCAATTCAGTGTTCCAAAGTTCAAGAGCTTCTCCAGATGATTCTTCATCTCTACTGATTCACAAGGATCTGGAAGGAGTGTTGGCTCCAAAGTGAGTACGCAGCTTAATTTTGTAAGGCAGCAATACTCTACCCTCGATGCTTAAAGGAATTGATACACAAAAAACGTGAAAAGTGCCATTGTCTTCTGGGCCTGTTGTAACTAGACCACTGACTGAGGATAACCATGCTTGAAGATTGCTGTCGCTGTAATCTGCATCAACCAGCTAACGACAACTCGTGCCACGCCTGTTCTATGCACAATCCATTTCAACCAGTTACATGACTTGCACCTTTCTCAAGCTTCTCTTCCTTTGAGTGCTTCTTCGTCAGTCTTTGAGAAGTTGGCCATTCAGATTCTGTTTGCTTGGCTTCTCAGTCTCCACTGTTGGCATAGGCCTTGAAGTGACTTCAGGCTGGAAAACGGGGGATTTGTAGGGGGGTATCTTCAGAGATTGTCTCGTCCAGAGATATTTGAAAGATTTTGAAATCCAATGTGGTGGAACTCTGCTTTCAACCACGGAGTTGAAAGCGGAGCAAGGCCAAATGGGGCAGGAAAAGAGATGCCCACTGAGAGTCCCAAACGAGACCCAGCCAAGTCTGAACTCGTGACGGAACCAACTGAGACTTCTGCCAGTTCACCAGGAACCCAAACTCAGCAACCTAGGAAAGAACCAGATCCCTGGTTAGCTGACACATGGACTCACTTGGAGCTCAAACCAGTCAGTCATCGAGGTAGACCAAAACATGAACCCTTAAGAGATGTGGTCAGGCTACAAGGACCCACACTAATCTAGGACAAAATACAGGGAGCCAGATTCAAGTCAAAGGGCAGAACCTGAAAGCAGTAAGCATGATGCCCCAGCACAAAACCTATCCAGTCCCTGAACCCCAAATGGAATGGGCCATGTCAGCATGCATCCTATAGATCCAGGGATACTATCCATGCTCCCAACTGGAAAACCAGGCAAATTTGTTCTAAAATAGTCATGTGGACATTGGACCATCACTGACATCTGGGTCACTAAATCCCTGAAATATATTATTTTCATCAGATCCAAATTACTGTCTTATAGTGTTTCAGGATTCAGTTTGGGTTTTTTTTTCACACTTATTGTCACTTTCTGCCTCAAACTCTTCTGTTTGTGTTTTGAACTCCAAATCCCAATCCCTGGCTTGTAAATATTCATAATCACTGAGGAATTCATCTCTATTCAGAATACAGTATCTAGAATCTCGATTGCGGATAAAGAAGGTGGTAGCTTATGCACATGCAGAGTCATGGAGCAATGAGGGTGTGTCAAATATAGTAGCTGCCTTGATAATGCTGGCTTATGAGGACGCCAAGGCAGACTCAATTTTTTTCAAGGTGGTGGACATTTTTAGAGTCCTCGTGGGGCGTGTGACATTCAAATAATATGGGGTGGCATGCGCCCAACCACTTGAGTGTTAGTGGAGCAGTACAATGGTTGATACAGTATGTATTAACAGTAGGAGAAGTGGAAGTGGACTGGAACAAGAAGAAATTTTTGCTATTGACATGTTTGCAGATAATGTGGCATTCTACTACAAGAATACTACAGTAATGATTGTGGTTGTGTGCTGCTTTGATGAGTTCCTAGTGTGTGATGATATTGCTTTTGTTTGATGCCATTTTATGTGTAAGATATTCTATGGATTCATGGGTTGTTAGCATGATATGGATGATCTTACATTTTCAGATACAGGACCATTGACACGAATGGTGGTCTCTGTACTTGATGAATGTCACAAGACATTTGTATCTTGCTTCCATGCATTTTACCCTACGGGCCAACTGAAGTGGGCTTGCCTCTGTGATCTTCTGCAGTCGAGAGATGTGGTAACTAAAGTCAGTTTTTGCATATTTTTTTGTATTAAAGTAATTTACATGTTAAAATTTTCATCAAATTTCATTGATTTGCTATAATACCATATTTATTCAAAAACTTATTTTTGTATGATTATTTAATAAAATGAAGTATATATTGCATATTGGTATTTTTATAGTATGTACTGTATTTCCTCAGGGAATGGAAGAGACTCGTGATAGTGATCGTCTTCTGAGTGCAGTTTTGGCCTCGTTATGTTCTCCCACTGTGAAGCTGCGTGCAACCTGTCCTATTCTGACTGACCCTGATGCAGAAATCACCCACCGACCCTCACCAGCTGATAATGCAGCTCTATCAACACTTCAACCTGGAGATTTGTATCGTTACCCTTTGCTTGTGGAGCACATGACTTATAAAACACATGTAAGTTTATTAGAATGTTATTAAAATTCCTCACCATTTCTTATGATCTTGATCCAATCAACCATCATCTTAGTAATGACATATTTAATGAATTCTGTTCAGTATATCAGCACTACCTCAAAAATAGAGAAATGAGTATAATAATGATGTGCACTGAAGCTGTGAATGCCAAAACTCTGTTAAGTTTTATTCATAATTGCCTTCAGTGCCTTCATTTTGTCTTTGTTTGAATTGACCTATGTGGTTTCTAGTTTCCCTGTGGTTCTCTCGTCACCACTAATCTCTACAAAAAATTTGAAGTTTGTTCTATGGCATCTTCTCATGCTCGCCCTCTTCCTAGTTGCCTCAACTCTTGGCTGCAGCTGGCTTTTACCTTCTTTTGTTTGTTTTTTCTCTACAGAGGCTCCATGGTGTGATTGCACTGGAGAGCTACTGAGGGAGCCTCCTAGAAATCTAGTAATGAATGTAATGAAATGCTTCCTTCCGGTACTTGCTAGCTCCCCTTTCTGTTATCCTTTCCATTGGGTTTTATGTGAATTATCTGACTGGCGTGACTGACTGGCCAAAACCCAGGGTCACCTTCGCTGCCATCTGTTGGTGGGCGAGTGTATCTAGGTGGTGATTTCACTGTGGTAACATTGGTTTGCATTGTTTTATCCTGGTTAAAAATTTCTCCAAATAGTTGCTTGGTTTGGAGCATTTTGTTTTCTGGTTGGACATATGCTTAGTTTTGTGGTGATCGCCAAGTTCCTCATCACCTCTTTCAGGGCCAGATTCTGGTCCCCAATAGGTTCTCTTGGAAAATAGCGTCCAGATGTTTTTATCATGGCTTGGCTGCTTCCAGGTTTGTTTATTTTCACTAATGTTTTAAATTTTATTTATTTTCACATATTGCAGTATATCCCAGTTAATAGGAAGGCTGAAACATTGATCCTGGGCCTTTTCTTAATTTTTAATCTTTTGCATTCTTTGTATAGTTTGCTTTGCTCAGTTTTAATAATAAAAATAAGAATTACCGAAGTGCATCATCTCTCACTACTCTTATCTTGTAGACACTTTGGTACTGCATGCAGATAAAATATGTTGGATGTTTTTTAGCTGTTGACCAAGTTTGTGGTTAAACCTAAACAGAATACTTGCAACCTGCTACTAATATGGTTATGCTCTTAGTAAGGTAATTAATGTTAATAAATTATTTTTAAATAGCAGGTGGACAATGGAATCGGAGTTGTATGGACATTTCGTGAAGTATTGGATCGACTTCTTGGAGTATCATGTGGCAGTGTTCGGCAAGCCCTGAGAGGGGAGCGGGTAACTCCTCTGCCAGCTCTTGTTCATAATACATGTCTTCTGTTGGCGGCTACTGTGGCAGAGCTGTCAGCAGAAACAAACTCTGCCGAGGTTTGTACATTTATATAAAGTATGTTATATTTTATTTATTAAGAATATTAAGAATAATTCTACATTATGATTGAATCTGTAAGATGTACCTTACCTTGAGGTGCTTCCGGGGCTTAGCGTCCCCGTGCTAATGTAGGTGGCAAATTGGCAAGTAATTATTCCTTTTATTTCAGGGAGAAGTACCTGCAGGTGGCAGAGTTCTTCACATCACCCCGTCAAGATTTACCCGTACCTCACAGAGTCGCACCTGGAATACAGGGAATGGTTCACCAGATGCTATATGTTTTGCTGTTGACCGGCCAGGCATTGTTATAGCTGGTGTGTGTGTGTATGGAGGTGTAGGGACATATGATTATGAGGTTGAGGTCATGGATGAGAGTGGTGGAGGCGGCCAAGATCCTTCACATACACTAGAGAGGTGGAGTGTCATGGAGATGGCTAGAGGAACATTTGGACCAGATGACTCTGTAGCAGACATTGTTGAAATCAAATTTGAGCGACCAGTTCCAATAAAGGTAGAGAGAATCTTCTGTAAAATGTTTAAAAAAATGTTAGATTGTATTGACATTTATAGTGACCTTCTCAGGTGTAATTTTTGCTTTACCTCTATTACCGATACAATATTCAAGATTAAATATTTCGCTTTATAAATAACACCCAGTATAATAAAAATACTGTACTATATACACCCAGTATAATAAAAATACTGTAATATATATGTTCTTAATCATTTGTATTTGAATAGTCACATGTTATTATTCTTAACAGGAAAGTGTAAAATATGCCATACGGTTATGCAATCATGGTGGGAGAACAAGCAATGGTGATGGAGGTCTAGCATCTGTCAAGGGTCCAGATGGTACAACATTTACATTTTCTGCTTGTAGTCTTTCTGTAAATGGAACAAATCATATACGTGGCCAAATTCCCCATATCATGTATTATAGGTAAGTTCATAAAATTCCTTTAATATTTTGCCTTGTTTTGTTTTGTCTATCTTTAAATAAACAATTGTGATGAAGCTGTAGGGAATGTGTGTGCTACCAGACAAAATTTCAAGATGTGAGGTATGGGTTGAGAGAAATAGTGGTACATACAGGTATCCAGAGAAAGAATAACGTGATATGCACAGAAATCACAATAGCGTGTTATATCAAATGAACAAATCCACAAGGACCACGATGAGGGTTCGAACCTGCGCACGGGATGTTCCCAGCTGCGCCTTAGTCAACTGTGCCACGACATGGTTATGTCATGGCACAGTTGCCATGACAACCATGTCATGTTTACGTATGGGATAGGTCGCATGATAGTACGTGTGGTATTGAACTGACCAGATGAGTGCTTAGAAAGGGCTTAAAGGAGGCGTTGATGTTTCGTCTAGTTTCTAGAAGGTAAACTTTCTTGGGGATTGTAGCTAGATAATGTATCATTAATAAACTATAAAACTTCTGCCAGAGTCGTTCTGTAGCATTGTTTTTTACTTAATCTTCTGCTCTTTGGAGAAAAATGCAATATCATTTATTTTCTATCTATAGGGGAATTGTCATTACTGCACATGTACAGTACAGTACTATACTTACTATATCATGATAACATACAGTATATTCCTTACTTTAATAATATAAGAAATTATTTGTTTTTATTGCTGGCTATGCTCATGAATAGTATCTCATAGTATAACACTTCATATTACTGATACTCTCAAAGCATCAACAATGTGAACTTTACAGCACTCCTCAAGACCCAGAAAGCCAACGAAGTACAAGAGAAATAGCTGAGCAACAAGCCCGCAAGTCTGCTTTGGCTATGGCTGGAAGTATTGTTCGTGTAGCCACAGAGCTTATGATCATGGGTCTTGGGGTTGGAGATGAAACTGCTGTTGAAGTACTAGGCAGTGCTCCTCTGTTAAGCATGCTTCTGCCTCTTGTGCTGTCTCACATCGGACCTGTGGCCACCTCAGATCCTCGGGTCAGTCTTCATTTGACTTTTAAATATTTGTTTGTAGACCTGTATAAGATTAGGATGTATGTGTATACTGTATATTGATTTATTGTGCCTGGCCTCAGGCCCGGCTCGGGGAGAAGAAGAACTTCCGAGACCCTCTCCAGGTGTGTATTTTTGTTACTGTGCGCAGGTCCTAGTAAATTATAAATGCTAAAATTTGTTATTTAATCTGCAAGTTTTCTGGTTAAATTATTAATATGGTAAAAGGATTCATGTCCACCAGATTTTCTTAGCACTAAATATGTGGTTAAAAATTTGTTTTACCTTAATCATCCATCTCAAGTTTCCTTTGAACTATGCTTGAGTCTCAGAACCAAGCATAGTTCAAAGTTAATGGTCAATGCCAGAATCACTGGCATTAACCATGTTTTCCTTGGTTATTGCCAGTGATGTAGTGGTGGAGGAATAATTGTTGGCTTTTCAGAAAATCTTGGTCAGGAGCACTCAAGCTTTGCTGATGATTTTGTCCAGGGCCTCGCTTGGGTGTGGTTCCCTCATCCACTCCTTTTCTCATTGCATTAGAGATTTGTATGTTACAATACAGTATTGAGATACAGTAAAAATATAAATATAAAGTGTAATGCAACAGATTGAACAGTAAATTGCAGTGTTTGACATTTAGCTTTTGTAATAAAGCATAAATAACTCTAAAATAGTAAGTACCAATGAGTTCTGGAAGCATGAACGCTTTAAATATTATTCCATACGAGAGAAATATATGCTGGTACAAAAAAGTTTTTAGTGAGCAGTGCCACTAGAAGAGCATTCAATGTGTTCTTGAAACACATCTAAAACACATTTGGTGGGGACCAAAGAGCCAGAGCTCAACCACCACAAGCACAACTAGGTGAGTACATTCAATGTTTAAATATTTATTCTATTTGCAAAAAAGATACTTATTAGAAATAAAAACGTTATTTTTAATATTGTGGTTAATGGCATATAGGTCTTAACTCTTAAATGACTCGGCTATTTAAAAGTCCTTCATCGTGGTGAACGTGACACAAAATAGTTCATGAAACTAATGTGAAAAAATTTAATATGACACTTTGAGTACAAGAGGGAACTGCTGATAGCGATAGTCGTTGTTATATGGTTAGTGGAAGTAAGCAGTCTAAACATCTGGTATCAGCCAGATTGGCCAACATGTAATTGCCAGATTAATGCTGGACATTCTCTTTGAGACTGAGTATCTTTTTAAGGGGGATTTTGAGTGTAGATAAATGAACTTGTTAGGTGATTTTAGGCTAAATAGAGTTTTCTTCAGTCTCCATTCCCCACTATGACCTGGCTGGGACATTTGAAAGGATATTCACTGCAGTCTGGCCTTGTCCTTGGGAACAGTAGGGTATTGCCTCAAGGAGCAACCAAGTGATTTGCTCAGAGAGTTGGTTTTCATCACGATAATACCTAAATCCTTATTTTTCAGAGTGCTGTTTCTGTACTGGGTTTGATTCAAGAGATTTTACCACATGTTGCTGCTCTAAACAATCTTAGTTTGGTAACACAACAAACTGTTATACCTGAAACAATGGAAGATTGTCACACAACCACTAGTCATCATTATGCTTGGGCGGAAAGTGATCACCCGTACCGCCCAGCAGCTGTTGCTAATTATCGGTGAGATAGGCTGCCAAACTTGTCTCCTTTTTGTCAATAATAAATTGGGCCGTGGCTCCATCCACACTCATTTTAGCACATATGTTCGTATATTATCAAGTTAAGTTGTCCAGTAATAGCGTCTAACCTCTCCCATTTCCATCTCCCTTTCTCCCCTCTATTCCCTCCATCTTCCACAGATGTTTTAGTCCTTAAAGATTTTTTAGCGCTTTCCCTACCTTCTTTCCACCCACCATTCCTTTTTCCCTCCACCTTCCCTCTCTTACCCTCCTTCACCCCCCTCCCCTTACACTTCAGTGCCTCCTTATACATTTCTCCCTCACTTCATTCTCTTCTCAATATCTTCCTCTTTCTCCCCCTACATCATTGCCTCTTCCTTATACATATGAATATGATTATTTTTTATTCCTGTAGTAGCATGTGTTTAATATTTTGTATGATGTATATTGTATACTTATTTAATGTTTCAGTGTAAGTTTTCCTGCTGCTGTGCAGTGGATGACTCTGGAATTTGACCCTCAGTGTGGTACAGCCCAGCCTGAGGATTCCTTGCAGGTAATGCCATTTGTTTTGTTGTAATGTTGATGTAGCACAGAATGAGTTGCCATGCAGTGTGTGCCAGTGCTAAAATTTAATGAAAACAAGACTGAATACAAAGGAGAATTAAGAGTAATCAGGGCAAGAAATAGAGAAACATAGGGTGTATAAATACTTTGCTAAGGACTGTCAAAACTGCCAGTGTGTAGTATGGATCCCAACATGTACAATGTACTCAAGTAATGTTCATTCAACTAAAGATCAACATTGATTCATAGTTACATCAATGTCATTTGTCCAGCTTTGCCTGAGTGAGGTGACTTGAATGAATGATGCTTAGCCTTCCTCTTGCTTGCACTGACATTGCTTTGTGGAGAATTTTTGTCTGTGATTTATGAATAAGATATAAATTAGTGTAGTTGTGAACAAAAAAATTGAGCAGTACAAAAAAAAAATTAATTTTTACTAAAATATTACTTATTCTAGTAAGATTTTATGCTTGTATCTTTTTACAGGTTTACATTCCAAGTCTGAGCAGTAAGACTATTGATGGTTCAAGTTTCTCAGGCTTAGCAGGACTTTCAAATGGCCAAGACCGAAACACTCAGGTTTTCATAAATCAAGATGGGGCTCCTCCTCCTTATTGGGCTGTTCTCAACAAATTCGCTGGTACTCAGAATTGGCCTGAACAGACAGTTATTTTGCCAGGTAGGAGAGCTGTTTTTGCACCACATGATTCCTTCACTCTTGATGTGGACTGACCATATTTTATAGTAACATGACCTCTAACTAAGATTAATAATCATTTGGCTTTGTCTTACATCAAGAATTTTTAATTTTGAGGTAATTTGTCTGTTTGAACAATCTAATATGTCCAGGCAGTTTAATTTCCTGTTTTTCTCCAAACTAAATGAATTGCAATAGGCAACCAGTTGTTTTAATTCAATTAAATTTTTAGGCAAAAGAATGTGTGTACAAAGAACATACAAAGACCATAAGAGTAATGTACAACTGTAGGGACAGAAGTTACATGATCTATGAAGCCATGATTTTGCAAAGTATTTCAGGCAAAAAAATGATGCTGGAAATGTTGCCATCAACAAGGATTCATGATAAAAATTACAGCTTTGGTTTGATGGCATTTATATTGGAATTAAATTAAGTTGGATTTGCCTAAAGGATTGTTAATACCAATTGTAGCCCCACCTTGGTCACCCTAACTTAACGTATCATGGACAAAATAATCTGTGATCTTAGGTCTAACCTAAGATATTCTATTCCACATATATATTAGGCCTAACATTTCTTTAATTAGATCTAGTATTGCTTGTCAGATCTAGGTTAGATTAAAAAATGTTCTTGTATTCAATTTCTTTGTTGGCTTAAATTTTCAGTACCTGTACTGTAATACAAAATGTGTGGTATGGGTACAACACTTTATTTTGTTTACATGCAGCACCATGTTCTCACTATGCTGGGTACATGTTATCATTTTGGAGGGTGGGGCTGGAATGTTTTGTGAGAGGATGTGAGAGAAAATGTTAGCGAGAGCTGCTCTTCATGCACCAACATAACCCACATGGTGAATAATAAGAAAACATTTGTGCATTGGGGAAGAAATTGTTCACTCCAGGTTACTATATAAAAGTGGGGTTACTCTTATGAGATGAATGTATGCTCCATTTGAGCCATCTTATTTTTATGGGAAAGGAGGTGTAGGTGATAATTAAATGCTATTAGCAATATTGTAAACATTTTATTGCTAGAAAAGATTCTTTATTATCCATGTATTATGTATACTCTGTCCCTCACTTATTCTTGGAATACCTTCTTAATTCCAGCATACTTTGTTTTATTCCTTCCCAGTCTATTATCTAATGCTGATCATACAGTACCAGAAAGTATTTGCTTGTACTAGTCTCTCCTTCTATTTTCCTCAGGTCATGAAGTACTATTTTCTCTGGAAACAGCCTCTGACTATGTAAAGGATGACAGAGCCAACACATACGGATTTCGAGTGCTGGTTGTTGGGTATGAATGGCCACCAACACCACCTGACTCATTACGACACTTGGAGAAGGAGCTTTCATACTTGGGAGGGCTGTGTGCCGCATCACTAATAAAAAAAGATCTATCTCTGCCACCCATTGCAGGTAAAAATTAATATCAAATACACCAGTTTTATTTCTACCATTGCCAGCATAGTAATGGAAGACATGGTGATTCCAGTTACAATAGTGTAAGGTAATTTGGAGGATTTTCTTTATTCTATCTGTCTCTTTTATATGTAATATTTCTGGAAATCAGAATAGCATTAATTATCATTAGCATACATTCTAGGAAATAAAAGTAAGATAGGAAAAGGGACATTGCCTAAGCACATTAATTAATGAGGGTTATACTTTTGTAATTGATCTTGATCATCTTCACTCTGACACCCCTTATTCTAACACACACACGTATACTCTCTGATCATGTGGGCTGTGATTCCTACACCAGACTGTACAGCGGTGTCCATCTGCCTGGTTGATCACACCATTATCCAGGAGACCTGGTCAAAGATTGGGCTGCAGGGATATTAATCCTTGGAACCAATTCAAGACAACCTCAAGATTGTCTACAAGTGCTAGATAGTTTATTTCCACCCAATTTCCAACTGGTCAGTGGTAATAGAAAGGAGACATAATATATTTAGAAACTGACCATGATTGTTTTCTTATTTAAGAAAGTTATTTATAATTAATTATTTGTAATAGATAACTATATCAGCAGGTTCCAGGAACCGCTTGAATATTATATAATAGAGTACTATATAACCATCCTGGCTTAAAGTTTTCTTTTGATAATTACTTCCTTCATTGACAGTGCAAATTATTTGCTATATACAGCAAGACACATTTACCAAATAAATTAAGTGAGGCAGTAATATTTCCAACAGATTTTGATTATGTTCATATACAGTATTATGCACCTTATACCTATTGTATGGTAAGGGGAAATGGTTACCAAGGCTTATAATGGGCTCAGAAACATGACCCCATTATTTGCAACTAGCTTCATAACCTTAATTACCCAGTCAAACCAAAATTAATCCATTCTTCATATTACTTAACTTTGGCTAAATCATCTCGAAAAGCAACATTAGATAGGAACCAGTCATTTCTTTTTAAATGGCTTTGTTTTTGGGAGGAATTGGGTAAATCTCAGTAATAATTTGAAAATTTGTGCCACATCTCAATTTTAGTCCAATTTCATGCTACCATATTTGGTAGCTCATAGTATGCATTTGTTTTATTTATACATTCATACAATTAATTATACATTATGATTACCAGGATTTCCCACTTTCATGGAGTGAGAGGTATCATTCTGAAGTAATTTAGTAATATCATAAGAAAAAAATAAAGCTTTTAAATTATAAAATGATAAAAAGTATCACTTGCCCATTCATTATATCATCCACAAATATGACATAGTATCATAAATAAATCACATTACCCATAAAAAAAACAGTAAGGCAGAGCACTCCAAAACAGACAACTCCATGGATTATATTTACAATGCTGACCATAGCTATGCAACTATGCAAACAATCGTTACCCACGCCAAACCACGGGTCTTTCACACATGTATAATGCCTGACGGGAGCACTGGCTGCCAGCAGACCTGGAACATTACCTAACACTTTATCGCACCAGGCACTCTATAGGCAAGATCTGTGTAACTCAGCTGGGTATAAGTTCTGCTTGTACAGGCAAGTGTTGGTCATCCTGTGGAGTTTGTCCCATGTAGGGGCCTTTGCATGTGTTCCATATTCTTATTCTTCATGTGTGTGTGTGTCTGATGCCTTTGTCTGTGTGTGTGTGTGTGCCTTGGTTCAGTGTTCAGTGCAGTTGCATGAGATTTGTTTCATGCAATTCAAAGTCTAATTATCTATTTTCATAGCCAATTAAAATTGATTTTATTTCAAGGTGATGACCTAGATGAAGATATGGAACTGGTAGAGGACCTAGCTTTGCAAGTGTATCGAGCACACCCGACCTTATTGAGCAAGGGGTTTGCGCTCTCTCATCCACCAACCATACACCAGACTTTGGATGGTGTCATACCTTTCAGGTAAGTGTGCAGTAAGTGTGTTACTCAAGTCAGGCAAACACTTTATTAAAGCCTAGTTAATGGTGTCTGTAAGCGAGCTTACACATGTCGCTAGCCACTAGCTCGAGGTAGAAACCCAGGGACTTTAACCCTAACATTTACTTTTTAACTTGTGGATATTGTAGTCACTAGTGTGACAAATACTGGTTGCTCACTATTGCTTGACTGGCTTGTCACCAGTTTAGGAGTTTGGTGGAAGATGTTTGTTTTCCGAAATGTTTAGCTGCAGTTATAATAAAGGAAAACATTATGTAGATTGTGTTCAGTATATTACAGTATCTGTTGTATTTTTTATGTTAACTCGGTACAGTATTTTTATTTTTACTTAAAAATATTCCATGTTTTAATGCCGTAATTTAAGTAAAAGCTCCAGTAGAAATACTCCAAGAAAAATAGGTTCCAGATACAGAAATAAAAAAAATTATACAGAAATAAACCTTGGCAATGAACTTACTGCAAATTTTAATTAAAAACCTGCAATAATAAATTTCTTTCTTAAACATTTAAGTTTTAAGAAGATTTACAATAAATTACTGTGGCTCAAGTCATATCCATTCATGATTTCTTGCTTGTTGCAGGCAACACGGGGCATGACTGCCGTGTGTTGCCTGATGTCTTCATCTGCAAAGTGGCATTTTTCTTTGTGTTTCCACTATCGTTACAGTTATTTGGCTCGCTCCTCACTAGATCGGGTAGTGATTTTCCATCACAGTCGTCCATTTCGTGAGCCCTGTCGAAGAGTATGTGTATTTCTGTCTCCTGGTACGTGCGAGGTTCTGGCTGCACTATTGCCCAATTTGATGGAGCTGTAAGAAACGTTTTAAAAATATTATGCTAAAAAATTTTGTGGATTTATTAAAATGCATGAAGAGTTGATACAAAATTAGCTGTACCGTATTAACTCTTGAAATGTACATGGAGTAAATCAAGCATTATCTCTATGAAAAAAAAAACAAAAATGAAAAATATCCTGTCAATCATCCTAAGAAAAATATAAAAAAATAAGTCACTTTTCAAGATGGCAGATGTTTACTGGAAGACTTGAATAATGATGGGGAACACCAAGTACGAGGTTATCTTGAGGTTATCTTGAGATGATTTCGGGGCTTTTTAGTGTCCCCGCGGCCCGGTCCTCGACCAGGCCTCCACCCCCAGGAAGCAGCCCGTGACAGCTGACTAACTCCCAGGTACCTATTTACTGCTAGGTAACAGGGGCATTCAGGGTGAAAGAAACTTTGCCCATTTGTTTCTGCCTCGTGCGGGAATCGAACCCGCGCCACAGAATTACGAGTCCTGCGCGCTATCCACCAGGCTACGAGGCCTCCCGAGGAGGTGGGGGGAGGGGGGGGTTCAAATGTTGCATAGTACCTTTAGTATCTTAGGATGATTTGCTCATCATGGCTTCTTTAGACGATATGGGCATTTCAAAGGTTAATCTCGGATTTAACACATGTTCATCATGTAAACCTAATTAAGAGGTAGATATTGGAGTTTGTTGATATTGTTTGATACCTTGTTGTTCTGATCAGCTATCATTCCACAATGCAGTGGTTTCGTAGAGTTGAAACACAAAATCAGAAACTTTATTGATAGCATTTTGCTTTGCAAAATAGGAAAATGTTGTATATTTATAGTCCCACAGCTTTAACTGTACAATGCTGTCAACATATGATGCTTCTGCAATAAGGTTGTCTTGTGTACAATCTGTGACGGACATTAAAAACACAATAACCATTACTTGAGAACTTTTACACAGTGGTTTAATTGGCACTTGGTTGAAGCTGTTACCACTTGAGGCTATGTTACCACTACACATATGATTATGTGTAGAAAACTTGTGAGTGCCTCAGTAAGCCAATAAATAGATGATAAATTACAAGGAATGGAAGTAATAAGGAATCAGGGGGAAATATTAAGACAGTTGGATATACAGTGAATTTTTAGAAGGTACCATTTTATATGGGTAGGTGCTGTATGTGCTTTTCCTGATTTGCCATTTTATATTTTATGCTAAGCTAAACATTCAGTCTGTAAACAAAATGTGTCTACCTTGTTAATATCTCTTAAGGATCTTTTACTTTATGACAATTACCCTGCTCTGCAGCATTGTTTGATTTAGTGTGTGAGGCAGTAGTTAGTTTGTGAGCTCCTGGCTTACCCTATCGGTATTTGCAGTCCATGACTGTAGCTGGTAGGGAGTCTGATCATCCTCTCTTGTTCTATGAGAATAATTTTAAATCTTTTCTTCTCAACCCTTTTGACAAATATCAACATACTGTTGCTCCTTATCCTGGTCTGATCAGTGATCTTAGACATTGCAAGATTTTCAGCTACCTTTGCTGGTTTAGGCTCCTTAATGGCCTCAGCTTTTGGCAGTGCTGGCACTAGAAATGGTTTCTCTGGATGTAGGGACTGCCACTCACAAGACTATGTCTAAGGCCACAGAACCAGCTCCATCTCTATTGAGCCTTCTTATCTTTCTTTTGGAGACATCTCTCAATATTTCCATGGGGAAAATGGAAGCAACTGTGGAAGGTTTTTCAATCTTCTTTTCCTGAGTTTTAGGCATCGGGCTAGAGCCAGGCTCTGAAGTTGAAGCTCTTCTTCAGTGGAAGGAGAGAGGATGCTCACTTCAAGGGATTCTGAAGAAGTTGCCTGGGTCCCTTTCCATTTATTTTTTGTGTTTTTTCTGGAATGCATCTGTCAATCATTCCAGACAGGGTTGAGCTTATCTCCAGTGACTCTCTAGTACCTTTAATTATCCTGGAGAGCCTGCTTGGAAAGATCCCTGCATTTTTGGTGACAAAATGTCACCTTCTGTCAACATCAGTGTCCATGTCCAAGGATGCAACAGATCTTAATCTTATATTAGGGCATTACCAAATAACATTGCTATGAAAAGAGCTTTTCATAGTTTAAACAAAACCATGTTTTTGTACTTTCAGTAGCCATTGTCTATTACAATTGATAATTTTGCACAGTATTGCATTGTTTTCAGATATGGATGGCATTTTCTTGTCTTCATTATTTTGTTTTAATTATTTTTTCATGGCTTAGCAAGTACTGTACTATACTCTAAAACTGTGAATTATTAGCAAATAATAACAGTCCATTGTATATAAAAACATATAAATTTTATAGTGTGTTGTTGTAATGTGATCCATATCATGAGTGATTTCTTATGAGGGAAAAGTATTACAAAATGTGGAATCATAATTTGGTATAAGTATGCAACTACACCTACCTCTGCTTGGTGGTACTGGCTCTGTGAAGGACTGGTAATCTGATGCTGACGAGGAAACTGTGGTCTTGTGCTTCATTTTGCGCCATGCAACGACGATACCAATAGCTATTGTAATTAAAATGGTGGATAACACCAATATCAGCACCATTGTGAGGCTTTTTTTTGTTAAGCACTTGTTGTACAGAAAATGGTCAATGGTGATTCTTGATGCTCCATGTCCCGGAGGTTGACATTCACCATTCAGAAACCATTGTTGGTGGACCTCATTCTCGTAGAGTTTCTGTGAACATTTAATGGTTATATTGGTACGCTGATTGTCTCGGGAAGAGTGATCCCAAAACTAAATAAAGTGTTTAAAAAGGCCTGGAGAAGAAATTTGGAGTTTAGTTCTTACCATAGTTAATATGTGCACACACAAAAAGACACACACGTCTCCTGATCACTAAATCATGAATATGAATAATTTTCCACAAGTTTATTTTCTAAAGGGACACATGGTCCCATTTCATGATGCATAGAGGCACAAAACAATAGCTGTGTGCTGTGTGGATGTCTGCCTCTGACTGTAAACTTCATAACTAGCATTGGATTCACTGGTATTGAAACCTTGTACAGTACATAGTTTCTATCACAGCCAGGATCTTCTATGACACTATCGTCACTAAATAATTGGTTACTTATATATTTCATCATTATTAAACTGATTCTGCGGGCATGAGCTGCATGGCAATGCTGTGAGCTGCTGCTGCTGCACAAGCTGCTGCTGCTGCACGAGCTGCTCATGGTCGCTCTCTCAGTACCGAAGCTCTCATACCTAGGAGGGGGTGCCCACAATTTTTTTCCAAAATGGCATCTGTTTACTGGACTCCTCAGAAAGCAGATTGGAACCCCATATATCCACAGGAGTTTTAAACTAAGTATAAATATTATGACATTTAAAAATAAGGCAAGAAGTCAATAAAAACCACCTGGTAGGTAAATTGGTAGATACTTTTGTAACTACCTGATACACCTATGCTTTCTAGTGATGCAGTTATTTATTTCTCTTGCACTACTAAAGTATATTCAAAATATAGTTTACTGTAGTTAAAATCTCCTACCTCTTCCAGTTTGTTACAATGCATTTCAGTCTTTAAACTCCATTACAAATTTGTTTATTTTGAAGAATGAAGTAAAACTCACCAACTTACTCTTTATTTGCTTTACTATTCACTCAATAAAACATATTAATCACTTTCTCGGAACTTCAGATGATTTCTGTCATTGATGCTATTGAGTCTGACTTTGGGGCTTTGGCATTTAGACCTTGGGTCAGGTTTTGAAACCGGGTAAGTTATTCAATGCCATGTTTCCCAAAAAATGTGATCAACCAGTTCTTTTATATCCAAGTCCCCAGTTACTGTTGGGCAAGTACGGGGGTACAGATGAAAGTAGTTATTTGTACCCATTCATCACCCTAAGCAGGATTTGAATTTTGTCATTCTTGCTTGCTATATAGTTGTTCTGGCTTAGTGCCTCTTCCTGCTAATTAATTACCTACGTTGTTTGTGAGGGGAGTGTGGTGATCACTGCACCGTAGGGTGCCACTCTGCCCTTAACAAAGGTCCTGCATCAGCCTTGCTCCTCCACTGCCTAGTAGCTATGGCTACTCCTGGCTTGGTCGACCAGGTGAGCGGTAAACACAGGCCTGGTCGACGACTGGGCCGCGGGGTCGCTAAGCCTCGAAATAACCTCAAGGTAACTGGCATGTGTTCAACATTCAATTCATGGGAACATGAACATGCACAACTTTTCCTTGCTAAAACACCCCACAAAACTTTCAGTACCTAATTTACATATACATATTTAAATTTTCTATAAATAGAATCACAGAGTTTTGATTTAAAGATATACTTACCTCTATTGTTTGATTTGGTAGGCCTAAAGCTGCAGTTATATCTTGTGTGATGTTGCATAAACATTTCTGTTTAAACAGAGTGCGCTTGATCACCACAGAATTGTCTTCAAATGATCCATTCACGAGAAGGGACATTGGCTCATGCTTATGAATAACATTTCCATCTAGGAAAAGAAATGCTTTTTTCCCTGAAAAAAAAATGTTTCAAGTCAACAGATGCTGCTGTAGGATATGTCAGGATAATCACTACATAAAATTAGTGTTGCTTAGCAATCTAGATTCTGCAGAGATGAACTTAGTTATGCATTCTTTCAGGGTAAGATACAGTAGTTATAATCTAGATTAATCCTTGTGCTAGCATTTATGGGCAGCATGAGGTGTAAGCATGATAATCATGCTGGGAGAGTGGAGGTGCTGGCATTTACAGGTGGAGGAGTTGTAAACATGATAATCATGCTGGAAGAGTGGAGGTGTTGGCATTTACAGGTGGAGAAGTTGTAAACATGATAATCATGCTGGGAGAGTGGAGGTGCTGGCATTTACAGGTGGAGAAGTTGTAAACATGATAATCATGCTGGGAGAGTGGAGGTGCTGGCATTTACAGGTGGAGGAGTTGTAAACATGATAATCATGCTGGGAGAGTGGAGGTGCTGGCATTTACAGGTGGTGTAGTTGTAAACATGATAATCATGCTGGGAGAGTGGAGGTGCTGGCATTTACAGGTGGGGGAGTTGTAAACATGATAATCATGCTGGGAGAGTGGAGGTGCTGGCATTTACAGGTGGTGTAGTTGTAAACATGATAATCATGCTGGGAGAGTGGAGGTGCTGGCATTTACAGGTGGAGGAGTTGTAAACATGATAATCATGCTGGGAGAGTGGAGGTGTTGGCATTTACAGGTGGAGGAGTTGTAAATATAATAACCATGCTGAGAGAGTGGAGGAAACACACACACAAGAACAAACATAACCACATCATTAAGATTTTTCAATTTGTAGCAATATTAGAAATGAAATATATGAGTGAAGTGTACCCAAATGCATAAAATAATAGATTTGAGTTCAATCACAGAAACATTGATGAATATAGAAAACTGAGTGTGTGTTTAACAGAATACCCATTAAAGGGATACAAATGTTTCATGCTTGTATACAAAATAGATGGGAAATATCAGTATGTTTCAGAGAAATTCTAAATGTAGTGTTAAATTGAATCAAAACAGTCATGTACTGAAACAATTTGGGTAGAACTTATTGATAAAAAATAAAGCCCTCTATAGGAGTTACATATATATAGAAAGACTGGAAGAAAGAGATATCTGGTCATTAATAAATAGGGAATCTAGGTGTAATAATATCTGCATTATGACTCGTCTCTTATGTAGGAGCTGCGGTGGGGACTGTTTCTGCAGTAGGCGGATATTGTAGCTTGGTAGACCTTCATCTGTTAGTCTATTTGGCATCGATCCTCTTTGTCGGCATTTGTTAGTGTTCTTTTTCTGTCTTGGCTTATCTTGAATTGCCAGTTACCTATATTGTATTGGCATTTCTTGAAGGGGGCCAAATGGTGGCTCCTTGAAGCTAGCACTCAGACAGCTTCACATATTTAATTAAGCTAACTAAACAAAGCTGCAGAAAGAACATAAGAAAGTTCTAATTTTGTTTCTGCAGTGTATTAGTGTGCATTTGCAAACTGAGTGGCAGATGGATAGAACAAGAAAGTGGTGGAGGCCAAAACTATCAGTAGTTTCAAAACTTTATATGATAAAAAGTGCTGGGAAGACGAAACACCACAAGCGTAGCTCTCATCCCGTAACTGCACCCATGGTAATTACACACAAGTCGCCTCGGCCCTAGGAGTTGTGTGTAACCTACCAAGACCAGAACTAGAACTTTGGCCCCCCCTCCTTCCCCCCTCACAGCAGTGTGGGAAGCTGGGGAATTCTTGATGATCACCCACACCAAGGAAACATCCAGAATGTGCACGACTCCTATTGCTGATGTGACTTGTTAGGGGGTAGCTATCTTGCTGAGCTAGCTTCATGGAGCCACCATTCTACTGCTCCAGTAATCTATGCAAATCTCTTCAATGAAAAGTACAGATAGAGATGAAAGTATAGGTACAGTATTTCCAAATGAAGCTGGGAGTAGACTATACATATTTCATTGTTAGTAACATGCTTTTTGCAAATAAGAATAATTACAACAATTAAAAAATGTTAAGCTCAATAAATCTATAGAATACATGGGTAAAGAAAATGGAAGGAGAGTCAAGTTGACAAAAGTTCAATGAAATATCTAGTAATGTTGATTTCAACAAAGTTTAAATGAAGAAATCAAACAAGAACAGTTAGTAATTCAAACAAACTTGATTATGATCAGTAACACTGTACTTAGGTGCACAGTATTTTGCTTACCTACATGTGTGTAATGGTAAATCTACTAACCTTCTGGCATAATCCCTTGAAGTGCATAACTCTGGAGATTTCTGATGGCATTATGCACTATACTGATACGATGCTTAATTCTAAATTGAAGCCCATGTTTAGGAATGTTAGTAAAATCGTTGCCTCGAAGAGTAACATCTCCGTGTACCCGAAGGTTCCAGGGCGAGTGTTCCAACTTGGGGAAAGTGTTGTTGCTTATAAAGACATCTCCTCTGATGTTTCCCAGCAGAAAGACTGGAATACCACCTGATAGGATCTAACAATTATTTGACTTGAAATTAATTTTATTACTGTTCTTTATATTCAAATATTTCAAATTGTTGAATCCTTTATTGAATAACTGTAGCAAATTATATCTAATGCATATATGCCATGAATTGTTCCCTTAAAAAATACTAAAAGTATATTTCGGTGAACATTTCCTTTAAATTTATTACAGAATATTCAAAGATTAAACCTCAGTATATACACACACATGCTTTCCAGATTTAAAATCACGTTGTAAGTACATGGATGGAGAAATATTAAAGAAATTGTTCATGATATTTGTGAGACAAAAAATGGAATATGAAATGGTTGTATAGTGCCCATATCTCAAGAAGCACATCAGTAAACTGGAAAAGGTGCAAAGACCGCCAACTAAATGGCTCCCAGAACTTGAAAACAAGATCTACAAGGAGAGGTTAGAGGCATTAAATATACCAAAGTTAAAAGATAGAAGAAAGAAGCGATATGATTACTATTTACAATAGGAGACCTGTATTTAACTATACCATAATGGGAAGGCAGTTACAAAAAATGATAAGTAAAAAAGATGTGGATATAACCCCAATACTAAAACCAGAAGCTCATGTGAACAGGATAACATCAGCAGCATTTGGGAAGTTAGCAAACATAGCATAATTTAAAAGTCTAAAGAAGGGTTTTAAGTCCTTATACAATGCCTATGATCAACCATTATTTGAGAATGCAGCAGCAGCAGCATGGAATCCACATCTCATGAAGCATAAAAAGAAACTTTGGAGAATATTCAGAAGTTTGCAACTAGATTAGTACCAGAATTGAGAAGGCTGTGAAGATAGGTTGTGGGAATTCACCTTCACAGCTTTAGAGAAGAGAAGGAACAATCGAGATATGATCACTATATACAAAATTCTGAGGGGAATAGACATTGCAGAAAAATCCTTTTGAATAAAAAGAGGCAGGACAAGAGGACATTGATTGAAGCTTGACTTGTAATTGAGTCAGAGATGTCAGGAAATTTTAGTTCCCTGTTCAGGTGCATTGATGGTTGTTGAAGCAAATTCCAAAACTTTGATATTGAAATAGATAATTAGCATGCCAGCCATAAATGCCTAGGGGCAGAGCATAAAGCATAGAAAACTTTAAAATAAAAATGATAAATGTGCAAAGGAAGACGGGACATTACAAGTTTTGCCTCTGCCCTTTAAACCCAAACAAGTTACTGTAATAACAAATTAATATTATTAATCCCTCAAAATTTGCATTAGTAATACTCTATATAAAACATTATCAGCATGTGACACTTACCTTTAAATGTATTATATGCAATAGTTAGAGTTTCATTTACAGATGAATTGTGCAGAACAAATGCATTTCTTTGAATTTCTATGATGGTTGCATTAATAATGTGAAACTTTCTCGTAACATGATTGTTTATAGCCCTTGCTGAAATCTGTCCTATGGTTGAGTTCACAATAGAAAATTTTCGAAGAACGAACTTCCCAAAGGCTCCAGTAGCTATCTTATGTATTACACTGTTGACAATTTGAAATATTAATGTTGGTTTAGTAGTCCAAGACTGATTCACTGTATCTACTGAGGGAATGCTAGTTTCTCTTACTGCAAAAGCATCACTTGGAAGTTCATTTGAGATAGTGTTGATAATGGTAATATTTATTCTAGCATCCTTCAATGCATCAAAAGACCCCTTCATTAGTTGTAGGTCTGTAATATTTTGTAGGACTATCTGGAGAGGACCACTTTTTATGAAACTCTGAGGTTGGATTATCAGTTGTTTGCAGTTCTTCATAGTGATGACTGTTCGGTCACCAAAAGCTGGGCCAAGTTCAGCTTTCTGAAATAATAATGATAAATAAGTCTTGTAACAAGTACATAATAATGCAGTACATATGTTGTAATTACAAATGTAGTAGATTATATTTATTGCATTGAATACACTGTATAGTCAACTCCCAGCTCTGCACAGTGGAATTAAAAGGAGTCCACTTTTTCATATGATAAAAAGGGGCTCACCACCTCCAGGGGTAGTATGCCCCTAGTAAGTTGTCGGTTCTTAGGCTGATGCAATCTGGTTTACTTGACTGCTATAGTGGTTCCCAGCTTGTCTCTGTCATGCAGGCTCCACTGTTCAGCTAAGTAATTTTGGGTACATATTTTCCTTTGGTGGCTTTGAATTCAATTGTAATTATAATTCATATAGTTGGATGAGAGGCAGCCAGATTATGTATACAAATTAGGCTTATATCAAGATTCCCTGTAGTCGAACTGCTGATACTTACCCAGATGCAATCCTACACCAAGCTCACTAACTCCTGGGTACCTATTAATGGCTAGGCAAATAGGGCCATTAGATGGTAGGGAACACGCCCAACCATTTCTATTGGGGTGTGTTTCCAACCCAACCAGCATAGAATGTAATGAAACACCAACTTTTGGGTGAACCCCAGCAGCTACGTCATCCCCCTCCCTCCCTTCCAAGTCATCGGGTGGATATCTACATTTGCCTTAGAACTGCACTAGCATACTGCCCCAGCAGGTAGTGAGCTACCTCCCCCATTTTTCCAAACAAGAGAGGAAGGTGGGGGTGAACAATCTTGCACTACAGTAGTTCCAAAAGAATTTGATTTGTTTGCACAGTTGTGGAGTTCTTTCAGGCAGTTTTAAGACTTTAGTCTCTATTTGATTCCAGCTGTAGTTTGTTTTGACTCGCTGACCTTTTTGCCTTCCCTAGTGAGGTGGTGGTGAAATGTCACCGCTCCCTGCACCTTGACTCGTCTTATAGGGGTGAGGGCTCTGATGTTTAATTTAGATAGTTTTTGTTTGCTATTTCACATTGCTTACACTGTGTGTGAATTAACTTTATTTATGTACTTCTAATTAAAAAAAAAGTGATATAGTACACAGTGCTATAGACCTCACACCTATACTGTGCATAAATCTGTTTGGCACAGCTCAAAAGGTTACAGTCAGAAAGATGTCATATTGGAGGTATGAGACATGAGAGATCCCCAAAGGCTTTATCCAAGGACCATTACTATTTATAATTTATGTAATTACCTAAGTGTAGTTACAGGATGAGAGCTAAGCTCGTGGTGTCCCGTCTTCCCAGCACTCTTTGTCACATAACACTTGGAAATTACTGACGGTTTTGGCCTCCAACACCACCTCACCTAACTTGTTCCTACCGTCTACCACTCTATTTACAAAAGTGAATTTTCTTATATTTCTCCGGCAGCTTTGTTTCGTTAGTTTAAATCTAAGACCTCTTGTTCTTGAAGTTCCAGGTCTCAGGAATTCTTCCCTATCAATTCTTCAATCTATCAGTTAGGAAATTTTTCATCCATGTTAGAAGCTTACCTGTCACCCTTCCAATATGTTCCAGTTTCCAGAACAACCTCTTATGTGGAACTCTGTCAAAAGCCTTCTTTAGGTCCAGATAGATGTGGATGTCTTTACATGTGGGACTAGCTCATACATGTTGATGTTTATAGATGATGCAAAGCTAGTATGAAACGTAAAACCTGTTGTGGATTATGGAGGTGTTTTGCTGGAAGATCTTTACAAACTGGGTTTGTGGGTAGAGAAATGGCTGCTACAGTTCAACTACAACAAGTATAAGGTCATGAAGATGAGCAAGATAGAGCAGAAGGAATTTACGTCTTAAAGCTTAGGTAACTCCAGGAATTGAAAAGAGAAATTGACTTTAAAATAGATAAAATTTGAACACTTAAGACTAGAGGCACACACAAACAGGATAACATCAGTAGCATATGGGAAGCTGACAAACATAAGAGCACCAAAGGAATCCTTCAAGACAATACACACAGCCTATGTGAGGTCAATTATAGAATTTGCTGTACAGTATGCGGTTGCGCTTCTCATGAAGCACAAAAATACGCTTAAAAAAAAATGAATAGACTAGTGCATGAATTAATAGGATTAAACAACAAAGACAAGTTTCTTATAATTAAAACATACTGTATAGATACCATCTTAAGTTTTTAATACTGTACTTAATATGGCACATATTCTCTTAAGAATAAAAATAATAAAAAATTCTGACTTACTTCATTGTTACAATCACAGCTAATCTGCAATGCTTCACAATTACAGAATTGTGGCACTTGATCCGGACACTTGTTACTGTTTAAATCAGGCACTACTTGGCCTTCTGCATGGCTGATTATTATAATTAAGATTATCCTCATCGCAGGTTTTAGAACTTTCATAGATGGCATTTTTTCAGTTGGAAGTTTTCACTTTAAGTATCTGCAGTATTGTGTGTAACAGCTTATCACTATTGAAGACAACTTTCGGTAATTAACATTGATAGTAACAGAATCATGAAGTTTCTCTTTTCAATTTAGTTAGTGTTTTACTGTTTAAAACAACACAAAAGTACTGGATTTGTGAGCAACATTCCACTGAAAGAGTGTGGCTGGTATAAGATGGTCGGTGGGCTCAGTCACTGCTTCCTCTGCTGTCTCACAGAGTGCCCGCACTGCTTTGGGTTTTCCCCCGATATACAATACTTGTATATCTTGTCATAGATCAAACATGACCCCTTACTACACCAGTGAGTGTAACCATAGGAAGCAGCTGTGAGATATGTCACTCAGATTTCCCCAGAATTATCTAGTGTGGTTGGTTGACAAGTAATATTTTATATACATATTTTTTTATTTGTTCTTTGAGCACAATTAGTTATATATATTTTTGTATTTGTTCTTGGAACACAATTAATTATATTTAATATTTTATACAGATAAATTATCTGTAATGTGCATAAAATAATGTACCCGAGTTTCTATCTTAGTTTGAAAGTGATACTGACGCTTATGACCCAGTCCCCAGAATTTGAACAGGATGTCAGCTAGTGAAAGGCCTCACTCTTAATCTTGAGTTACAGTTATATTAGTAGATAGGTGAAGGAATTTCTTAAATATAAATGTGCAAGAAGGAAGGTAAAACTAAAATATCTTTAGTGGCACTATCCAAGAGGTCATTGTGGTAGCAGGTGATAGGAACTAACAGCATTTTCAACGTAATATTTTTATATTTGATTACAAGGATTTAAATTAATAAGCAGTTTTATACTTGTATGATATACTGAACAGTTTGTTTACGTGCTTATGCACACAGACTGAGGACAAGGTGGAGGTATATGGGTTTTGAGAGATTTAACATTTGAATATAGAGAGTTTGCATCCACTACTTGGGTTTGGTTTCCTATTATCAGTGACAGGAAGCCATTTAAAGGCTTTTTGAAATCCTCCTAGGGCTGATAACTGACCTTTCCCAGGATGCAACCCACAACAGTTACCTAACTCCCAGGTACCTACATACTACTAGGTGAACAGAGGCATCAAGTGAAAGGCAGCACAGTCCAAACATTTTTGTTCTGCCATGGGAGTTGAACGTGGGACCTTTCGGTTGTGAATTGACTGCTTGGACCAATGTGTTTTCTTACTATCTACACACTGATGAATGTTATTCTTACAATATGCTGTACATTTATGGTTTATTCTGCATTAAATTTCCACTTTATCTCCCTCATGTTGTGTTTACCTAATTCATACACTCTGCCTTTGTCTATGTTGTCGATATCTCCTAGTAGCTTGTACAGTATATCATGTTCTCTCGTCATTTTTCTAGTGATGCAAGATTTAGCAGTTTCATCATGTTTCCATAATTTGGTCATTTTCTGCTTAGACTAAACTGGTGAGAAACCTCTAGACTTTTCCAAGCTTTCTTGTAAGCTTATGAAGGTGAGTTTCATGTTGGTGCTGCATAGTCTAATATTGGTATTTCTATGTAAAGAATTGGTATTTCTATGTCTGCATAAGTAAAGAAATAAGGGGTATAAACTAAGAGCATAAGGTATAAGGGGTATATTAAGAGCTTTATCACCTCTTAACAAAGATACAAAGGACTAATGCTTATAAAGGGATCTTGAGGTTATATTGAGAGGATTTCGGGGTTTTTTAGTGTTCCCGCGGCCCGGTCCTCGACCAGGCCTCCACCCTCAGGAAGCAGCCCGTGACAGCTTACTAACACCCAGGTACCTATTTACTGCTAGGTAACAGGGGCATAGGGTGAAAGAAACTCTGCCCATTGTTTCTTGCCGGCGCCCGGGATCAACCCGGAACCACAGGATCACAAGTCCAGCGTGCTGTCCGCTCGGCCGACCGGCTCCCTATAAATTGAATTGAAGGTGGAGTGATACCCCTAAAGTGATGGCTTAAATACAGTTTATAAAATGTTTAGTTTTTATAGCACCAGTTTAGCAAGCACGTTTCAATACTTAATTTTTCTAGATTTTATTTGATGTTGTTTTGGTGACTGGAGAGTCTATACATTTTATTGTATTTATCTTTGGTGATGAATTTGGCATCTTTAAAGTTTGTGAGGAGTTGCTCTTGGTTTGTGTATGTATTATATGGTGTGTATACCAATGTTAGTCTGTGCATCAAAGTTCTAGACTTTTCTCATAAATTAATTATTTTAACTTACTGTAAGGTACTATGTTAACCCTTGTTATGATAATTATTTACCTAAGTAACTACCTAAGTGTAGTTACAGGATGAGAGCTATACGCGTGGTGTCCCATCTTCCGAGTATTGCTTGTCATACAATGCTTTAAAACTACGTACTGACAGCTTGGTGGTCTGGTTACTCTGTTTCTGTCAAGTGTATTCTAGTTATGGATGTTTTGTGCATAACTTATACAGAGAGCCCTCCAGAATCTCAGCTATCGGTGCCTGATAGCTGAGTGGATAGCTTTCTGGACTCGTAATCCTAGGGTCTGGGTTCGATCCCTAGGAATGGCAGAAACAAAATGGGCAGAGTTTCTTTCATCCTGATGCTCCTGTTACCAAGCAGTAAATAGGTACCTGGGAGTTAGACAGCTGCTGTTACGTCCGCTTCCTTGGGGGGTGAAGTTAGTTAATAGTTAGTAACAGTTGATTGATTGACAGTTGAGAGGCGGACCAAAAGAGCAGAGCTCAACCCACGCAAGCACAACTAGGTGAATACAGTATAATGAAGGAAAACTAGTAAAAGATTTAAATGCACTTCGTTCGATTTATTAAGTGTAGCTTTTTTAATTGTATAAGTGTTTTAAGCTATTGCCCTAATATGAAGTATATACTGTACAAGCTTAATAATATGGTATCTATTAAATACATGCTGTACAATTAACAAAATTGAGAGGGTAAAATATTACTTGCCATTATAATTTAAAACTGTAGTAATAAAATTAAGAATATATACATTTTGTATTATGAATTTGTCATACATTTAATAGATTTTCACTGCATATTATATTGGTGGCCTCATAATTGAATTAAATCATTACTAGCTTGCATACATCAAATTTTAATTAAAAGGACACGATGCACGAACTTGAACTCTTCGTTGTAATTCAACTTGTGGCTCAGGATACGAGCCTCTTAAACTTACATTCATGGGCTCTGTATTTTCATAGTGTACATTGACCTCTGCTTCCTGATATGTCTTAACCTCAGGTACAGCTACTATCCAGGGCTGGAGAGTGTTACTATATTCAAACGACTGACACTGGTGACTGTGTCCTGGAGAGAGTGGGGCTATGTTAGAGTGGAGGGTTGAAAAGCTGTGAGAAAAACAGCATTCACCTAGGTAATTTGCTTCCTCCTTTGCCTTTTCAGCACGACGAGTGCAAACTACACAAACTATTATGGTGATGATGATCACTATAATGACTGTTGTTGCTGACGCAATAATAGCAATTGGTGCTGACATGCAATTTTCATTATAATAATCTTTGACATTTTTATATAATGATAAATGTGCAAATCTTTGACAGCGAGATTTTTCAATCACCGATTGGTATGTCAGTTCGTCATCGTAGTCACTCTTCCCCGAGATGCCCAGCAACTGTTTGAAGGTGCCGTGTATTTTGCAGTCACAAACAATGTTAAACCTGTTGTCAAGCACTTTACGTTCATGAATAGGATATGCTTTGCTGATAGCCAGGGATTTGTTTTCTACTTTGGTAACCGTATTGTTGAGGAAGACGATGTTTGCTCCACGGCCTTTTTTGCTTGGCCTTATGCCCATAAGTGCTTCTGGCCCCAGATGAGAAACAAAGTTATATTCAAACAGCACCTGTTGAAGTAGTGTAATATTAGTACATTTAATTTTCACATCAACTTATTTTTCTTTCTGTAACCATGACAACCAAAAAGAAACTAAATACCTGTGTACTTGTACAAATGATACGTGTGAGAATTGAGGAAATTGTTAAGAAATCATTGATACTAGCCTTCACTCAGTTGTATGCTTGTACTGTACATGCACTATATCCCTGGATAATGTTAGGGCAACAAATATTATACAACCACTTTGTCCATATTGTACTGATTTATCCTGTTCATGCACGGTGGGTTGAGATTATAACTTGTCTATTGTATGTAGAGTTTGACAAAGAAAAACTGTGCAATGGAGAACTGTGCATGAATGTACATGTTGGATGTGAATGATCACTTTACTAAATGATTAATGTAGTTATAAAATATTAAAGCAGTGTGTCAACACAATATTTATTTACTGCCTTCTTCCTCAACATATGTTGTGGATAAATGGAAAAAAATTGCTATTGTGGGGCAGAATGTTTAAATGAACATCTTAAGGAAGTGACTGAAATTATGGATGGTTAATGTGAGCCAACATCTTGCATTACTCAAAATACTTTTACTTTTAGGCATCGAGTTTAGTGTCTCATAATAAAAATCATCATCACTGCCCATTACTCACTTTGATGGAATAATGAAGCATCAGCCCAGATGAAACAGGAGAGCAAGTAGAAAAACTTGAAGATACTGTACCATAAAAGATTCCCTTTCATTTGTAGTATCTTATCACCCCAAATGCAGTTTATGATGCTCTCTCTCGTGAACAATGGTCAGTTACTTCACAGGTTCTCTGCATTTCTTTCCTGCCATTACAGGCAAGGCTGGATATGTTGATGTTCTCGTTTCATGCTAGGCTCGGTGCATCTACTCTTTAACATATGTGACCAGCAGGTGCTCTTCATTGGGTCACTCATGACCATATCCTCCCCGCTCTTCTCTTTTTGGCCAAGGAGGTGTGGTGGGTGTTGAGTGTTTCGTGAGCATCATTCTTTCCAGCCAATGACACAAATGACTTTGTGAGGGGGGATTGGTTAACTCTTTCTCAAACCCCAGCTAGGAGTAAAGATTATTGGATGCCCTGGTCTTGTGTAAGTGCTGCTCCTGCTATAAATATCTTTCTGGCTCAGTCAAGCAGGTTTCATCCTCTGTTGAGTAAACGAGTAATGGCCTTTGGAGGCCCGTTCATTTGCATTTTTGCAGGAAGCTCCCAGATAAATGTGATTCTCCTGGATCTTCAATTTGAGACATCATTAATGGCTCTTTCGGCTTTTTTATTAGTGGGCCATTGCCTTCTATGTATCCACTGTCTAGGCTGGCATTGGATACCAGGGTGGCCACTTATTTTACTCATGAAACACCCTCTATCAGCTAGCCTCTCATTGTTAGCATGAGTTTAAGAAGATTCACCTCTCAGACTGAGTGCTTGAGAGTCTCTGAGGTCGACTTATTTTTGCCCTCAGGATACATTACTGGCCATGTCTTGGTGAAAGCTATTGAACTTTAGTCTCTGAAACTGCACCGATGTTGCCTTAAGCATCACTTCTCGGGTCTAGGATGTTAGTCTTTAATATTGTTGCATTTGCTTTTCAACATTAAGGAATTGGCTGCCAATTTGCATGCTTTTCACCACATCTCTTTCCCTTAGAGCTCGATTTGGCATCCACATTCCAACAAGTCTTCTATAGTATTTTGCCACATTTCCTGAGGGAGGACTTCCCCAGTCTTACCCATTGTGGCTTGGAATGCTGGTCAATGTCTTTCGGTTTTCATAGATTAGTCTGTACCGCAGTACTTTTGCTCTGTGTAGAAAATGCCTTTCCCATTTTGGTTCATCTGGAACAAAGTGGGAACTAATAATGTTTGAGTCTAGTGATAAAAATATAAAAAACTAGAGACTGATGAATAAGTTTCAAATCTTGGTACCAGTGAATGAATCCATCATGCACGCGATTAAAATGAAAGAAAGAAACAACTAAATCGTTTGTGGGTGGGTAAAATTAATTGCATTGCTTTCACATTGCTGTAGTTGAAACTTTGTTTTGCTTACTTTTCTCTTTATATTGTAGAAGCCAGGATAAGTTTGCTTAATTGCAGCATAATATGTGGCAAGTTGAAGACTGCTGTTTGTCGGAGATCAGATACAGTATAAAAGTCAAGCAGAGGACTAGACTAATCCTCCACTTTATCAAGTACAGTAACTTAAAGTTTTGAAATTTATCAATTATATTGATTTTAGATGTTATATAAATACCAAGAAAATTGGTGTGTAGAAGGTTTTAAGTCTTCAAGAAAAATTATCATCTGTGGCACCCTTATATGCCACTTTATTATTAACACACTTATTGTCAAGTCTTATTTATCAAGACTTTAATAAAATGTTTGCCCCAAGGGGGGGGGGAGGCCCAACAGGCTTAACCAAGCCTTGCTAAAATAATATTATCTTATAAAATAAATTAACAAAAATAAAACAAACTGGTATTTTAATTAACTAAGAGGAACATTTACATTAATAACAACAAAAGCTAAACTTTATATACCAGTCATTACAATGGAGATCAATACAGTAAGTCTCCGTGGTGTAGTGGTAAGACACTCGCCTGGCATTCCGCGAGCGCTATGTCATGGTTTCGTATCCTGGCCGGGGAGGATTTACTGGGCGCAATTCCTTAACTGTAGCCTCTGTTTAACGCAACAGTAAAATGTGTACTTGGATAAAATAATGATTCTTCGCGGCGGGGATCGTATTCCAGGGACCTGCCCGAAACGCTACGCGTACTAGTGGCTGTACAAGAATGTAACAACTCTTGTATATATCTCAAAAAAAAAAAAAAAAAAAAAAAAGTACTGGCATTAAATTATATAAGTACAGTACAGTAAATAACTATTACCAGGAAAAAAGACAAAAGTTCTTGCGAACAGGAACCCAAAAGTATCAAGCATTCCTTAGTGCTCATAGGAGTGAAGAGGGTTAATGCATACCTGATTAGAGGAAGTAATATCCAGTGATCTATTTTCTAATCCTGCCATTGCATTCCGAGAAAAAATAACTGTCATTTGTGCTCGCAAACAAATTGTATTCTTGACAAACTTGGGAAGGTTGCAGTTTTCCACAAGCCACTCGTCATAAACATCTAGATGTATGCAGTTTGTTTCCATATTGTTCACCTGGAAAATAAGAAATTCAAATTGAACAAAAATTAAATTACTGATAATTGAAAATAGTATTATTTTAGAGGAGGCTACCCACTCATTGTTCCCTAAACCAAAGCCAGAGTCTTCCCAGTACACTGTTCATGTGCCAAGCCATTGATGTTAAGCCCTGCTACTATGAGTAACTTTACAATGTGTCTTGCTGCAGAGTCCATAGATGAGGCAGTGGAGAGAAGAGCTTACATTAAGTCACCATCAAAAGATGTGGCTCAATGTAATATTAAAGAACATCTAATCTCGTAACACCTACAATTTATATAATTGTAGTTTGCCGTCTAGCATGACAGGCAGGCAGCTGGTGGCTAGTTTACCGGGCAAACTAAAGTGTGTTCATTTGTGTATCCTTGTGTTGCCAGTTATCACTTAACCCACTTACTGTGCACCCTAAAAGGCAGCACCTTCATAATATTGTTCAATGTACCCAGTTGGATTTTAAGGGTCACATAAAAGTTTCATACAAAGTTTGAATAATTATAACATGCATAACTCCTTTCATCATTCATCAGTGTTTACAAGCTATGAAAATTAGCATTATATTTAGATTTATTGTCCATGAAAAAATATGCATTAGTGCTGCCAAGAATAAAATACATTATTACCTTTGTGTAGCTCATTCTAAAGAAGAGAAGTCGTGCCTGGAAGAGTGCATAGCTTCTGATGGTTGATATATTGCACCTGAAATAATATGTCAGGAGTATATGTAACTGTATTCACACAACATGCTGCTGCACATGCTTTGTTGAGTAACATACTAAATAAGAATTAAAAGATATACAAAAATATAGATAGAATTGCTGGTCTTTGGTCACCTTTGAAAAAAAGAATTATTCAAATTGAATACCGTATTAAAGAGGGTTAAGTCACTCATATTTTGCCACCTAGCATACTTTATTATGTTCAAAATGGATTTAAAAATGGCTTGCAATTTTACCCTACAATTAAAAAAATTTGGAAAATGCTAATACAGTAGTATGAATGGAAATACACAAATATTGATTTATAAAATGGAGTCATGATGCAATTTGTAGGTGCAATACATACCAAGATATTTACCAAGGAATGTAGATGACCAAACCTGCAGGGCTTGCCTAATGCTTAGCCACCCATGTTGCAGTATTCTGCCTAGTAATTATATTACCAAGTTGTAAAGACATTTGACTTAATATAATCATGGGAATTACAATTTATATTATTGTCACCTTTCTCTCAGCAGTGGCATAACGTTGCTGTAAAAATGTACTGTACTGGGTACGTGCAAGTCTAATCCATGTGGTATAATCCATGCAAGTATGGATTATACCACATAATCCATGCAAGTATGGATTATACCATGCATACTTGCAAGTCTAATCCATGTGGTATAATACCATGTGGCCAACCACCAACATGTCCCCCAGCCAGCCAATGGCATCACCCACCCAAATTGTTTTTTTTATAGTCACAAATAATGCAATATATAGTTTTGGCAAGCAGAAACCTAAGACAGTGAATTCAGTAGGGTTGTACTCAGTTTATTTATTTTATTCTTTACTTATTAAACAACTTACCAATGAAATTCCAGAGTGAGGAATCTGGTATCTTCCAAATTTATGTCATTATTTTGATCTTCACTTCTTGAATACTGAGTGACAGTTTCACGTGGTATTTCTTTGATGTTACATCTTGTAAATATCACTACTGCTTCTCTGTTTTCTCTGTGGAATATTTGTACAGTATAACTATTATTTATCATTAGTATTAAAGCATTTATGAATTTATAATTGTAAAGCTTAATTTGACATAGGTTTTACTAATTTGATTAAAACAAAAAAGATGTGTAGATCTTCATGAGCCAGAAAGATTACTATATATAGAGTATATTATTCTAAAGCTGCAACCCGTTCTCGCAAATTCGTATAGTCAATATTGACTTATTAAATAAGTGCATAGGTGACATACTAAACATAATAGATACCCTTAAAAAGCTTCATAGAAAACACCGACCTTACCTAACCTTGTTAGTATGTTAAGATAAGCATCTTATTGCTTCGTAATTACAATTGTTACTTAACCTATTATAGGTATAGGTTAAGTAATAATTGTAATTACGAAGCAATAAGATGCTAATCTTAACATACTAACAAGGTTAGGTAAGGTCGGTGTTTTCTATGAAGCTTTTTAAGGGTATCTATTATGTTTAGTATATCACCTATGCACGTAGTTAATAAGTCAATATTGACTATACGAATTTGCGAGAACGGGTTGCTTACATAAGTCCGCTTTGTCTTGAACATGAATTGCAAAGCAATGTAGGACGTAAGTGAAAGTGACTTGTTTATCTTGATTATATATTCATTCTTGATGGCACATAAATTGTAAATATGTATTGTAACATGATTTTGAGGTTTAAATTTTACTTATGTTATAATTTCAGGCTTTACAGCATATTATTTTTCAACCTATCATCCATAAATAATAGTACAGTACTCATAGCGATATTGGTCAAACGTACAACAATTTATGGTTCTCTCCCCAAAAAATTTATATTTTGTACTACGTATTTATTTTGTAGAAGGCATGAGATAGAAGGAAACTAGCATGCCTGAGCATTCCTAGGCCTAGCATAGCAAGTACATATATTAAATTAGACCAAAGATGGCATATATATTAGGCCTAGGATAGGTTAGGTTATATAACTACTGTTCCACTATTAAAATGTAATTTGGAGTATTCCAATAGTAAAAAATTGGACTTTTAAGGCACATTACATTTGGCCTTGTTTAGATGGTCATTGTTGTCCTGGTAGCAGTTATCTTGGTGTTCCATGGTCCCTTTGGTTGGTCACATGCACCCAACACATTATCTGGTGTGTGATGAGAGTCTGGGTGTTTGTCTTGGGGTCCTGCATCATTGGCTGCCTTGACCGCTGACTGTTTTGGGCAGCCGGCCGCTTGATTTGTGTGCATGCCAGGGTTCATGGGTTTTTCTCAGTTGATTGCTTTTTAGTTCTTTGTTGGCCTCCTAACCATTGTTTTATCTTTACCGCCACCAACCTTAACCGGTGTCAAACTTATGTGATCTTTGTTTTTTGATTCAGTCAGTTAATATATGATAATTATAAATAATGTTATAGACACTTGGTATTAAATGACATTGGATGTGAGGCATATCAGTCGGCTTATCTATTAGAACATTAACATATATATATAATGCTCTATTTGGCAGTTCCATCACTATGGAAAATTGTTACTGCTTGTCACTAGCAAATAAATTATTTGCCTCATCATCTGGTTTGGTTAATGGGAAAAAATGTGTGTTATGTGTGTTTGCATCAGAAGTTATATTCATTTATGGTACCAGAGATCAAGTGATAGTCTATATTTGTTTTGATTTGAGGCTTATTGCCTACTGTGTGTTTTTTGCTTAACTGCCTGTTTTGTCATGTTGATGCCTCTCATACTTACTTCCTGAGTTTCTGAAGAAGCTTCTTTGGAAGGGAAAGTATTTAAACTAGTTTTTTATTTCACTGTGGTTGTACCTGCATGCACACTCACATGTAAACACACATACATGCACATACATGGAAAAGGTGCAAAGATATGCAACTAAATGGCTCCAGGAACTGAAAGACAGGAGCTACGAGGAGAGGTTAGAGGCATTAAATATGCCTAAACTAAAAGAAAGAAGAAAAAAAGCCAACATGATCACTTCATGCAAAATAGTTAAGATTTTAGAAAAAATATATGAAAGTTCAGTTTTGCAAACAGAATGATAGACAGTTGAAACAAGCAGGCGATGAGTCACAATAACGTGGCTAAAGTAAGTTGACCAGATCACACACTAGAAGGTGAAGGGACGGCGACGTTTCGGTCCGTCCTAGACCATTCTCGAGTCGATTGACTTGAGAATGGTCCAGGATGGACCGAAACGTCGTCGTCCCTTCACCTTCTAGTGTGTGGTCTGGTCAACAGTTGAAACAAGTTAAGTGAGAAGGTTGTGGGTGTCAAAAACACCAGTAATTTCAAAGAAACATACAACAAAGAGCACTAGGGAGACGAGACACCTCCGGTGGCTGTGAGGATAGCACGCTGGACATGTAATCCAGTGGCCCGGGTTTGATTCCTGGCACCGGCAAGAAACATTGGCCAGAGTTTCTTTCACCCTGATGTCTCTGTTACCTAGCAGTAAATAGGTACCTGGGAGTTAGACAGCTGTTACGGGCTGCTTCCTGGGTGTGTGTGTGTAAAAAAGGAAAAAGGCAAAAAAAAATAGTTAGTAGTTAGTAACTCTTGATTAACAGTTAAGAGGCGGTCCGAAAGAGCTGAGCTCAACCCCTGCAAGCACAACTAGGTTAATACACCACAAGCATAGCTCTCATCCTGTAATTACACCTAGGTAATTACATACTTATGTATGCACAGAGTGAGAGAGAGTCATAATTCATATATAATAAGTCACAAACAAACACTGTAAAGTCTCTCTTAGTTGATAGTACTTTGTGCTCTCTACTACCAAGTTTAATTATGGAAGGTCATTCCTCTGAAATATATATTGTACTCACTTTGCCTTTGCATTAAAGAACAGAGATTCCTTGAAGAGTTCTACCATTCCAATGTTTTCAAAGACAATCTTACGAAGCTCAAGGTTTTCACTGGAGAATGTTCCATTCAATATTGTCAGTAATTCGAAGTTCAAAATTTGCAAGGTTGTTGCGTTCTGGGGAATAATCTCTTTCCTGAGAGTCAAATGGTGTGATGCCCCCTGTAAATTACAACAAAAGATGATACCTAATACTATTCAGAAATGAATTTTATATTGCATTTTTTGTCATATCTTTAGAAATTACATTACTGTAAATGTATAAATAAATTATTCAAATTCTTAATTCAGTATAATTTTTTTTGAGAAATGCATTTTAGTTTAAATAGCATGCACATTAGTTGCAAAGTTTATATGACCATGTTTTATAAGGAATACAGACTTATATAAACATGTTTGCCTATAATCCTAAGTTACTAGGGAAAATAAGACTTGGACAATGGTCATAAACTTCAAGATATCCTGGACAAAATTTGTGATTGGAACAACACATTACATACATGGAATTGAATGTGAATAAATGCCATGTGTAATAGCAAAAAATAGGCCACATGTAATCTACAAATTATGTGGAAAGATATTAAAGAACTCTGACAAAGAAAGAGATCTAATACCTATATGACAAAGTCCTAGATGATAAATAGTTACCAGAGAACCACATAAAGGGCATTGTGAGAGCAGCCTATGCTACTCTTTCAAATTTTAAATTTACTTTCAAGTAAGTGGATGGTGATATACTAAAGAAATTGTTCACAACATGTGTGAGACCAAAATTGGAATATGCAGCAGCTGTATGGTGTCCATATCTCAAGAAGCACATCAATAAACTAGAAAGGGTGCACAAACATGGTACTAAATTGCTTCCAGAATTGAAAGACAAGATCTATGAGGAGAGGTGGAAAATGTTAAATACAGTGGCGCCTCGATTAACGAGTTTAATCCGTTCCGGTACATAGCTCGTCATGTGGAAAACTCGTCTTGCGAAACAACAACAAAACTGTCGCCGGAGGTGTCCAAGAACCAGCAGGAACGCTCGTTAATCGAGCGAAAGCTCGTCAGTCGAGACATATTTTCTGCGAGTGGCTTACTCGTTACTCGAAATGCTCGTAACTGGAGCTGCTCGTCACTCGAGGTTCCACTGTATTCTAAAGAGTTAAATATTTTTAGTTGCTTAAACCCATTCACTCCTTTTAGAAAGGATTTTTAATAAAATATAAAATATGTTTGGTTATGTATAAATATTAAGTATAAAAGATCATGTTTTGTTATGGTACTTAACATTAAAACATAAAAGTCATAGAGGGGGTTGCATAATTTGTGTTGCAGTACTGTAATGTCTAATACCAGCACTGGCAATATTCATTTAGTGTATTTATTTACAATTACTGTATGTACAGTCGGTATACAGTTCTTATTTTTGAATGAGGGTTGCCACTTACATTATAGAGATGCTCATGCTTGCAGATGATATTCCTTTTTAAGGGATCACAGAGACAGGCGGAGCATAGATCATTGTGTCTGGGGGTCCTGTGGCCTGGCATCTCATGCTCTAGGGAAAGACCAGGTAGGATGCTTGGAGGAATTTCTGTATAAAACTTAACTAACATAAATTTAACTGGATACAAAAATACCTAAAACATAAATACAGTATCTAATAAAAAAGAAACACACACACAAAGAAGGGGGGTGGTAGGACAAAAGAACATGGACACTACATTGGAGGGGACCCAACAATTTCTTCTAATGCATTGTGTGTGGGCTTTTTTTCCAAGGCCCCATTTTTTTCCATCCCCTTCCTCCAGCCAGATTTGGTATCTCCCTTTTATATATATATTAAAAAAAAATACAATACAATTACCATAGCCTAAAATTAGTTTTGGAAGCTAAACCTGGAAGATATTGTATTCCAGAGCTGCTGGTTATGCCACGGGGTGCCATAGGTACAATCAGAGAACACTGTATAAACATCAGAGGTCCCCGGTTGTTCAGTGTCCTCCCAGTGAACATAAGAAATATTGCCGGAACAACCGTGGACATCTTCAAGAGGAAACTAGATAGTTTTCTTAAAGGAGTGCCGGACCAACCGGGCTGTGGTGGGTATGTGGGCCTGCGGGCTGCTCCAAGCAACAGCCTGGTGGACCAAACTCTCACAAGTCAAGCCTGGCCTCGGGCTGGGCTTGGGGAGTAGAAGAACTCCCAGAACCCCATCAAGCAGGTTAATTCTTTTCATAATAAAGTACTAGTACAGTATATTGTTTAGAGGTTTAGAATGCATTAAATTAAAATTCATCATCAAAGAATTCTAATTATATTGAAAATGATAAAGATGCTAAAGGCAGCTGATGATGAAAGGACAGTGGTACCTCAGCATACAAATTTAATCTGTTTCCAGAGATGGTTCATAAGCCGGAAATTCGTAAACTGAAGTGAATTTTCCCATAAGAAATAATGTAAATTTAATTAATCTGTTCCACACTCCCCAAAAAATTAACTTCAAAGTAAATTTTATACATAATTCACCAAAATCTTTGGTACTAAAGTACAGTATGTACAAGTTATTGCTTACCTTTATTGATGACTTCTTGGCATATGGAAGACGGTGAGGAGGGGAGGGGGGAGAAGAGGTGTTTGGAAGGGGAGTCCCCTTCCATTATGACATCAGGCAGTGATGACTTCTCTGGGGTACACTCTCTGGCACGTTTTGCCTGCATACCACTAGGACCTGCTTGTGGTTCACTGCTTGATTTTCTCACTAAAAATCTATCCATAGAGGATTGTTTTTCCCTTCATTGTAACACTTGGCTGTAGTGAGGCATCACAGTGTCATTAAAAAAGGTTAATGCAATGGCCTACTACAGCTTTCTCTGGGTGAGTCGTTTCAATAAAAGTTTGAATTTCTTCCCACAGTCTACAGCACTTCCTAATTGTTGAGGAAGGGACATTCTGTACTGCCTCCTCCTCACCTGAAGACATTGCCTCAGCTGCCTCTTGTCAACAACCCGTATACCATTTTCATGTTTACGAATGATCTCTTGTTTTTGCTCTATGGCCATTCTCACATGTGTTTTCTTGGCTTGAACCATAATACTGGCTTTCTTGGATTTACTTTGCCAATTTTCAGCATTTTAGGTTGTGCGTCTGGTTGGATGCCCCGGAGTTCGCCCACCTGGGGTTTAGGGATCCGAAGAGGTATTGATGAACTCCACCTTGGCTCCACATAATTTTCATTTCCCTTCGGGCATGTTTTGCCCTGCCTCTGAAACTTTCCCCCGTTTTCCTCTGCTTCCGGCCCGAAACATTTGAGGGTTTCCGGGTCAGGGCAATGTATAGCTCGAGATGTGGCTTGGTCACCTCTGGGGCCAGCTCCTTCTGATTCAGGCACAGAGGTAGTTGAGCCTGCTGCTCCCGCCGAGGTTTCAGGGTTTTCTTTCCAGCCAGCCCCTTCATCTTTCGAAACCTCCCCTTTGAACTCGCAGTGCATGAGGGAGGGGGGGGGGAGTTGGATAGGAGCTCCTAGTTTTCCTTGAACCAGGTGGGTTTTCGTCCCTTCGGAGGAGGGTGCACGCTGTATTTTGCTTCATTGGGAGAGGTTTCCATGGGCCTCTGGGCCCGTCAGAACTGTTCTTTCGAAGGTTTCCTGCCTTGCAAGACCCTCCATTGATAGCTCATCAGGATTTGTTTAAGTACCTCCTACATTACCTGGAGTATGCCTCTTGATGGACCCTGCCTCTTTTGAGTTTGGGTGTTCCATCACCTTTTGGTTGCATCATGAGGTCTCAAAGTCATCCTGGCTAGCGGATAATCCTCTGTTTTCGCTCAGGGCTTGGTGCAACTTTTGCCGTTTCCTTGTGATCAAGTGGCATGAAGTGGCAAATGTGTTTCAGGTATTTTTGAATGGCCCTTCTTTTTGTGCTGCTCAGTGACTGTCTGTATGCTCCCAATCTTTCTGGGATGTAGGTTTATTGCAGCTCCATGCCCAAGTGTCTTTGCTGTCGGCATCCCTCATGGTGGAGAATGTAATGAAATGCCAATTTCTAGGTAAGCCCCAGTGGCTCCCTGGTTCCTGCCCTCACTTCCAGATCATTCATTGGAGGTGTCTCGTGCGTACATCTGCTCCAGAACTGATGGCTTGAGCCAGTGGACAGTGGCTTAAGGGGGGCGCCTTAGTCCCGTCCCTCCCGAGACTAGTAGTAGTAGTGGGGCAAACGAGCGCAGCACTTCAAGCATACATAATATACATGGATTTTTCTAAAGCTTTTGATGAAGTACCACATGAAAGACTGGCATGTTAAGTACATGCACATGGAATAAATGGTAAATGATAAAATACTAGAATAGATAAAACAATGGTTAAAACAAAGAAAACAAAGGTTTATCCTAAATAGAAACGAATCTGACTGGAAAAATGTGGTGAGTGCGATACTGCAAGGATCCATTTTGGGGCCAACTCTTTTGTCGTATAAATCAATGACGTAGAAGAATACAGTACTGTATTAGAAACCAAACCATCAAATTTATTGATGACTCTAAGGTTTATGGTAAGATGCCCCTGAAATAAAAATTATTGGCTCACGTAATGAAAATTATTTTGAGGCCTTACAAAGAGATCTACTTAAGCTCCACAAGGGGTCAGAAGATTGGCAAATGCTTTTTAATTTAAAAAAATGCAAGACCTTTCATGTGGGGCATAACAATGCACATTGCAAGTATCAAATCAACAACACTGATTTGTTGTAATTACTGTACTAGTAATTATTTAGCTGTTAAAACCCCTCTTGGATTATTGTATCCAAGCATGTAGATCTCATCTTCAGAAAGACATATCTGCTTTGGAGAAAGTAAAGCACCAGACGACAAAAATTATTTCTGAACTAAGTCAACTCCCAAAGCAGCCAAAAAACACTACAAAGTTTGTTTTTGAAAACAGAGTACAGTAGTAGACAGATGGAACAAGTTAAATGAGAAGGTGGTCGAGGTCAAAACCATTCAGTAGTTTTAAAGTGTCATGTAACCGAGTGCTAGGAAAACAGGACACTACAAGCATAGTTCTCATCCTGTGACTACACTTAGGTATTTACACTGTGTTATAATTGAATTATTATGTAACAATCTATGTTATCTGCAAATAGATTAAAAGATTTTAAATATTTTTAATTTAAAATTCAACATTTGAAGATGTGAGCAAAGTAGTGTACCAGCAACGTGATAGTGATAACTTATTAACTAACCTGTATCATCAGGATCACCTTTGTTTAGTGCCGAACTAGACGATCCCACATTCTCTACCTTTTCATCTTTTGGACTTCTATTAGAATTTTTATGATTACTTTCAATTTGTGAATGATCTTTGCCTCTGTCAGATGTTCTGTTTTCTATGTTATTATTTGCTTCATTTGGTAATTGAATATTTGTTGTTCCTTCTGGATATCGAGTTGCTTTTACTGATGTAGTTGTGTTCAGTATTGTGGGCATTGTATTAGTTCTTACACCACTTAGACTCAGTTGCTTTGCTATTATTGCACTGTCAATATCTATAGGTGGTCCTTTACTGCTCACCCATGCTGGTGGCATGGAAGATGTTATATGCTCTGGGTTGGTCATCAACCGTAGATTAGGCTCATTTTCTACAATCGGTTGAGTTGTTGGTTGTTGCTTAGTGCTGTTCTGTGCTGAAGCTGAAGGAGGTGTGTACACTATGCCTGGCATTACATTTATAGTAGGTGTATTTTCAAATTGACTTTTACTTGTGTTCATCCCCTTTCCAGGGGCCATATTATTGATATTATCCGGTGCTTCTGCACTCACTTGCGATTGATTACCAAGTTCAAATGTTGGCTTGGTAGGGAATTTATATTCGGAAGTATTTTCTGCTTTAAGATCAAACTTGGGAGGGTGAGGCATATGTGGGTTGGGCTGATACCCAGAACCACATTTTAGACTCCATCCCAGGACACTTACTACAAATAGCAACCTGAACATGTTTCTGCAAAGGGCTCCAATATTAAAATGTTTAAATTCACTAATGCAACGAACACCACCAAAATTTAACTGAACTGGCCGTTAGGATTTCAATGTGCACTAAGTGAAGATGTGGGAATCCCAACATCATGACCCAGAGTGTGAGAGAGGAAGTCGTCTCTTCTAGTTAATACGCGTGGTGTGTGGGAAGACAGGATATGAAGTCATTCTTTAAATAAGCTGCTTTGTTCACACTCAGTTTTGTAGTCCTTACAGATACAATAATTACTATGTCTTAATATTAAGACTGAATTCACAAGTTAAGGTAAACTGTATTATTAAGAAAGACTTTAACTTTGCAGTGATCACCAAGAAAGATAGGAGATCAAAAGGAGATATGGTAATGACAATTTTTTCAAAAGAGAAAATAGGCAATGAAGAATTTTGTATACCAGCATTTAATAGAACCCAAGGCCATGAATTCAGATTTTAAACAAAAGGGGTGAATCACAATTGGAAGTAGTTCCTGTTCACAAAAAAAAAAAAAAAAAGAGTATTAGAAGGTAGGAAAGATATTGTGTGTGTAAGCCCACATAGATTAATTAAACAAGAGAAGGCATATCAAGCATATTTCTTCTCTTTTTTTTTATTGACCTATTAAAAAAATTAACCGATTACAAATACTGTACACACACAAAATAAAGAAAATTCTGTACATCATTTGTAAAAATCTGAAGGCAGTGTACTCTAGGACATACATATAATCCAGTTTTCTATACAGTATTTAATTTAGGAAATTAAAATACTGCAGTTTTATATGAATTCATGCAATGTAAAATTCAGTTTTAATTAGTTTGAGGTTCATATTGCCAACAAAAATTTTCTAATTTCCCAATAGCTGTCACTCCAATGAACGTCTGTTTCTGCGTGACTTCGTTTCGTGTGCCGGAGGCACCAGTGGTGGACGACTAGCTCGATGGCTTCAACCTGATTCGTACGTTGATGTGAGAGCGTGCGAAGTCTTGTATAGCAGAGATGACATGAGGGCAGGATGGCCTGCTATTGTCACTATCCTCACGAGAGATCAATACAATGAGGTGGTCCACGTGCCGTCACTCAAGGTGAGTTCTAATGCTTCATCATTGTTGACAGCTTGTTTAATAATATGACAGCATATTATTGTTTTATTTTTGTTTAAATAAATAACTTTTGGTATTTCAAAATTAATACAGTATAGTATTTAAATACAGTATCAAGGGAATACAGTGGATATTATAAATTAAATTATTAAATGATTAACGTTCACTCTTGCAAAATATTGCAAGACATAAAATAATTTGGTTCCTTTACTTTAAAGATAAATGCCTATTAAGGCAATATTTTATACATATATTTAACTAAGTAGCATTAAAATGGAGGTAAAATAAGTATGATTTTTCTGAGTACAATGAACCCCTTATATAACACATGTTTATACAGCACATTTTTTACCATGACATGATTTTCATTTAGATATCGACAACTTCAATTATGTGCACCATTATTATATAATGCACACATGTGGCATTACCATCTGTCTGTTTTAACAAAGAGAACTGTGATTTGCATCCCTCTTCATGCCTACCAACTCTCACAGCCACCTACTCACCCATCAGCCCACTTGCGCACACATGCCCACTCACTCTGTCACCCACTCTCAAGCTCATGCCTACCCGCTCCCTCACCTGCTCTCTCACCCACCAGTCCACTCTCACACTCATGCCCAAACAGAGCTAGAAGATGAAAGAAAAAGGGTTGTTACTGTATGGTCGCAACGTGGGAAATAGTAACGGGAATCAACAAAATTGATAAATAAGAATTCTTGAAACCTGGAACTTCAAAAACAAGAGGTCTTAGATTTAAGCAAACTAAACAAAGCTGCCGAAAGAACATTAGAAAGTTCCACACAGAAATCACAATAGCGTGATGCATCAATGAACAAGTCCTCGTCACGGCCCTTGTGGATTTGTTCATTAGAAAGTTCACTTTCTAATGAACATTAGAAAGTTCACTTTCTAATGAACAGAGTGGTAGATGGTTGAAACAAGCTAAGTGAGAAGGTGGTGCAGGCCAAAATCATCAGAATTTTCATAGCATTAAATGGCAAAGAGTGCTGGGAAGATGGGACACCATCAGCATAGCTCTCATCCTGTAACTTTACTTGGGTAATTACACTCGCCCCATCCCCTCCATCAATAAAAATTTTTACAAAACATTATATATCCTCTTGGTAATAAAGAATGTAATATGTTTGTGGGAATTTATGTTAACTAAAATTACTGTAACCTTATCTAAATCTCATCCGTCTAGGAGCATTTCCTGCCTCACATGACTTCTTGCATCCAGTTTCCCATCTCCTGTAACCAGTTTTATTATTTCGCACTTGCTTGGTTTAAACTGTAGTGCCGGTTTACTCCACCATTCTTTCATTCAATCCAGATCATTGTGTAGATTCTTGGAGTCTTACATTATATTTATTTTCTTCAGAATGTTTGCATAGGCAAATAACATTGAGAGAAACGAGTCTATTTTCCTCCGTTAAGTCATCCACATTTATTAGAACTAGCTGGGTACCCAGCAGTGCCCAGGAGTCGCTCTCTATCTCTCCCCCCTCCTATCTCCAAATCATCCCCTTTCCCCCTCTCTCATCTCTCTCTTCTTCCCTCTCCCCATCTCCCTCTCTTTCCCTATCCTGCCTTTCCACCTCCCCCCCCCCCACTCTCTCTCTCCCAAAATACTCCCTTTTCCCCCTCTCGCCCTCTGATTGTGGGGTATCGTGCTTAACACTTGAAAATTCTACTCTTTGGCTTGTATTATAAGGGCACAAGCTTCTAAGTCATACCCTAGAGTACAAACTGTCGAAATCTGGCCTTTACTGCATGAAAGTTAAAGACAACTAAAGTCTGCTCTATAATAATCCTTACAGTCAAACATCGAACATGTGTACCATGAGCAGGAACACTCCTCACTTCAGGGGCCAAACATGGATAAAGTATATAACCCAGGAAAATAATAACTTATATCATTACAAAGTGTTTTATTTCTTGATCTTAAAGTTACTTTACATGATAACTGATAAAATGGAAGTAATGTTTTCACAGAATATTTATTACTTGGAATAATTATTAAATACTGGTCCCACTAAGTGATGGACATAAAGTCGTTATGTTATTGTACAATCTTCTCGACTCTAATTGCAAATTCCAGATACCTGTACTCTAAAAGTACAAGGTTCTTACTAGTTGAACAACAAATATCACGGACAGTGAATGGTAGGACACGTAACACATGCTCAGAAATACACTTTAGAATGGACGGATCAAACAACACATATTACCAGCCAACCACAGGGACATGTAAAGAAAATATATTGTATCTAAAGTTGTTAAAGAATTAAGTGCTTAAAAAGTTTTCTCATCAGGTTGAAGTTGTAGCGGTACCTGTAAGCACAGGAGAGGAAGGTGGTCAGGGAAAGTTAAGAAGAATAAGCCAGCATGTACCTGATAATATGACCTTCGGTGGACACCCTCAGCCCTCTTTGGATGTTCCGTACCAAGTTTCTATTAAGGACAAGATGTGTTACTGTGCAATAACTATGATAAAGGTAAGATAAGCATATTAAAGCACTGCTCAACAAAGCTATTATATAACTTTTGTTACTCTATATTCACCTGGGCTCTAGGAGACTTGAACCATGGACCCCATGCGTGTGAGGCAAAGGCTCTATTCACTCGGCTATTAGTAGTCTTAATAATGGAAGATTCCAGAAGCAACTACTGCTGCTATGCTGGAATTTTCAACTTCCCCTGAATATTACTGAAGCTCAGTAGTAGCCAGGGGGTCAATTTAGTAGTCAGTTTGTGGGATCCATAAGTTCCTTGCCCTAGGGCTTGCAGGCAGACATGGCCACCACTAGCTTGGGCTCCCTCGAAGCACATTGGAATGCAGCATCTAAGTGCAATGCTAAGAATGCACAACAGTTGGGCTGGGAGAGGCCGTGATTCCTGGTGAATTGGACCGCAGTAAACTAGAGTACGCGTGCAGGAGAGCGGTGTGCCACTGACCAGGAAAGGTGAGGCTGGCTTTTTATGCCCCATTTTTACATGTAGGGTGGTTGTCCTACCTCATGGTTAAAATCATTGTATGATGATAACCACATTATACAGGGAATCAGTATCAGTATATGACGATAACTGCACGTTAAGGGTTGAGAGTCTAGTGCTGAAATACAGTCCTGGTGGACCTTGTAGGCTTCTGGGTGAGGAAGTTTCCATCCAATGGACCTCACCTCACAAATATTTATTTATCAGCTGTTACTGCTGCTCTCCTCATTTTGGAGTTTTTCACTAGCTCCCATATTTACAAACTTTATCATTAAATATAAATATTTATATACACTTTTTATAATAAAAACAGTCTTTGTCATCATTATTTCATACTAAAAAAAACTAATATTTCAGGCTTATGAGAATTATTCTTTTGAAGAACTTCGCTACATGTCACCTGCCATTCGTCGTCCAACAGAAAATATGCTTGTACGAAGTAACAATGATGGCACTTATTCGTGTAATTGGACACCCGGAGCTACTGGCTGGTACTCTCTGCATGTTACTATAGATGGTTACCAACTAGATGAGGTGAATATTGAATTTTTCTTTTCTCTTTCTGTTGCCCACAATCTACCGGCTAATTAATACAAGTGAACATCATTTATCCACAATCATCTCAACACTACACGAGAGTATTTCTAACGGAGGAGGTATCTGGTAAAATATTAACACTAGCTCAAGAGCTGGCTTGGGGGGGAGGGGGGCTGGCTGGCTGGCTGGCTGGCTGACTGACTCGCATCTGGAACTTGTTCACTCAACACGGGAGATCAGGTCAACTGATCACATGAAGGTTTTGACACACAGTTGGCTACAGGCTCATCCTGTTCCTTAAATGAGTGTTACCTAATGTTGTTAATGAATAAAGGCTATTCCTACTGATGCATATAGCTCATGAAATAAATGGGCCTCTAGGATCAGGAGGGGGGGAGAGAGAGAATGAGAAAGAGGGAATGAGAATATTTATTTTATTTATTTATTTATTTTAATATAAAAAATAACTATTTGATACTATGTGAGACTTTCATTATGTATTATTTACAGGCTTTGAATTTTATAATTTCTTTATAATTACAGTATTATATGGGTATCTTTTAATTTTTAGACATATAAAATGGAAGTAAAGGAACCGCCGCAAGGTGTGACTCCTCCAGTGCAGAGTACGATACGAAGATCGTCGCAGCAACCTTCTCGTCTCCGTAAATTTGTACTACAGAATAGTGCTGGTTTGCGGATACGAACTCACCCATCTCTTCAGAGTGAGCAGATAGGCGTGGTCCATGTTAATGGAACTATTGCATTTGTAGATGAGGTTTGTATTATATGTTAAATTAATTTTAATTAATAAAAAAGAGTCAAACCGTTCTGGAGCACATCTGGGAAATCCAGTCATGTTTAACATAAAGGGTCTAGGTCTCCTATCTTCTCTAGTCATTTAGCATCATCAGCAAATTTGTTCATGTGATTCTGTATTCCTTCTGGTAGAGCGTTAGATCATGAACATGACTGGTGCATGAACTGAACCCTATGGTACTCCACTAGTAACACTCCTCCAGTTAGAAACATTGCCTTTGATTACTGCCCTCATCTATCTGTTAGGAAATTTTTCATCCATGTCAGAAGTCTCCATCACTCCTCTAGCATGTTCTGGTTTCTAGAACAACCTCTTATGTTGGACTCTGTCAAAAACCTTTATAAGGTCCAGATAAATGCAGTCAACCCAACTTTCTAGTAAAATCTCTGTGGCTCTAGCATAGAAACTAAGTAGATTTGATACATAATATCTTCCTGATCAAAAACCATACTGTCTGTCATTACATCATCTGTCTCAAGGTGTTATACTCATTTTGTTTTATTTTTCAAATGTTTTGACACCTGTGCTTGTCAACAATACAGGTCTGTAATTAGGAGGGTGTTCCCAGCTACCATTTTTTAGATTGGAACTATGTTAGCCTTTTCCATATATCTGCTAAGACGCCTGTACAGAAAGATGACTGAAAAATCAATTGTGAAGGGGTCCTTTGGCTATTGATAGTTGGTTAATTTTGGATGGGGGGCATTATGTGCTGTGCCTGGTAACAACTCTTTACCGCTGCCTTCATGCCACTGATTCTGCCTCATTGGATGCTTTCTGGGTTGATCCTACTTGTTTACTTGTTCCAATTCTTGTATTTCTCCGGTCATCTGCAGTGTTGTTAAGTCCAGCCAGCTTGTGGTCTACTACTGTCCTGTGTTCGTAATGTTTGTAAATATGCTGCTCCTACAAATATTTTTGCTAACTTGTCATGGGCTGATATTCAGGCATGGGGGTTTTGGCAGCCAAACAGGTTCTTAATGGCCTGGTATTGAAGTACGTAATGCTCCCAAGCCTCGTCGTGCCTGTGTTGCCTTGGGTCGTGTCTCTTGCCCGAGTGTTTTTTCGTCTTGAACACCTGTGGTTTCTCCTCCTCCCATCTTTCTTCTTCATGGAAACCATAAGGGGCTTGCCCAGAAATCCAGCATTGAATGTAACGAAATACCTCTTCTGGATGAGCCATGGTGGTCCCTGTTTCCCTCCCTCCCCCTCCAGGTTCATTGACGGGTGGGTGCCATCCTCACATCTACTCCAGAACTGGCTTGGAGGACTTGGGAAGACAGGAGCTCCATCTCCTCCCACTTCCCCCTTCCCCTTTCCCTTCCACTGGGGGTTGGTGCTAATGAGCTAGTGTTAGTTTTGAGGAATTTAATTTTGTTTACATTGTCTAGTGAGTTCATTTGATAGTTTTGAATCTTCGGTCTCTTTGAACCCAACAGTGGGCAGTTTTGGTGAACTGTCTTTATGGCTGTATTCCCGCTGGGGTAACAGTGTCACCTGCTCTCTGCACCTCTGTGAGGAGGGAGCCAAGTTCTGGCCCTGGTCTGCAGTAAGCTGAACAGAGCACTGTGGCTGATGAGACCAAATATTGGGAGCCATCTCAGCGAGATAGCTTTAGGGAGTTACCTGGGCTCGTTCAAAAAGAAGTGCTTCATCACATTCATCACTGGATTTTTCTTCTGTCCACTAATTTTAGCATATTTAATGTTTGCAGTTTCTCTTCATGGCTCTTATGTTTTAGGTTAAAGATTCATTTAGTAGCATGGTTTTGCATCTTTTCTAGGTTACTGGTGTGCCTTTTATATATATAGGCACCATATTCCTGCTGCATATTATACTTTAGGTCATATATATGCTGTGAATTTTTATTTGTATTTTTAACCATAGTGTTGTTCAATGTGTTATAAAATCTTTAAGTCTATGTATATTCTAATAATTATGAGACTAGCTGTAATATATTTATATTTTTCTTTTGTATTTCAGGTACATAATAGTGACGGCGTTTGGCTGCGATTGAGCCCAGAAAGTATACGCCAATATTGCACCAATGGATATTCAGAAGCTTGGTGTCTACAATACAATCAACATTTAGGAAAAACACTTCTAGTACCCCTTGACCATCCCAAAACTATTCTAGACCAGGTATATTGATTCACAATCAAATTATTTTAGATGTAATATAGGTACAATACATAAATTTCACTTGTTTTAATTTACCAAGGTAACCTTTAAGGTTATAAATCTTAACACAGAATTCATATTTATTTCTAGTACTGTATATTACATACACTATTTGCAGTTAAAATTTCTTCACTACTACATATTCTTTAATAGTTAAGTGTCAATATAATTCTCTAGGTGGGACCCACGGAAAGGCAAGATAATGGAAACCCACAACAAAACAAATCTGATAACCCTTTTAGTATCCAAAAATGCATGTATGCATTTCATGCTGAAATCAGCTCAAACAACAAAAGAGGAATGTAACAAGAAGCCCATGAACCCACCTTCGGGCATCCTCCTGCGATCCTCCAGAACCCCAGTAACCAAAAGCCCCAAAAAGACTGCAAAAAGTACAAAAATAAGAACATTGTCACAGCAATCACCACCCAAAATACTGCACCCCCATGAACAGGGTGCAGCATAAATAAAACCCAACGATGACTTGCATCAGTGCATCAGAGACCTGGGATGATAAACCCACAGACAGACTGTTGGAGACAGACAGAACAGCTATAGGCATAAAACAAGACCTGCACTTCAACGCAGGTCCAGAGGGAAGGTCATAACAATCACACGCTACACAAGATCTGCAGAAATTTAAAGCATCAGTAAAGGAGGACCTGCCCAGATGCCAGGCACAAGGGAATGCTCACTGAACAGATACCTCACTGAACAGATGGGGGCCTCGTAGCCTGGTGGATAGCGCGCAGGATTCGTAATTCTGTGCCGCGGGTTCGATTCCCGCACGAGGCAGAAACAAATGGGTAAAAGTTTCTTTCACCCTGAATGCCCCTGTTACCTAGCAGTAAATAGGTACCTGGGAGTTAGTCAGCTGGCTTCCTGGGGGTGGAGGCCTGGTCGAGGACCGGGCCGCGGGGACACTAAAGCCCCGAAATCATCTCAAGATAACCTCAAGATAACCAAGATAACCTATCCCTGACTTTAGAAAACACAGTAAGGGGCGGCATAGACAGTGTGCAACCAACAACTGACGTGTGATCCACACTGTGCACCTACAACCAACAAAAACCCCTGGCTACTCAAACACATCGCCTGCATGAACTTTATTAAATTTAAATAATAAACATGATAAATATGCTAATTTTAAGACTTGTAATCTCTATTTTTAAGAATAAGTACTGTTCCTTTTTAAATAATTTCTTGGGAATGTACAGTAACTTCATAGTAATTTTTTCCTTGTTTGTTTCCAGGTAATTACTGACACTATAACTAGACGTCGTGATGGAAGTCCTCGTCGGGAAACCTCATTAGGCACTGATGGTGCCGAGGGTATGAGTGGAGGTGCAGGGATGTACACCGTTGTCAAATGTGGAGCTTCAGGGCATAACATTCGAAGTCAGCCTAATCTGAAAGCACCACCTGTTGGAATGCTTGTCCTAGGGAATGTTATTTCGGCAGACTCTGATGCTAAGAATGGTGATGGTATGTTTATTATGTACAGTATATACCTAATAAATACATATTAGATATGAATTTCTAGGTTGTTTATTTGCTCTCATATTTATTAATTTGGGCAAAACTGTCTTCTGTTCATATTGATTTACATCATTTTAATTGACATAGTACATGTATTGATATTTATAAGTTTGATATTCCTATGGAAGATGCTGTGACTTCTGTTGTGGTTTTAAAATTACTATTTCCTTCAACTACTGTAATTGCATATAGTTTAACATATATGCCTGGGGCAAGATTTACATATAGTGTAATTTTGAAATTTTGTAAACTTACTGATGGAAATCAAGTTACAATCAAAAGAATTGGGCTCCCAGCTGGTGTGCATATCTGCAAGCAAGGGATCTGGTTCTTTCCCAGCTTTCCAGGTTGGGGTTAGTAGTGGATTGGAGGAATCACCAGTTGGTTCTGTGCCTGGTTCAGACTTGTTTGAGCCTGGTTTAGGATTCCCTCACTTTTGCTGCTTTGCACTGCCCGAATTGTCGTCTCCATCTGGTGTTCATTGGGTCCTGGATTCTGTGGTGGTTGGTTGAGCTGTTATGCAAGAGCAGAGTTTGACTCCAGGTACTTTCCTGGTTTTCACAGTTCCACACTTTGTACCTCCACTGGGACTTTCAAGCACAAACTTCATTTCCCCTTCATCTTTTGGTTCACTGGTTTCCTCTTCTGGGTTTTGAGGATTTGGTTATGTGGCACCTTTACCCACTTGAGGTATATACAAGCGCCTTGTTCCTGGGCTGGTGTTTTGTGGCCAGCATTTACCAGGCCTCCCAGGGTCATTGGGCAGGTGCACAGAACTGTACGTGAGTTTTAAGCAGGCCTTGCAAAGCATTCATTTTCCTCTGAAATCTGTTCTCTGGCTCCATTCCAAGTGCCCTCATGTGGTTCATTTTTTTTTAATTGGAGGGGGTCAATTCAGTCTTTTCCTTTTTGGAGCTGTGCTCAGCAAGTGGCACAGCTTCTGGATTCTCACAGTTTGATTTTCCATGCAGTTAACATGCAAGATGTGTTCTATATTGTCATTGACAGTCTCATTTCCATCCCATTTCCACAGAGGGGACTATTGACAAGGTGTTCTGGTGGCTTTGTGAGGTGTTCAGTTATCCTGAGGTGGACCTCTTTCCATTGACTTGTAACGGGAGCTTCTGTCTTATGTGACTCCTTTCCCTAATCACAAGGTTCTCACGGTAGGAATCTCATCTCAACTAGTTTCCGCCGAACTAGTTGAAATTGAGATTCATTTATCTCTTCCCTCTGGTTCAGCTGTTACTACAAATATTGTTCAGACTGGAAACCTAGTTGTGCAAGGTGATCCTTCTTTTCAGTTAGGTTAGGTTTGGCAATTTAGTACATAATTTTTGTGACGTGACAACTCAAGGGGGACAGATTGCTCATACACAACATGCCTAACTTGGACCTTATTTCTGGTTTTGTTTCTGTGAGTCTATATAGTATGCTGTATAGTATGTAGTTGAATGCTCTGATCATCTTAGCATGCTTGATCTGGCTTATTTACTTGCCTCTGTGCTGTCCTTTTATCTCTTCTGTTCTTGTCTTTTTCTATTTTGATTCTTTCTGTCTTATTTTTCCTTTTTTCTTTTCATATTTCTTTTCCCTTTTAAACTTATTTTGTTTAGTTGCATTAGGACGTCTACATTTTCTTTATTTTAATGTTCTTATGTTAGTTTAGCTCTCTTCCTTGTCACAACTTTCGGTGTATCCTGAGCCGAAGCATTGTCACTCTTAATTCCTTTCATATGTTTGAGTTGGGTTATTTATTTTAGCCACATTATTATGAGTTATTCTCAGCATGTACAATACTAATATCAGAGTAATATCAGATTTTTGTCATTCTCTCTCTCTCACTCAGGTACTTGGGTTCGTTTGGATTCCGAGAGCACACGCAAATATTGCTTCACTGATGGGGAGGCATGGTCTCTAGCTATGTCTCGAGGTCATACACTTTACCTTCAACGTTCTCATAGCCACAGTCATCCCTACTTGTCATCCCTGCCTGGTAAGTTGCTGTCTGCACCCTATTCCAGTATCAATACACACAAGACTACTTTCATTAATATTGTAGCTAAAAGTTCCTTCTTAAGCCTTAAATACTCTTTCTTTTGTTACATATTTTTTTCTGGTTACCAAGAGTGTCGATGATTGGGAAGAAACTATGAAGCATGTTCAAGGGATAAACAGCAGGGAGCATGTAAATGACATTACAATTGGAAAATATGTGAGAGTAAAATGCCATAATGCAAAAATTACTAAGCAATATAAAGCAAATGAAAAAAGTGCCTTGGAAAGCTAAGGAAATAAAGTAAGACAAGGACTAATGATCATTAACAGCAAAAGGGACCTTCCAAAGAAGACGTAGTGATATTTAAGAAATGCCTTGGGGCAGCCAAAAGGTTAAATACACACACACTCACTCTCTCTCTACCTCATTTTTTGTTATTTATTCAGTATGAGCAAACCTTTATTTATAAACTCTGTTTCATTATTTTCTTTTGTTTCCCACATCTTGTCATGACCTTCATTCTTTACTCTACCCACAGACCTCCACTGCAGTAATTCTGATTTCTCATCTTGTGCCACACAAGCATCACATAGATGGGGTGGGGGGAAGCACAGCACCCCAGGTTACCTTACCTTGAGGTTACCTTGAGATGGTTTTGGGGCTCAGCATCCAAGCGACCCGGTCCTCGACCAGGCCTCCTCGTTACTGGACTGGTCAACCAGGAACACAACTGGAGTGAGGCCTGCTTGTTTGTTTTGTTTGTTTATACAATATAATATATTAATATATGATATTTTTTCAGATGCAAATAATATGGTTGGCCATCAGGGATTTGACTTCACCCATGCTCAGACTAGTCCTGTGTTTCGACCATTCCAACAACCAGCAGTCAGTGGTGACCCCTTTGTCTTTGGTGCATTAAGTACGTAAATTCTTCTTATCTCTTGAAGTTTAAACAATAATGTATGGTGTCATGAATTGACTAGCCCATGGAAGCATTCCTCGAGAGTAGTAATCAAGATTCTTTTCTTTGGCTTCACTCATACTACAGTGTCACCTGGCTTCACTCACACTGTAGTGCCACCTGGCTACACTCACACTATAGTGCCACCTGGCTACACTCACACTATAGTGCCACCTGGCTACACTCAGTGTAATGCCACCTGGCACTGTAGTGTGAAAAACTTGGAAGAAAAAACCTGAAAGAACTAGACTAGAAAACTTGCCATGAGCCTAGCCACCTGGAGACAAATAAGGGGAGCTAGAAACAATAATGGCAGTGTGTTAGTATCTGTGACACCTTAGTTCCCCCTATCTCAGTGAGAGGACAGGATTCTGGGGCCAGATTCACAAAGCAGTTACATACACACTTACAAACCTGTACATCTTTCCTCAATCTTTGACGGCTTTGGTTACATTTATTAAACAGTTTACGAGCATGAAAACTTTCCAATCAACTGTTGTTATTGTTATAAACACCCTCCTGGTGCTTCGGAGCTCATTAACTGTTTAATAATTGTAAACAAAGCCGCCAAAGATTGAGAAAAGATGTACAGGTTCGTAAGTGTGTACGTAACTGCTTTGTGAATCTGGCTCCTGATTCATATCTACAGTAATCCAATGAGAAAATGTTACATACCTGGCGAAATGGTATCTGTCCTAGGATGCCAGTACATAAGCTCTGGGAGGTACTAAGAGGACTATCCCAGATCTGAAAGTATTGTAATCATTTAGACCATTGTTGTTTCAGTGGTAGGAATTCAATCAGTCACTGTCCATACATTGACTGGATAATTAATTGCATGGATGCCATGTCAGCTTTAATTAAATTAGATTTCTATTAGACATTGCTCTGTTTAGATATTCAACTCCCCTCATTGGATGAGGTATCATTAAGAAATATATTTACTGTACAAGTCAAAAATATTGACTATTATTATTGTGTAACCATGGTTACACAATGGTTACCACTCCATGAAAGTAGGAAATATGGTAGTATTGAGGGTTCATAGCAGGAAGGCTGCCTTAGGCTTGTATCACAGGTTTGACTGTTTAATATTCATAATATTTGTCTTTATTTGTAGCTCGAGGCCGAGGGGATGGAAGTAGCAGTGCTGGGGTGCAGAGGCCTACAAGTGGCGGAGATGAGTGTAGTCCACAGAAATCATCCCTTCAGTTTGTTGATGCAAACACCACAACTGATGAATCTGAGGCTACTGGAGTTACAATGAAGCAGCAGCAGCAACAGCAGCAGCAGCAGCAACAACAACAGCAGCAACAACAACAACAACAGGTGTAGTATAAATTACAGAATTTTTGTCTCATATTTTAGGGGACAGGAAGCCTGTAAGCTTTGTGGAGGTTCCTCTAGACCAGGGTTCCTTAAACTTTGTGTCACAGCCCAGTATTGGTTCAGGCGATGTTTAACACTTAGTCACAAGGTCACAAATATTAAACATTAGTGATCTTACTGGTGTACTTTGCATCCATATTATTATTATTTATAACTAAGTTTGTCTTTACTGTATTGTACTTAAGTGCCATTTATATATTTTTATTATTAGGATGCCTGGTCAGAGACCGGGCTGTAGGAACATTGATCCTCAGAACCATCAACAAGTAGGTAGGTAAATATGGAAAAAGTGTTTTAAGTTACCAAGAATAATATCAAACAACAATTAATGCATATCAGAGAGAGAGAGAGAGAGAGAGAGAGATTGAGTGAGTGAGTTTGAGTGAGTGAGTGAGTTTGAGTGAGTGAGTGAGTTTGAGTGAGTGAGTGAGTGAGTGAGTGAGTGAGTGAGTGAGTGAGTGAGTTTGAGTGAGTGAGTTTGAGTGAGTGAGTTAGTTAGTGAGTTAGTTAGTGAGTTAGTTAGTGAGTTAGTGAGTTTGAGTTTGAGTTTATCCTCACTAGTCACTGCTTTATTCAACATGAACTTTGGCATCTAAGGGTAATTATTCCCTTTACTGTGATCCTGAAAGATATGATTAAACTGATTATTACCATTTAAAGAACGCTCACTGAACTCTCGGCTGTTTAAAAGGTTATGTTTAGAAATGGGGGAACTGGTCTCCAGTAGATTCTTGTGAATTGATAGAGCTTGGTGTGATACTGATGGTTTGACAAATATCCAGGTTGGTGGCTCGAGGAGCTGCCAAGGAACTCTGTGGAAAGAGACTTCATTACGTTCAATACTGGTTCTTTATGCTGGAGAGAGTTACTTTCAAATGCAATTTGTTTTTCAAATTGTTTTACGATACTGTTCTTATTTTCTAACTCTTCTCTTGTTTATGTGGAAAAAAATATTCTGCTTATGGTTTTAATTTTTTCACCACAAGGATTCTTCTCAACATCCTGGGAAATTCTCGGTTCTGCATCGGTGGCTTAAAGAAGAACAGCACAAGCACACATCTCCTCATGCACCACACCCTGCACATGTTCAACAGCAGCAGCAGCAACAGCAGCCACAACAACAGGTACTGCAACATCCTCAGTTGCAACACAGCCAGCAGCAGACTCAGACATATGACAAGAAAATGGAGAAAAAGCAGTCACAACAGTTAGCTGTGTGGTAAGAAAGAGATTGGGTAGTAATAAACATACCCTTTATTACACCTATCTATCACCTTGCTTTTACCTTCCTCTAAGATTTTCTCCTCACCTCTCTCTTGCCTTACGTATGTCCCTGCCTTTTTCATCTCTTCACAATCGACTTGATAATGGTCCAGGACGGACCGATACGTCGACGTTTTTTCATCTTCTAGTGTGTGGTCTGGTCAACAAGAAAGAGATTGTTTCTGGAGATTAGGTAACAGGAAGTAGTCTATTGTAGTAATCCTATGGAAAAAATGAATGCATTCTCTGACTAGTATGTGTTACTGTACATTAAACTTTTCCACTTTGAGTAATAAAGAAATTTTGGATTGGTTGTCCTGTTGTGATTTTGAGCAGCTAGCCACCAGCTCTTGATGTGATTGGCCATTTTTCTGTTTATTGTTTTTAATCTAATATTTATTGGCTAGTTGCTTTGGTCAAAGCATTGCTGGTTGTGCTATGAACTTGTATACATTTTGTTAATTCCAGTTGGTTTAGTCTGTGTTAAATTGTTTTCTGAGTTATTTTTACTGAGTTTGCCATATTTTTTTTTACTATGCTTATGGCATCCTTAGTTTACTATTATATCTCTCATGCCAAAATGTTATCATTTTATCGTGCAAGTTTGGAACCCAAATAAACAAAAAAAAAATAGGAAATAACTGTCTTCATGAAATATTCAGTTCATTATATATGGGTAGTAAAAATTTTTTAATTTTCTTTAAAATAGATTGCTAAGAATGACACTAAATTAGTTAAAATCTCTCCTGAGTGTGTGATGAGAATCTCGGTCTCTGCCCTGGGGCTCGATCATATGGAATACTAGATAGGGTACTCAGCTGCACCTGCACCCTCAGTTCCCCTCTCTTCCACTCCTCCACCCTCTCCCCACCTCTCATTTCTTTTCCCCTATCTCCCCATCCTCTCCCCTCTCCTTCCACTCTCCCTACTCGTGCTTCCCCTCTGTTCCACTCTCCCTGCTCTTGCTTTCCCTCTGTTCCACTCTCCCTCTCACCTCTCCCCATTCTCCTCTGGGAGCCTTCCCTGCTACTTCATTTTCACCTTAAGACCATGATATTTTATTTAAAATATATCTTTTCAGCTTGTCACGTGATGTTCCACCAGAACTGCAAGGTGTTTCTGTGAAAGATTTGGTCAAAGCTATTGGAGAATCTCGTGCTAATGGAAATGGAGCAACTCCACCTCGCACTCCACCTGCAACACCAAAGCGATTGTCACGCTCTTCTAGCCCACGGGCAGCTGGAGTTGGGCCCTCCGGAAGTGCTGGGGTTATTCAAGGATCTGGAACATCACCACGTCAGATATCAAGATCTTCCAGTCCAGTACCTATTCCAGGTGTGATTTATTTTATTATAGCATAGTACTTTACTTAATTAGCCATATACATACTTGAATTATTATTCATTGAATTCGTAAATTAGAACTACCTAGTAATTTTAAAATTCATTTGGTGAAAAAGATTGGTGTCCTGCCTTTTCCTCATCCCAAAGAAAGACTTTCCTTGCCTTGTCATGGCTTATTTCCCTGTATTTCCAGGATTATAGCTAGCATTTTGAATGGGACACCTCGACTACCACTTTCGGTCTGTAGTCTTTGGTCTGAATTTGTTCCCCAGATTCTTCAGACAAACCTGGGAGGTGCTGTGAGAGCTGCTGCTTTGCAGGGTCTAGGTTCTGGCCTTGACAACTGGTCGATTTGGGCTCCAAGTCATACTGTTTGTTTACTAGCCAAGTATCTCTTGCTCTCTCAGGTGTCATACACACTGTCTTCCAGGAGCTGGATTCATAAAGCAGTTACGCAAGTACTTACAAACGTGTACATCTTCCTCAATCTTGACGACTTTGGTTACATTTATTAAACAGTTTACAAGCATGAAAATTTCCCAATCAACTGTTATTGTTATAAACAGCCTCTTGGTGATTTGGAGCTCATTAACTGTTTAATAATTGTAAACAAAGCCGCCAAAGATTGAGAGTAGATGTACAGGTTCGTAAGTGCTTGCATAACTGCTTCGTGAATCCGGCCCTAGTCACCTGGCAGAAATCCCAGCTGGTGCTAACTTAGCCATTTTACTTATTTGTTGTTGGTCTGGGACACAGGATGTGTCCCAGAGCAAGAACAGAGAAGGACTTGCATGCCCTTCTGTGGCTGATGTTAGGCAAGTCCAAACTTTTCTGTTTGGAACTCTAGTGGTTGTTGAGCTACCTAAACATTGTCTCTGTGTTATATACTCTGGTTTGCCCTTGGTTTGGGTGTAATGAGCTTAAAGAGGCATAGGGGGGGGGGGGAAAGGGGTTCACTTTCCTCAACCCTGTAATGTTTTAGTGGTGTCACCTAGTGGTAGATGGAATAGATGAGTGTTGCATAAGTTCAGAATGGTTCTTGGTGGTTAAGAGTTGCCAAGGAACTCGTGGAGAGATTGTTTAATAGTATATGATTTTCCTTGGTGTCATAGCGGGTGATTTCTCAATGGTAGATTGAAGCATGTTCTCTGTGGAGCTTCTAACCCTCTAATAAAGCCACTTTGCAAAGTTACTTGTCTTTATAGTGTTTAGAGTCATATAGGGCATATTATACTAGCAGTGACATGATGGGTCAACTGCAAATGCTTAGGGAGGCTAAATAACTTGGCAAGAGATATTGGTTTCCACTCAAATCTTTATTTCTGTACAGTAATCAATTTCTTTGCCTTTAAATGAGTTAAATTTTTCTTTTAAGATCCTGAACAAAAATTCATGTGTTATGAACCTACACAGTGTCAGGATCAGGGAATTTATGTAAGACCTGAAGTGGCTTTATTTGAAAATGTTTAATATAAAGTGTAACTTCTTTTTAGGTCGTGGAAGAGAAAGTGCAAGCAGTTCTCCATTGCACAGTTCACCGCGGGCAACTGCTGTTTCACCATTAGTGTCAGGTGCTGGTGTGGGAGGAGATAGGGCAGCCGGTAGTCCTCCATCAGCTATTCGCAGTGCAAATGATTCTCTTAGTGACACAAGTGCTTTTGTCTCCAGTTTAACACAAGATATGTCTCACTCACCAAGCATTTCCTCTTTGCCTACTTCAACACCAAGCACTCCAAGAAGGGTAATTATCAGTATTTATTCATTTTAATTAGTATACAGTACGTATATGAGTTGAGAATTTGGAATATTCTTTTGGTTCATGCATAAGTATCTACTGAAAAGAAGTATCTACTGTAAAGAAGAGAGATATGTGTTTGGTTAGCCTTGTAATTTATACTTTTAAAATGCATAAACATCAAAGACAAAATAGCATATGTAAAGGATAAACGTTAAAGTGTACTAAGAAGAATGTCTGGAAAGGCAATGTGAATAGGGAGAATGTGATAGAGCATCAAGTATTGTTACAATAGTTGTGGGAATTTTCCATGTTAATGAAAATTCGTAAGTGGTGTTTGTATACTAATAGATGTTCAAGAGATTTAACATTGTTCTTCAACTTTGCAAGATTATTACAACTTCTGATATTTGTGAGTACAAAAAGAATATTATTATTGAATTTTCCCCATCAAATTGTAGATTTGTTTCCTTAGGTTTTCAGAATTACTAACCACTATTCTGTTATGTACAGGCAACCCTCACTTAACAAATACTTAAGATATGAATATTTGTTTTAATTATACTTTTAATTTATCAAATTGTTTATATAATGTAATGCAATAAATGTCTATGCTAATGTACAAAAAAAAGTTTATTATTTTGCTTGGGCACCCATATTTCTTATGGGGTATATCCACCCATGCAAACTAGTGCAGCGAGTCAGTTACATGTTATGTGAGGATAAATTTCCTTTGATTTGCATCACTATTTCTCACTGCATCCTAACCATAATGGATTCGAAGACACCAGCAAGTACACGGAAAAACTCACTCTCTCATTCACTTTGTCTCTTTTCATCTATCTAGTACTCACCTATTTGTGCTTGTGGAGGTTGAGGTCTTTGTCAGTACTCTGAAGAGTAGGTTTGAGTGTGGGCAATGATGTGCGGGTAAGGGTGTAGGCGTGTTTGTGTTGGTGTGTGGGAGTCGGCATGTGGGTGTAAGCATAAATGTGTGGGTATTGTGGGAATGAGTGTCAGCATATGGGTGTCTGTGTGAGTGGGAGATGAAAGTTGGCATGGTGGTGTCGGTGTTTGGGTGTGGGTCTTTATATGCGAGTACTGTATTGGCATGTAGGTGTGGTTATTGGTATGTGGGTGTAGGTGTTGGCCTGTGGGAGTTTGCCCACCTTCCCCCCCCCCCCCCCCTGTGTGTGTGTATGTGTGGGGGGGGGGGTTGAGCCCTTCTGTATTCATTCTACTTCCAAAATGTCATCACTGAACACTTTCTCTCAGGTTAAGTACTTTTAGAAGCAGTCACTCATAAATTACATTCATTTGTAGCTGCCATGGTGCATGGATGTTTATCATTTTTACCATTTTGTCCAACAAAAATCAGAACAAATGCTCTCTGCTTTATCACACATTTTGTTCAAACCTCTTATGTAACAACTTCATCTGTAATTTTATTCAGACCTTTAACAAAAATTATTATATTATACAGTATATCTCAACTTGATTATAAGAGAAAATAGTTGTACTGTATAAAAAAATACAGAATTTTAGTTACTTAATTATAATGTGTTAATAACTAAATTATTTATTAATTACTTTCATTATTTTTTACAGGAACCATTAAGCACTAGTCCAAAAACAGTAACTCAAACAGCAACACAAACCAGTCCAGAAGGAATTAAGTTTAACATTGGTTCAACTGGGTCTAGAGATGAAAACCTCCGCCTGTCACCAAAAATGACACGTAAGGATCGGTCTGGAAAGCCACATAGAGGAAAACGTGATCATGCCGTCTCTCCCGCTTCATCTCAACGAGAAAAACCCGGTCCTAATCGTGATAAAGTGAAAGAAGCCATGAGTCCATCTGTGGCAGAATGTTTACGAGCAATTTTTGCTGCATTCCTTTGGCATGAAGGAATTGTGCATGATGCCATGGCTTGTGCCTCTTACATGAAATTCCATCCAGATTTGTCAAAACAAGGAACCTTTCACTGGAAACCTCGTGCCGCAACAGCTGCAAAATCAGAAAAACTAACAAAGGAGCAAAAAGCTCGACAAAGACATTCAGTTGAAGTAAGCACTTACAGCTATTTAAATAATGTGACCCTCCAGAATACTGACGATCTTCTTAAGCCTGGAACAAATGCAAATATCAACGAAGTGCCACGTATTAGTGACAACAGTGAAGATGAGGCAGCTAGTAGAACTGGAGTTTGTTATGTTCAGGGACCTCAGGGACAGAAATTAGCAACAGTAATGGAAGGAGGTACTGGTCCAGAACCTCCAGATTTGCCTCCAGTTCTTCGTCACGTAGTTCTATTGTGGGAAGAACTCACATCTAGTTGCCTAAAAGCTGTTGCTCAGCAGATAATACTTCCATCACCTACAATTCCTGCCCGTTTAAAAAAATCAGATAAGATTAAAGATAAAAGTGATAGGGAAAAGAAAAAGCATAAAAAGAAATCATCTTCAAGTGGTATCCCAATGTTTGGTATTGACCCAGGTATTGGGGAAGATGAAGACGGTGTGTGTGAACTCTGTGGTAGCAATGTTTCTCTGGAAAATATTGAACAGCACTTCCGGACTTTACATCCAGGTTGTGGTGGGTCATCCAAAGGTTGTGGGTATGTTGGAACACGTTGGAAAGTCTTCCCAACCAAAGATCGTGTTTCTCAGCCGTGTGGGGAGGTGGTACGAGGATGTTTCCACATGTGTTGGAGTTGCCGTAATAGACACAAAGGCCAATATAGTCAATTTTCAGGTAGCAAAATTAGTAATGGTCGAACAAAAAGAAAATCAAATAGTAAATTACTTTCTCCTCTTCCCCAGCTGGATGCCCATGTGATTATGAGAAATAATGCAATGTTTTTATTAGATTTAGCAAGTGCAGCAGCATCGGCAATTCCATGTCACAGCCATGCTGTAAGGAGATCACCATGTACAATGCCATCTGTATCACTGAGCCCTGACAACAGTCCTTTTCCTAAGGTAAGCTTACTAATGTAATAAAAAACTAGGACCTCTTATAATTACCCAGTGGTTTCTTATTATTAGATCAGTCTTTATCATTCATAATCAGTTGAAACAACTTATTTAAGTTAACGATTGCTTCTAATTAAATAGCTTTGCCGTGAATATTGGGATTGGGACATAAAATAAGTATTGATAAATTTATTTATAGTCAGTTGCAAAGTACCTCCTCAATATAGGTATATAATTAATTTAACTTGGTCTTCTGTATTTGTAAGAATGAAATCTTCCCTAATTAATTTTTTCCTGTTTCTGTTTCTGTTTCTGTAGTCATTTGAGTGTTAGATGTACTCTGCTAACTTGCTGAGAATTGTTTTCTTTTTTCTTTTTTTTTCTTAGGTAGCATTTCAGTGTTTGCATACTCTCAACTGTCAGCAGCAACACCTCAACCAGCTGCGAGAGGACCTGTTGCTGCATCATACCTTCCACTCGGCAGATAACAATGACTATCGCAGCAGCTCTGCTGAATCGCGCGATAACAATCATAGAGAGCACTCGCCCTTCTCACCCCCAGGTACAACTGGTAACTCTTTTCTAATGAGAGCTATTTGATTCAGCCTCATGTCATTATTTTAATACCACACAAACTTAAGTAAAGAGACTACTTGTTCAAATCTTCACACCTGAAAAGTTGACTAAATTGTAAAAGAACATTCTCTATACCATATTTGCTGGCCCATTGGATGCAGTTTTTCCTTATAATTTACATTATAGTAATACCCTGCTTCTAGTGGACTAAAGTTTCAACTTCTCACTGCCACTGACTGAGCATGCAATTGTAGCAGTAGTCAGATTGGTGGCCTGTTTGATAACTTTTGGATGATAATAACACTTATTACAAACCAAAAATGAAAATCAATAAACTCTGCCTTTTGTTATTCAAATAAGAAGGGTGTTTTTATTGATCTAACAATGTTTACAACAAAGTGATAACCGGTCAGTTCTGGCTGTCATGAGCTGCCTAGTTTGCCGTCTCTTCTTCTTTACGATACAGTACTCGAAGTGTGTGTGAAGGTTTTCTCCTGATGACTGTATGATTAGTGTTGTGGTGGGACATGTCATGGTGGTTTTGGTGGTGACAGTGGGTCAGACGAGAGCTGAGGCTGCTTCTGAATTGGGTGTGTATCGTGCTACCCATTTCCTCTCGCCCTTCTCTAACCCCCAAGCCATCAGAGTCATAGGTCAAAGCAGAGGTCCACATCCTATCCCCCAACCACAAGGGTCCCTCAGGTCTAGCCAAGTACATGTACCAAAGTGTTTAAAATAGTTTAATTTAAAAATAAAATAAAATTAAAAATAGTTAAATGATGCAACATGATTCAATGTTGAAAATTAAACAAATATATTAACAGCAATACATGTACTGTAGTAACAAAGAGTCTATACATACAAGTTAAATGTGCACTTTGGATAACATGACCCTTAGTAATAATTATAAAACTTATTATAAAGTACTGTTATATTCTTAGAGGAAAATATGATATGATATTAAACAAACTTTAACAAGATTAAAATAAGAGAAATTGGCAACTACCACTAGATGGTACAGTATTGACCCAGTCTCTGATCCACAAGCTACTGAGGGCTTCCATAAAAAGGCTAATATGGACTGTAATATGGACTTCCATATTACATTCAATGCTTGATTTTTCTAGTAGTTTCCCGAGCTTAGCTCTGGCACCACTAAGCCTTGGCTAAACACACCAAACCTTTGAGCCTAATCCTTGCCTGCCAAAAGCTAGGACCAGAATCTGGCTCTCACTGCAAGGAGAGAGGAGCCTGGGGATCAGCACTCAACCCAGAATTTGGGAAAAGATTCTCACTTCCATCTGGTGCCATAAGCTCATCACCTGATTTTTGGTTGTGCTGCCTCTTTGGGCATCTGGCTACCAGGCTGCAGCCACTTTGCAGGACTGGGCTTAATGATGTAGGCTTTTGTAGCCCTTGTCTATTGTGAGTTGCACAGATACCATTTCCCCTGTTTTCAATAAGTTTACAAGTGTTTTGTAGTTAACACTTGGTCTAGATATGAGCCAGTATCCTCTGCCACTTCCTCCTATTCCGATAGTTTCAGTTCACTCACTATTATTCCCTGCCCCTTGAGCTCACCTCTGCTCCCCACTGGTGCATTTCTGGCCTGCATTATTGTTTTGCTTTATGGTTTTCCATAAGTGGGGACAGGAAGCCTGTTAGGCTTATCGAGGTCCCTTTTAGGCCATTTACTACTGACTTTTTCCAGGATGCAACCCACAACAGTTGCTTAACTCCCAGTGTCTATTTATGATAGGTGAACATTGGTATCAATTGAAAGATAACATACCTAACCATCGTTGTCTTGCATGAGTATTGAACCTGGGGTTCTCGGTTGTGAGGCAAGCTACAAGACTGATTGGTCTGGATTTATCTCCACTTCCCTTTTCATTTCCCCATCCCTGAGCAGGTCTCCATTGTCTCATGTTCCTTCAGTGGTGTGGCTCAAAGGGGGAATTTAAAGTGGTACTTGCTAGAACCTGGATCTGTTTGTTGGATCCGTTCTCCTTTGTAAACAGGTTCACTTTCAGGCTGTGATACACTACGAGGTCTTGGCTTTATTCTGGTTGGCAAATTACCCTTTAATTTTTTTTTGTGGCACGGGGCAGCTATCCTGTCATCTGCTTACTTTTGTTTTAAGGCATCTGCTCAGATTTTTCATATCTTTCTCTGATGATACTGTGTTCCCAGCAATCAGTAATGCTGTGTAATTTCCTTCCTGCCTCATCTGGTACCCCAGTCACCTTCAGTATTGGTGGTAGTTGACTACATGGTTTGAAACCACTTAGCAGAGGTTTACCATTTTGGTGCATTGTTTCCGGTCTTCTACAAACAGATTTTTATGGTTCTCGGTGGTCTCCATTCTAAGTTTCCCTCATTCTCTGCCTTGTATGTTCTCGGGGCCATGGAATTGGTTCTTGAGTTGTTTGCTCCACCTACTGCAGAAAACAGTTACGGACTTCCATGCAGCTTGTCATGCCTTCTAGTTTTCCATCTTCATTTCTCTTCAGGAGTCATCTTAGTTTCTCTCCTCTCCTAGTCCCAGAGGAAGAGGTTTTTGCAGATTTAGGGAGCTTTAGTTCCTGGTTAGCAAGAATGGATCTCAGAGGCCTGGTATTTTTAGCTAAAGCATGGTGGTACTAGAGCTAGCTCAGGGAGCTACTGGGGCCCACTAGAAAAGGGTGTTTAACTTTCATTACATTCAGCACTTTCTTTTCTTTTTGTTCTCTTATTTTTTCTGGACTGTTGCCTCCCCACCTCATGAAAGTGGGAAACAAGGCAGTGATGAAGATGATGAATATAAGAAATGCAATATGACTTACTTTTTAAGGGGCTTCCCACCAAGAATCTCCTGCATCTGATACAGAGATGCCTCGGGGCCGTCCATTCCATCGATCCATATCAGTCACGGTGGGAACCTCAGGACAAGACTGGAGCTCTGCAGCAGCATCTGCTTCAGCCTCTCAGCTTGAACATGATCATAAAGCTACTGTTGTTCTTAGAAAACGCAACAACAGCAGTGGTGAAAATGCAGGTAACACACTACTGTACTTTATAAAACAACTAGTCAAGTATGAAAATGGTTCGATATTTAGTCAAAACATTAGCTGGAAATTTGTTCCACTCTAAGTATAGCCTGTGGCATCATTATTAAAAAGTACTCCTAGAGTTAAATTATATATTTAAGTTGCTGTGCATAAATCATTCATATTAATGTGTATCTAGTAAATATAATGAGGGTATTTAATTTTGGGACCATGTTGCCACAAATTACAATATAGTGAAAAGTAAAAGGTTCACATGTTTGTTTAGAATTCAGAACTGTGGTCAAACGTTTTGTATTGTTTTGAACAAAGTGGAACGTTAAGTGTTAAAAGAAGGTATTGCAAATGATTAATAAATTTAGGAAAGAAACAAGATATACTCTGTTCACATTAGAGTAATAATTTTTAGATATTGTGTAAAGGATTATAATGGACAGATGAGAGAATATTGGAATACTTAAGGATAGTATTCTCTTGAGTGTTACAACATATCTTGTGAGAGTTTGTTTTACAAATGAGGTTGTTTTTAATTGTTTCTACTGAAGGCTTCTCACACAACTGTCCTGTTGATCACATGCTTTACAAAAATCAAATCATTTAGTCGGTCAATGAGAGTTGTTTCCTTCAATTTTGAAAACTCACTTTTTCTTAACTGCAGAGAAGCATTAGTTGAAGATTTTCCTGTTATCATAAATGGCTGAGCTTAGATGTCTTACATTTTATTACAATATATGATATAACAAGAGTTTTATTCTGCAAGAAATTAAATGTGACATGTATTTCATTTACCCTTTTTGTTTGAAAAGCTATCATGTATAATACTCAAATGACCTGAAAGACATAACAAGTAATATAACCTTCATTTCAAGGAATACAAAATAACTCAGTTAATTGTCATCATCAGTGGAGATTACATGAAGGCAGCAAGAATTTTGAACTGCTACTGTAGTTAAAAAGTAATAAAGCACAGTTTTGTAAGACATATTATTTCACAAAAGAATACAGTAGTAGTTTGTTTTAAGGCGGAGATGCACTCTATACATGACACCTTTACCTTCTATTGGTTTGAGAGTTTAGACATGTCTCATGAGAGGCTGCTATTAGCCTTGGCAGTAGTATTTAGTACTGATAAGTGCTTCAATCAATCCAGTAATTTTGTGCCAAGCAGTAGTTGATAATTAGAAACAAAGTATCAGTTGGAAGACAATTATGTATTGTACTCCATTATTCTCTGTCATGACCCATCCTCTCCTCCAGGAAACACTACCTTCCATGGATTGACGAGTCTTTGCTCTGTTTATCCAATGTCGGTTGAGTGTGGCTTGCAATGCTTAACTTTTGAACAAAGAATAATAAACAAAGATGTTCCATTCTGTAACGAAGTGACTTAGTTCTGTTCTTTCTGGTTTGACTGTTGGGAGAATCAAGTTGAGATAGAAAGGCTAACCTAAATGCTAACAGAACATAGTGTTACATCTCTAATTACCTTGTTACATCTCCAGAGAAATGTATTTACAATATAATAAAATAAAAAATCTTTCTTCTCTCATTGTATTAGCATTCACAATTTTCTTTTGCAGTTGATAGTGGTGGTAGTTCCCTGCTAGTGCACCCGTCAGCAGCGCTGGAACGCTTAGCTACTTGCATTGAACGAGGAGGTGGGCCAACTGGGGACCCAGGTGGACGAGCACGTCAGGTCATTATCAGACCCATCATGGCATTCATATTCCAGAATCATGACCTGGAAACCCTTGCATTTGCAATGCGTCACGCAACTCGTAAAGCAGCTGCAAGAGTATATGCAATGCAGGTACTGTAGAAAAGCATCTCCTGTTGTCTCTACTGCATTGTACGCCATGTTTGATCTTTTAAAATAGTGGAATTGATTCTCATCTTCTAATTTGTTTGTATTTTAAATGTCATGGTGACATCAGCCCTGTTTTGTCTTTTGCAGAGGTGTTAGTACTGAGGGCCCCAGGTTTTTCTGGTATAAGAGTTTACTTTCTGTGATCATTTTTGTATCTGCACTGAACTTGTTTCTTTTCCCTGAAATGTGTAGGGAAGGTTTCCATGTACCTTCGCCAAAACACAGCAGTTTTGGCAAGGGTACACAAGGGATTTGTAATACTTCATTACTACCTTGTAGAGTTGTGAAAACTATATGAACGCAATTGGTATACATATCATGTAATTATAATGGAATATTATGCCATGACGCCTATCACATTGGCATAAAACCTCTGCAGTAATAACTACATTGCATGGTAAACGATCATGAAATGATAGCAGGATATATTCATGTTTCAAGGTAAACTCCATCCGTATAAAGCTATTTATTATATCCATATTAGTATCATTCATGTAAAACCCAGACAATAACTGTTTAAATCAACATATGATGTTCGAACCCTCATCACGGCTCCTACAGATGCAGTCATGTTAGTGTGATTACTATCTGTGTAATAAATAATAATAACAATAACAATAATAATAATAATAATAATTCTTGCTATATATGACTCTTTAGGCACTAAACTGGTTACTGCGAAGTGTAACTCAACCAACGTGTCTACACGACTTGTTGTGGTGCTTTGTTGCTGCTCTGACCCCTTCCGTCCCTGCCATGCCACCCCCTTCTGATGACCATAATCCACAAGATCATCCCCATCTTAGAGACAAGTCTCATGATCTGGTGAGAACAATTTTGCTCTCTACATAATTTGTGCATTAATGATGTATTTTTATTTATTTTCAAGACTAAGTTGTTGGTCTATTTGATAATTGTAAGTTGTAATACAGCTTGGGAATGTTAGATTATTAGTTATTCATATTTATGTACAAGGTGGTAGACAATGATATTCTAGAGGAGTTTTTTCATTTATGAACTAGTGGGAGATGAGAAGATATGTTACATGGAAATAATCTGCCATTGGTAATTTGCCTGTGACTCATTTCATGGCAGATCCTGATTTGTTTATTAGACATTTCTTTCCATACTGTCACATAGCTTTCTCTTTTTTCTGTCATCCTAGTTCTCATAATTATTTGCAGTGCACTCTTGATACATGGATCTGTGCTATCATATACTATCAGTATTCATTATTCTGCTATATGTCATTATTCAGTTTTATTCTGTCAAATGTCATAAGAGTGTCAGATCTAAGCAAGCCATCAATAGAATTACAAAATACTCATCCCTGATTTGACTGGTAGTGGAGACCCAAAAATTTTATTTGTGTAATGCAGTATGTCTCTACCTTTGCATTAATTAATTAAAAAATATCCCAGCACTTAGCCTTTAAACCAAAACCCTTATCAAACTTGCAGTATCTGTCTCCACCTTTTATTCAGTTGATAATAATATAATATTTATGACAGGATGGTGATATGGTGGTGCTGGAACATCCTTTAAGCGACGTAACTCTTGCGGGTGATGCAGTCCACCCGTTGCCTCGAACATTTCACCAGTTGCTGCAAACAGTTGCTGATCTTATGATGCTCCTTCCTCCTGGTTCACCACTACAAATGATGGCTGTCAGGTATTTTGACCTTATAATGTCATTAGATAAATCTTTTTAAGCATATTTTTATATGTGGATGTGAATCACCTAAGAAAATCTAAGACAGCTTCCATAGGAAGTTACCTTATTACTTCCTGGTGGTAGAGTTCTCAGTAGCTTCCTGATGATATAACCTGGAAGCACCCAAACCTTGGGGAACACCTGAGGACTCTTATATCTGACAGAAGCCTACAGGAGACCAGAACTAGAATCTGGCCCTCCCTCAGAGAGGTGAAAGAGTGTCAAGAAAATCCCACCAGAAAGCAAACAAGTGATCTAAAACAAGCAACTTCCTGGAAACATTTGTAACCATGACGATATTACTGTAATGCAAACTATCATTACTGCAGTGAGTCATACCTAGATAAACTTGTTCACCACCACTTGTTCAGCAGCCTTAGTGATCCAGTGTCAGGGGGTAATTGTCAACTTGGCCTTGGCTCTTCTGAAGCAACTAATTGACTACTCAGGAAGGGGTTTTGCATCTACACTCAAAGCCTTACTATTTTTTGTATCAAGCTGTAAGCTGTTCCTTGTTAATTCAGTTGTTTTGCAGTCTGAAATACTAATATATACAGCAATTTAAGTTTTTTATTTTTATCCTTCAGATGCTGGGGGCTTCGATTTACTCCAACAGATCATGATTTTCTCCACCAAAGTCATGTCTTTTCCAACATTTCCAAGATCCTTTCACGATCTGAAGAGGTGTTAGGAGCTGGAGAGGAAGGTGTCACCTCTATGTATGAGAGTCATGGACCGGTGAGTTGAAACGTGTTGTCTATGCCTATCTCGCTCCGTATCTTTTAGCCAGTATTGTACATGTTCTAAATTAAACAAAATATTTGTATTTATTTCTTGGGCATATTTCTCTTTTCAGTTACTGAGTTGATCAGGTTTTGAAACATGATAAAGAATTGTTAATCACAATACTGTATAACAATAGCAGTATATCATATGTTACACATAATATTATGTAAGGTGCACATTACATACAGTATTTTAGTATTTTTATTTAGTTGTTCTTATAATTATATACCATACAGCAGTTTTATGTAAAGTAAAAAAATATTTCAAAATGTTATCTTTATCCCTTTCTGATTACTTGTTTTCTGCTGTAACTACCTCCAAGACTCTTTCTGTAAGTGTATACTTTTCTTTCTTTAGATCTAATAAGGTAATCTTCACAAAATATTGTGACTTGAGAATGGTCCAGGACGGACGGAAACGTGGTCGTCCCTTCACCTTCTAGTGTGTGGTCTGGTCAACATTCACAAAATATTCATATTTCCTAAATAAAATGCTAACATAATTATCAATAAAATATTGTTAAAGTTTTTGGCACAGTAATTTAAATATAATTACAGTTTGTCTTATGCTGGGTATTGTCAGAAATATATTTAACTCATGTGATATCTTGTCTTTTGCATTTTACAAGAGAATTAAAATGCATATTATGATTTTTGGACAAAGAGCATTATATACCTGGTTCATCTTTATACAGAATTGTACCCTTGTGAAGAATATGTCCATACATCTCAGGGAGACATACATCTCTACCCTTTCATAATTTAACACTGCAGTTCCTGGTGGTTATCATAATTGGTTATCATAATTCCCAAGATCCCATCTCATCGTGGAGGATAGTGTTCATTTTTGTTCAAGCTTTAGCCATTTTCCATAACCTATCCTCATTGGCAATGTCAGAAAACTATCATAAATATTTAGCCAGGCGATGGAATTATTCCTCTCTTTCCTATTTGGCATTCGGCTGTAATGGCATAACTAAGAATGAGGTAATTTTTTTAATGCCTATCATCTCTGCAATGCCTACCTCATCTCCAAAGCCTACCTCCTAAAAAATGCCTATCTCATCTGCAATTCCTACCTCATCTGCAATGCCTGCTTCATTTGCAGTGCCTGCCTCATCTACAATGCCTATCTCATCTGCAAAGCCTACTACATAAAAAATGCCTATCACTTTTACAATAAAAGATGTCAATTTTACCAATTTGTGTAGTCGTATGTGTATTTGTATTCTGTATACAATATTTATATAAATACCAGTATATATTTTTATTTATTAGGTAACAAGTATGGTGGAAAGCCTGCATGACTTAATGAGTGAGTGTGAGATCCGTGCCTCAAGCAGGCAAGCAATGGTTCCATCTCTGACCGATTCATCCACCGAAACCTTCTGGGAATCGGGCGACGAAGACCGTAACAAGACAAAGGCCCTAACTATTACATGTCCTATATCTGTTCGGCCACAAACCATTTATGTTCATATTGATAATTGCAGAGACCTTGGGGTAAGTTTTTCAGGCAATTTTGATTAACTTACCTTTGTACCTCACAACACAACTTAATCATAAGGATGAATTCAGACTGTACAGTGAGCTCCATCATATCCAACAGAGTCAGAACACCTTATTGCTTACTAATATGGTACAGTATATCATTAATTCGGAGCATATTTTCTCTCCCACCTATTGTAAGAAAATGCTTTAGAAATTGTACACATCCACATCAGTTTTGTAGCATTAGGCATTAGATGTGACCTGGGAATTGCTTTATTAATGTGGAAACTTCTAGATATTCTAGTGAAAGGTTCTGGTGCAAATACATTTTGTATGTCTAAATCATGGATTGTCACAACAAATTTAACATTTAAAGCATCCCCCTTATAATTAGATGTTACACAGATAGGAGAGATGCTGGCAGAATCCTTGTTTATAGAATGCACTGGTGGATTTCCTGTCCTCTATTGTTGTTCAAAAAAAGTCCTTTGTTGTATCTTAAGGTCCTAGATGTGATCTTGACATCTGTTTCTGTGCTAATTCAGAAATTAACCATGCTACGTTCCTCATCCTTTTGATTACAAATGAATGCAGCCACTTACATGATATTATGACATGACTGAGTCATGTGACGTGACTCAGTAGTGCAGTTATACTGGGCAGATGGAATGTGGCACACACTTCTCATTAAATAAAAAAAATGCAACATAGGCTTTTGCAGTGTGAAAATTGCACAGGGGTGAAGGAATACTCAAGCAAAAAATTATGACCATTTACTTTAATATCAAAATGAACAAATTACATAGGAAAAATACACAAAACCCCTGATTGACAAACTGACTAGGAGACACTAATAACCTAAATGTATTTACAGAATGAGAGCTGTACTCGTGTTGTCCCATCTTCCCAGTACTCTTTGTCATATGACACTTTAAAACTACTCGCAGTCTTGGCCTCCACCATTTTCTCACTTGTTTGAATCGTCTTCCACATTGTTTGAGAAAGTAAATTTCCTTGTGTTTCTCTGGCAGCTGTGTTAGCTTAAATCTATGACTATTAGTCTGCAGCCATCAAACGCTGGCTAAATATCTGCTATTAAAGTGTGTGCTTGTGATAAAACAAAGGCATCACCAGACTAGTGACTTTATTGATCATATAATTGCAGTGTAGTAGCCTGCAATAAGACAATCCATACAGTTTCAAGCCAGTATAACAAGTAGTTTAACAAGAAGCAATTATTGCTTATAACACTAAGCAATATGTTTAACAATAGGTAGTTTAACAACGAAAATAACAAGTCATTAACAATAAGCAATGAAATTAAACAAAGAAAGAAAGAAATTTTACTAGAAATTACATTTTACCAACCTAAATGCAAGCTCGACCTGGCTGATCTGACGGTCAGAACACCAGTAGGTGAGCAAGCGTCCAGCCGGTATGACATTAGCTCCACCACTTGGTACAGGGGCTACGAATGTATGACATTTTACCACATTCACCACCATTTAGCATTTATGTACTATAGTCCCGAAGATGTGTAGGGGTTCAGCACGTCCTTCCAGATCATCGCAAGGACTCCAGCACAGTTGGAGGATCAAGTGTTCCGGGTGGTTCCTGCATACTGCATTCTCGAGGGAGCGGTACTTCAGAGATTGGTTCTCTATTTGATGTTAAAAAGCTAGAAACTTCGTAAAGAAGCAGTTCAGGAGAAGTTGAACCTAGATGAAACGGGTCGGGGATCTACCCCAGCTTCCACAATTGGGGGTGGTTGGTGTTGAACGGGGAGAGCGGGATCCGGCCTCTAGCTCCGCCCCCTGATACAGGGGCTACGAATGTATGACATTTTACCACAATGCTCATCATGGAGTTTCTCCGCATTTTCTGGTTTTTGGTCCTCCACCTTTCATGTTTGTCTATGCCTCTCATGATGGAGTTCCTAATGTGATTGTTTTCTGGACATCAATTTTTGTCCAACAACATTGTTGTCTCTTCTAGGCTTTAGCCACAATTTTTCCTCTTCTCCATTTATTTTGTTGGATCAAGCATTTTCCACAGTCATCTCTCCCATGTTCCATTAGACCCCTCCTGGTCTCTTGATATGGTCATGGATTTCTTATGTTCTCATTAATGTCTCCATTATTCATGGACCTGACTTGTAAGGTATTAAAATAACATCTCAGTGTCAACACACTTTTGCTGATCATTTTATTTATTTATTTTATTTGTTATTTATTTATATATACTTACATTCTTGTATAGCTACTAGCACGTGTTGTGTTTCGAACAAGTCCTTAATCCTACCTTCCCCGGGATACGACCCGCCAAATTGTTTAACAACCAGATACCCATTTTACTGTTGGGTTAAACAGAGGCAACAGTTAAGGATTTGTGCCCAGTAACTCCTTCCCGGCCAGGATGCAAACCCAGGACAAAGAGCTCGCGAAACGCCAGGCGAGCATCTTACCACTACACCACGGGGACTGCAAGGCATATCATTATAAGGTGTCATATGTTTATACACTTGTAAGGTGTTAAAATAATACACCTTTAGTGATCATTGGTATGCAATCTTTTTATATCTTCAGATTATTTTGTTTGTAAATTTTGTTTGAATGTAAAAGTAGCAATTTTATTAATATAATACAGTATATGGATTTTGTTGTGAAAATTACATATGTATTTGTTGAAAGTCCCATCTTCATTTTTATACTGAATAAACATTTTCTGGACCTTTTCAGAACAAAGTATCCAGTGTGGTATTTAAGTGTGGTGGAGCCATTGATGATATGATTGTAGCAAGAAAAGTAGATGTGGAAAGCAGATTTACTGGCTGGCTTCATGCTGTTCTACCCTGTGAGAATCCATCATAATTTATTACCTACACATGCAGACACCAGCCAACATTCAAAATACAATTTACATACAGTAAAATTACATTAACCACTGCACTGCGCAAAGCGCCTTTAGGCGCTCTGAGAGTTGTGGTATTTTTTTTTAATTTGGCTATATTTTAATGTTTTCATTACAATTTGTGTTTTGAAATGGAAGTAACTTTACCTGAACATTTATGAAAACAACAAAAATATGCCCTTGACAATTACACTAAAATGTTTTTGCCGAAACCAGGTGCGCAGTGCAGTGGTTAAGTGTGCATGAGTGGCATTAATCTTGCCTCAGAAGGGTTTAAGTATTCACTTAAAATGTCTCGGTGACCAACCCTAAACTTAAGTTATTTTCCACAGTATATATGTATGAGGCTTTAAAACGTAGACACTTCAGTGTTGGTTAGTTCTGTCATGATTTTATTTTTGTTTCGTATCTTTGATTTCTAATTTAGGTCTGTGTTGCAGACCTAAATTGCAAATCAAAGTCTGTGTCTGGATGTTGAATCACTTCAAAATAATTTAGTGTTACAAAATACTTAAATACAGGTTTATTACAGCTACAAAATTGTCATTTGTATGATACTTATTTTGTTGATTTAATCACTTGTACTGTGTTAGAAGTTCATGTGTTTTGTAAAAAAAAATAACATTTTATCGAGACATAGAACTATTAATATACTGTATATACAAATAATAATTTGAATCTAGAGATAATTGCTTTTTTTGTTACAGGTGATATAATCACTACCATGGTCATTGAAATAAGAGGACCTGACCAAAGTGTGCGTGTGCGACAAGTGAGGGTGCTTGGTAGTGGTGACAGTGAAGGGGGAGCATGTTCACGACCCGTGCGGCAGCATTCTCCTCTTACTATCCAACATCGTGCCTGTGAGCAAGAGACTCTTAAAGTGTTCAGACTCATTACTGGACAGGTAGGTATTTCTAGATATAATTTGGGTTCTCGTGAAGCTTCTGGGAGGAAATTAGTATATAATGGTTAGACGTCTCTCTTGATATCTTTAACCTTCTGTTTATAATACTTTTATATAGTCGTGGTGCCACAAAAGTTGGAGATAGAGTAAACAACAACAACAATAATGATGAGTATGATAAATCAATTATTCAAATGCTTTTGATATTTTGTAAAACATATACAGTATGTCTTACTCTGGTTATAAGGCAGTAAAATGTTATTCCTTTCAACTTGGTTATTTCTTTCTAGGTATTTGGCCGCCTTATAATAACTGCAGAAAGTGGGAACAGAGGCGGAGGAGAAGCAGGTGACATCTGTGCAGGAAACATAGAAGTTGGAGAGGAGCAAGAACGTAACAATGATCTTAGAGAACATATGGTTGGCATCCTGTTTTCAAGATCTAAACTTACACATCTTCAGAAGCAGGTAGGAGTAAATTTCTTTTCTTATATATATTACTATAAACTTCCATCAGATAGGTATCTTATATTATGCTTTTACTATTACTGTAAAGGCTTTGTTTAAAAGTTATATTTGCCTAACAATGCCTTATGCCTCAATGACTTTGGAATATTCAAGGAAGGTATCATTTTGATAAGTTTCAGTCATCCACCAAGCTTGCAACTTCCAATTTTCTGTACTCCCTGCTTTGAGCCTTTGACATAGACATGTCAAAACCTTGATTTGGTGGCAGGTGCTGTCAACATCATGCTATTATCTATTTCATTGTTACATTGTTCTCTCTGGGAACTTGTCACTGTGGACAAGGTGGCTACATGTTATATCCTTTCTAAACACTTCAAAAGTCTACAATATACTAAGTCAACAAAATAAGTATGAAAATTGCCATAGTGGAAGACAGCATAATACTACAATCAGCAGTGATAATTGGCAAAACAATGAACAATGAAAAACCACATGACGCCCAGCCAGTCCTCTAGAGTTGTCACACCACAGAAATTAAGTTCTAAATTGCCCAAACTTAACCAATGGCCCAACACATAGAAAACATGAATTTTTGTGAGCTGCTATGATTTATAATACATCAGGTTTTGTCCATTAAGGATTTTGACATCAAAATCTAATGTATTATTGAGAAGGACAGATCAAGATGCTGGCATACACACAGCAAGACAACAGAATAAGTGCACAAGGCACTTACTGAACACTGAAAGTAAACAGTAGGCTGTAATGATGCTTTCAAACAAGAACATAATAATAGTAGTATGCAGTATAATAATATTTAGAAATAACCAAATTTTCTTAATGTTTCCTTTATTTTAAGACCCCCTCCACCCCCTTCAGTAACTCTTCAATCTCACAGTTAATTGGCTTTTACACTTCACATCATTCCATGACATTTTCCATGTGCCTTTCAACTTGTCAGTGATTCATCTGTAGATTTACGACTATCAATATTGTAGATAAAATATTGGTATTTAGTAATTGGTCAGTTAAATATTATTGTCACATAAGTGGTCTATGTATATATTTCTAGGTTTGTGCGCACATAGTACAGGCTATACGCAAGGAAACAGTAAGGGCCCGTGAAGAATGGGAGGCTGGACTGAGCTGTGGAGGTTTAGGTACTCCAGCTACTCCTGAAGAAGGTCAAAATAATCCTCCCGACACTTACTGCTTTGAGATGCTGTCCATGGTCTTGGCTCTGAGTGGATCAGCAGTAGGACGTGCACATCTAGCTCAACAGGATCGTTTACTAAGGCACTTGCTATCACTGTTACACACTGGCTCTGCTCGTGTCCAAAGACAGGTAAGATTGCTTGTAATTTTCATGTGATACCATCTGTATGTGTAACTCCATTCTATTGTGCACTAAATTTGTACAGTTTTATTTGGTTAGTACTCTTGCGATGAATTCCCTCATGATCCCCTTTCATATATGCAGTGAGCAACCATGGAAATAATACACACCCCTTTCATACTCTTCTATTAATGTAAAACATTAGCATATTAGGTCATTAACATGTACACATATTCTGCATTTCAATGCTCTTCACAGCATTTATTAAGAAAAATCTTATAATATTTGCCACGTGTCATCTCCATTAAATATCTCATTATATATGTATTATCCATGCAACCAATTCAACTACTGTACAGATATCACCACGGTAGACAATACTCGATTAATAGAAAATGTGTAGGAAGTAGACATGAAGTTTTCAAGAGAGTTGTGTCAAGGGAGAACAATTAAAAATAAGGGAGTTTACAGTGGCATGTGTATGTATATACACTGCCCTATATATCTGTATGGGTTGATAATGGGTGATTATTTGATTGGTTGGATTTTGTTGCCGAGCACTGATTTAAGTGCGTGCGTGCGTGTGTGTGTGTGTGTGTGTATTTCAAGCTATAGAGCACTAAAAAGTTTCATTGAATTGTAGTCATTTTCTACTTTTATGAACTTTCAGCTACATGGGTTTAAATTGTATAAACTTTGAGTTATAGATAACTTAAATATGTATTCCCCATGTACACCATTTAAGAACTGTAAAAGACTTGGTTACATTACAACTAACCATTTCTTGCTTTCCCCCTTCTCCCCCCTATCCCCCCCCCCTTCCCCCTCCCCAAATATTGTACAGTCAAGTCTTGTGGGAGCTTGTTAGCCTACATCTCAACTGTTGTTGTTTTTCAACCCTGTATATCTCGTTTCTTCCACACTTGTAAACATCGACTCTCTCGCTTATTATCATTTGTCCAATTTCCTAACTTTATTAGTCGTGCCAGTCAGAAACAGTTGGTTATAATTATCAACACGTGTGTGTAAACAACACTGCTGGCACTCGCCAGCTTATAGTTAAAGTAAAAAATGCTCTGTACTGTACTTTAAAATTCATGTAATTATGTGACTTTTATGTTAGTTATTGCTACATTAGATACACATTGACACTGTTGTTCCAGTGTTCATGTGCCCTCCAAAATCAATGACAGATCATGACCTCAGTAGGAAAAAAAGATAAAAAAACACTTTTATGCTTATAATGTAGTTTGGAGCTTGAAATGTAATGACATTGATTTTTTTGCCTTTACTGAATTATGGTTATTCTTTTTATATAGTTTTGTTTATGTAAATACCTTTTCTGTCTGTTGTTAACCAAAGCAAAGTCAATTTTATTTTAATAATTAACAATTGATGTAATTTTACAACAGGTTGTAGCCTTGTTCCGGCGCATGTTAGCCGATGTTCCTCCACAATCTCTTGCTCTCATCTTGGGTGTCGAAGTTCTTCCTGCTCAAGATTATGCTATTCTTCATGCTGCTACCCAGGATGAGGATAACACCTTTGATATTCATATGTAAGTACAGATGCTAGAAGTATTTAGAGCATTTCCTGCTGTATTATATATAATAGACCATCGGTGTTTTTTCAGCACCAAAGTAAGGAGCAGTGAAAGGGTGCCCCCCTTGGCTACCAGACTTTCCCTCACTCCTTTGTGCAGGTACAGGGATCAGTTGGCCTGTTCAAGGTCCTCGAGGCAGTTTTTTTTCCTTCTACTATTGCGCACCATGAACCAAAATATAGCAAGTGGTGAAATTATACCTGATGTAATGACATTTCAAATTACTTTCTTTGATCCTGATAGTCATCTCTATTGTCTCCTGAATTACCCCTACTTGGCATACAAAATAATTTTCACCCTATGGTTTACAGTGTCACATTTGGATGAAAGCCATATTCAAGCGTGCATCTCAGTATTTCTTCATATAGTCACCGTTGTAATCAGAATCAAAATGAATGGCTTTATCCATAGCAACTTATGCAAATCATTACAATTCTTGCTGGACTGAATGGGGGTACAGCAGTTTAAAACAAATTTAGATTATTAGACATAAATTAAACAAACTATAACTTGCAATTTGCCATATTCTCTGTATGTTGTGAGAGATCTCATCCTTTTGGTGCTTTGGTTCTCAGTTTATTAGCAAAGGGTTTAGGATTCTGTTCTTGTCTTCTGGCTGTAAGGGCCCAAACAGCTTCAGGGTTTCCTTCATGCAGCTCTGTGAGTTTAGCAATGGAAATTGGGGGCTCAGTGTCACCTTAGTCATCATTGGAATGCATTAGTCTTCCACTGGAGCTGTTAATTTCCTCTTTTGGGCAGGAGGATCCGTGTTTAGTTTATCATTAGAAGGATAAGGCTTAAGATGAGGTGTGGTAAGGAGAGCTCTTAAGTCTTCTAACAGGAGTCAGAGGTCATTTGGCATATAAAAAGTAGTAACTTCTAGTACTAGTGTGCCTACCTTTCTGGCTTCTGGATTACTTCTGCTCCTTGACAGAGAATGGAGGTAGGCTGCTGCTCCTCTTTAGTCAAGAAGAATGTCTGGTTTAAGATGCCTGAGAAGAATTTGGGATGGTAGATCATTAAAGCAAAATTACCACAATATTTAAATGTTGATGAAAAGACGAACATAGATCTTACATGAACATTTATAATAAGAGTATTATCCCAATGTTCTTGTGAATTTATACAATAATTGAACATGGTATAGTAATATCAGCAGCATGTGGAAACTGGTGCTTTATGTACAGTATTATGGTTGCTAAGCAAAATGGTTGAGGTATGTGAATATATGTTTTGGCTATCTACATGATGATGTATGCTGGATTATTAATGTCAATGAAAAACTTGTCAGAATGTTGCTCACAGATCTTCACATACCAATCTTCAGTGAAGGACACTTTAGTGATGATTTTGCCATCTGCTTGCTTCTCAGTTCTGTTTTCAGTGTGTAAATGTGCAACAATCTCTCCAAATTTTCAGACAGGGCATACTTGACGTGTTCCTGGCTGTGATTGCGAAGGCACTGACTGTTCAAATCAAGACAAAGGGGAATGAAGGCAGTAAATCAGCAGTGTGCCAAGGCAAGGGTGGAGTGACGTCAGTGACACTTGCCACAACCATGCCCACACCAACTGCCAACTCCCCTCGCTGGTGGCTCCAAGGCTCGGCTACACAAAAACAAGCTGACCTTATTATTAGTTTAATTAGGGATATGACAGTGGTGAGTTGTAATTTTTTTTAGAAGATTCACAAGTAGATTGTTTCCTTTTTTATCAGATTATAAAAATATAGTTCAGAATATAGTGATGTTATGAATTTTAAAATCATTGTTTGCATATCATCATACCACGTGATACTATTTAGAAATAATTGCAGTTTTATCAACAAACTAAATAAAAAATGTATTGTATTTCACATTATTTCATATTCGACAGGGTAAATTATCTGATGCGTGGGCTAAAGTAAGTAAAGCAGCAATAGCAGAGAATATCATTAATCTAACCCGGTTGAGTGAAAATGAGCGATCGTGTGCGGCTACTTGTCTGGCAACACCCACCTTGTGGCTGGCTCTGGCTTCACTGTGTGTTCTGCACCCAGACCATGTTGATGCTTTGTCTTCACAACACTGGCAAGCAACTGCATCTTCTGGTGATCCACATAATCCTGAGCCCAGAGTAAGTTGGTTTTACTGTACTGTACTAACAGTGCTTTCAACAAAATCCTGCGATGTGCTTTAAAATTGCACAAGATTAGGTATCGGTACAACCTTAGTGTTTCATTACACTCCAATAAAATATGTTGATGATATAGGTAAGATTGTTGAAACTGTTGTAATATCTGCATTAATTATACTAATGTTATATTTGTTACTTAAGCATTTTTAATTGTAAAGACCAGTGCTGTAATGCTGACATTAGTCTTTCTTTACACACTGCATTGGTCTTGTGACCAGGCCGGTGACTGGGCACCATTTGTGTCTTTAGGCTTGCAGGTTCAGCCTTGTTTCTAGAATCCCCATTGTCTCTCTCTCTCTCTCTCTCTCTCTCTCTCTCTCTCTCTCTCTCTGAGTACTGGCTTGTCAATGACTTGACTATGAAAAGCCATGGAAGTCACAATAAATGCCAATATTTCTTAGTGTGGCAATGGGAGCAACCCCATCTGACCTATGCCACTCTCATACCCCCATGTGTCATCTTAGAAAGTTGAGTGAGGCTAGCCCTAAGCATCTGGCTTCTGACCTCAGAACACAGCCAAACAAACATTCTCTTTTATACATATAGATATGCTCATACATGTACATGCTTTAGGTTATGTTATGTATTTTGAATATTAGTAAATTTCCATTCAGTGGAAAATGATTAATAATTTGTGCTTAATTTTAGTATTCTTAATTAATGCAAGTAGCAGTTAATTTGATATTGAACAAACATGTGGATTTCAATTTGAAAATGGGGCTCACCAATAATCAATTACTGTAACCTTCATGTTCTGAAATTTAACTTATATTTTCTTTTGTATTGACCAAATTAGCCAACCTGTGAGAATCATGATGATGGGGAAACCCTTGCAATGATACTTTGTGAAGAATGCGCCAGCAACCTGTGCGGCGAGTGTGACCGCATCCTTCATTTGCACCGTCGGACAAGACATCATCATCGTACCGTCTTTAGACAGGAACAAGAGGCTATTAAGGTACAGTGTGGGCAATTCCCTCCTCATCAAGGATATCATTGAGTTGGGACGCTGAGGCTGCTATTGAGTAACCTGTGCCAAGCTTGAGTGTAAACAACTTTTACACCATCAGTATACTTAATGACACTGCAAAGTTAGCAGAAAGCTGACTTCTCTTGTAGTTGGCTGTATAATTTGGGGGAGGATATGAATTATTGTATGTGGAAAGCACAGTCAGTATTTCTGAACTTTGATAAATATCAAATATTTAGGCATGAAGATTGGATTTGCTCCTGAATGGTTCAGTTGTTATGGCTCACTTCTGTTGCTTATCAAAATGAAGGGAGTGTAGTTTGGATGTAAAGTTCTGTATTGTTCTATACAATAGGCTATATAAAAATAAAAATTACAGTATTTCATCATTCTAAACTTTACAGTATTAAACATTTTTTAAAATTTAATTAATTTCCAAAATAAAAATTTAATAATTCATAATTATTACATTTTTATTTTGGAAATTAATTGTATATTTTTGTCCTAAACTGAAAGGTGGACCTTCATGAGGGATGTGGTCGAACAAAGTTGTTCTGGCTACTGGCCCTGGCAGACTCCACCACGTTGAAAGCCATGTTAGAACTCCGTGGAGAGAATCAGCGATCTCGGGGCTCTGTGGCCACATCAACCTGCCGCTTTTGTGGTGCTCCGGCTCAACCTTCTCTGCTCTCACCCGCACCAGTGTGTCAAGACCCAGACTGCCAGGTTAGTTATTGTTTACTATCTACTCTAATATGCACGTGTGTGTGTAATTACCTAAGTGTACACAGAGATATACACGCATATTACTGTAATGACAAAAATATAACATTATGTAATTAATTTTTTCAGGAGTATAGCCATGAAGCCTGTGTTCGCACTCACGACTGTGGCCACCTGTGTGGAGGCCTGAAAGGAGAGTCTTCGTGTTTGCCCTGCTTACACGGCTGTTCTAATACACCCTCACTGAAGCAAGATGCAGATGATATGTGTATGATCTGCTTTTCTGAGGCCCTCTCCGCTGCTCCTGCCATCCAGGTAAATAATATTAACAGCATTATGCTACTGTACTAATTGTTCAAATTTACATTGATGTATCAAATTTAGTACCTCTGTGAATTTTGAAAACTTTAGAAATAAGTATCAGTAAATAGATTTGCAATTTATTAAGTGTTGGCTTATTTTGGTGTATATAACATTTGTTTAAATATCATTAGGAAGGTTTCTGAATATGTACCATTATAGTTGACAGTGAAGTCTTTAATGGATGGTTTTAAATTATATATGATCATGTCAGAGTTGTTTACTATTACTAGCTCTTCATTATATTATAATCATGAATGGCTTTGATTGAGATTAAAGTACTGTATGTAGGTCAGTCTTGATGTGTGTCATTTTACAAGAGGCTTGTATTTTTTGGTGTAACCAATTATTCATCTGTTTTCTCCCATTACAGTTAGAGTGTGGCCATGTATTCCATGCTCGTTGTTGCCGCACAGTATTAACCAGGCGTTGGCCCGGGCCTCGCATTACCTTCACATTTTCCCTGTGTCCCATCTGCAAGGTTGGCTATTTTAAGAAATAGTTTGCATTAAATGGATAATCTATATAATTTTTTTATTCATAATAAGAAATGTGTAGATAAATATTATCATATTGGCTTACCAGTGAAATTAAGTTATCTAATGATTGATAAAACCTAATATTGTAGTTTCACAGAATTTTGTCCTCTTCAGGTACGTGTAACTCACGGAGTCCTTGCAGAACTGTTAGCCCCAATTTCAGCGCTGTATGAAGATGTTCGCCGCAAGGCTCTGATGCGGCTAGAATATGAGGGCCTTCACCGAGCAGAAGCAATATCTACCCCAGGTGCCCGCTACTATAACAACCCTGCAGCTTATGCCATGGACCGTTATGCTTACTATGTGTGCTTCAAATGTAATAAGGTAATATTGTCAATCATTTCTATTGCATCTTGATGTACAGTATAGTATAAATTTTAGTATAGAGATTAATGAAGAGTAGGGCCACAAAAAGTAGAGGTAAATTGAGAAAGTTGGCTGATATGGCAGATTGATGTGTGTTTAAATGTTAAATATATGTGAATTACACTAAAAAATTCCAGCATTGAATGTAATGAAATGCCTCTTTCTGGTAGAGATCCGGTGGCTCCTTGAAGTTATCTCACTGAGATGACTCCCACACTACTGGGTCATATCAATCACAGGAATCCTGTTTGGCCTACCGGAGATCAGAGCTAAATACTGCCCCTCTTCCCTCTGTCACTCAGACACAAAGAGCACAGCACTATTATCATCACTGTCACTGAGAAAACCTCAACAAAGTCTGCAAAGCTTTAAAAATAACTGCAAGGTTCATAGGAAACAAAGCATCAAAACAGCCAAACAACTCTGAATAAGATTCAGTCCAAACAGTTGGTTAACTCGAAACTGGCTTTTAAGTGGTTAATTCCAATGGGCGCCACCAGGTGACCTAGAGCCCAGCCAACAGCTGGCTCTAATATCAGTCCAGAGCTGATGTACAATGAACTGACGGATCTGGTAGGGAGGGAGGAAGGGAGTATGGGAGTTACCGGCACTCTACCACAGAGAGGCATTTCATTACAGTCAATACTGGTTTTAACCACAGAAAAGAAGGAAAACATGGAAAAAATTAGGGAGGAGGAGAACAGCAACAACATGAATCACCAGAATCCCAAGAGACCTCCAAAACCCCCAAGCCCAAAAAGCTGCCCACGACAAGTGAGAGAAAACAGCAGCTAACGCTGCATACTGTACTTACAAACATCATGAGCCCGAGAATAGATCACAGGCTATATAGCTTTGATGATGATGATGATGCATATAACCTGAGAAATCCAAGCCTTGGAATAGGGGACCAAGGAAACAGGGCCAACCAACAAGGCATTCACCATGGCAGAACCAGTGGAAAGTAGGAAATAGCAAAGCACCACCACCAGACATAAAAAAGGATGCACCCCAAGCCAGACCAACAAAGCATCAATCACTAAAGAACCCTACTGGTTCTGCCTCAATGGACGCTTTGTTGGTCGAGCCTGTTTCCTTGGTTCCCTGTTCCAAGGCTCATGATGTTCACAAGTGCATGGTTTGGCTGCAGTCTTTTCTAACATTTCCTGGGCTGATATTCAGGCTTGGGAGCGCAAACATTTTAGCAGGGTTCTGACAGCCCGGTATTTCGTCAATGTTCCTGGTCGCAGTTGGTTGCATGTTGCTTCAAGCTGTCCCTCCCGGCCTGGGTTCTTCATCCTAGTGCCTGCTGCTTTTCCTCCTTCCTGGCGAGTCCTGTTTTTGTTCTCTGGTTAGTTCATTTCAGAGAGCCACTAGGATGCTACCCCTAAGAACCTAGCATTTTCATGTTTTCATAGGGTTGTTCATCAGCTCCAGAACTGAGATGGAGAGTCTGGGGGCCAGGCTGCCTGGTAGTGGTCATCAATACTAACGAGTTTCAAGCTAGTTTGAGTGACTCATCAATGTGATGACTTGAGTGATTCTGTGTGAATCATTTGTAGAGTTGTTTGGTGGTTTCAAGACTTCATTTTCTGTGAATCCTCCAGTTGTCTGTAAAGCATTACTGACTTTCTGAAGGCTTTTTCCAGTCTAGTGGTGAATTGTCACTGCACTTCTATGAGAAGCCAGATTTTGGCTCTGATCCCCCAATAGGCCAAACAGAACTTCTGCAACTGATGTGACTTTTTAGTATGGAGTAATTTCAGTGAGATAGCTTCAAGGAGCCACCAGGGCTCCTCCAGTAAAAAGTATTTCATTACATTCAACATTGGATTTTTGACCCTCTCGGAAAAGCCTGATTTAAAGATATTGTATCCCAAAGGGTTAAAGAATCCACACTTGTTCACATATTCTTGATATATTTTGTATATATGTGACAGCTGTCTCTTTTAGTTAATAATCATGTCGGTAAACAATACTGGTATGTATTTCTTCAGCTTTTAGCACTTGTATTTAAAATATTTTGAATGATTCTTCATGAGGTCATATGCTCAAGGAAAATGAGCTTTAATAGGGAGCAAAGTATTATTTAATACTGTACAAATTATAGATTGCAATTTAATTTAACTTATATTGATTTTACTAGTTATAGTAACGTAAACTGCAAAGCAAATTTTGTAATACAGTATTATACCTATTTGTTTCTAGAGCATTTTATAGTATGAAGTGTCTGATATTTATGATTGGCACAACAGGCATATTATGGCGGTGAAGCCCGCTGTGATGTAGAAGCTGGCCTTGGCGATGAATATGATCCTAGGGAACTCGTGTGTGGAGCATGCTCTGACGTCTCTCGTGCACAGATGTGTCCAAAGCATGGAACAGATTTTTTGGAATACAAGTGTCGGTACTGCTGCTCGGTAGCAGTGTTCTTCTGTTTTGGCACCACACATTTTTGTAACGCTTGTCACGATGACTTCCAGAGAGTCACAAACATCCCAAAAGCTGAGCTACCGCACTGTCCTGCAGGTGTGTAAGAATCACTTTTATCCTTTTTTGTTATGAACTATATTTCACCATGATTAGAATTTGAATGTAGTTTTACCTTTTCTACATTTCCTCTTTTACCTCTTCTACATTGATTTCAGTTCTATCTAGTGTTATTTCTGGTTATCTGTTGTCACCTCTACTTGGATCCCAGTCTGGTTCTGGGTTGAAGACCTTCTGGAACTTCTTGTCGAGTTGCTCACACAACTTATTTGTCAATCTTAGAGATTGATCCTCCCTGTCACCGCAATCTAATTACTGTACATGAACTCGTGCCATTAAGTTGGCTCTTTGCTTTTGCTGCAACGTTATTTTCAAACTGCTGCTCTGCTTCCCTACCGATTCTTGTGTACTCCTTCCTCTCCCTCTTTTGTGCCTGCTTATTTGCCTCTGTACCCATGTCCCTCTACTTTTTCCATGCCTTTTTTGTCTTCTCCTTTTCCTCCTTTCACTGTTGAACCATGGGTTTGCTGTTTTCCTTTCATCTGCTTCCCTCCTGAGAGGTATGAACTGTTCTGTTGCTTCTTTGCATTTCTGTGTTATGAATTCCATCATGTCATTTGTCGACTTTCCTTCCATTTCATTCTCCCACTGATTATCCTGTAAATAATCCCTCCCCCTCCTGTAGTCCCCTCTTCTGTATTCTCTCTTGCTTCTTGCCCTTTTTCAAAATCACTTTCAGTTCTACAATGTAATCAAACACAATGTTTAATTACATGTTCTCCATTATGTCACTGGGTTTGTCATATATAATGTGAGTGTATGGGTGTCAGCTTTTAATATCTATACTTATAATTTTCTCTTCTGCTGTCTTTGTCTTTGACATTATACCCACACACTCCATTAAAGTGAGAAACAGCAACAATTTTAATGATAATGATGCCAGGAAAAAAATCCAGTCAAAATATGGTATAAAACATTTAAGCAGTTCAATTAAGCCTTGATTGTGGAAACATTTATTCCAGCTCGTAACAAATGATTTTATTTTGTTTGATATGTTGACTGTCTTTCATCATATATGTGTGGCTTATTTTGTTAACTTGGTGTGGTGCAGGTCCTCGAGCCCAGCAGTTGGAGGGTGAAGAGTGTCCGCTCCACGTCCAGCATCCGCCCACTGGAGAAGAGTTTGCTCTTGGCTGTGGAGTTTGTCGGAATGCTCACACATTCTAATTTACCTCAACGTTTAATTTAGTTTTATCACATCTTACAGTTGATAGTATATATTATACTCCTATAACTTGCTGCAATGTCTATAAAGCCCATATTGCTCTGTTCATTTTAAGTTTCACTGATTACATTCAATTTAAAAGTAAGAGAGATATAATTTATAAAAAAATGTTGAAGGGCAAGAAAAAAAAGATGTATATTTACTGTACAGTATAGAAAATATTTTGAGAACTTTTAAATTTTTGGATTTTTTCTAAATATTTTTGTCAGGTAACCTTGGATTCAAAATAAATAGTACAGTACTTAAGTTTGAAAATGTAATATTAATTTTACTGGTAAAGATTTCATCTTATTAATTTAGACAGTTGATCAAAGACATGTTTAAGTGGTGTATATATATCTCAGAATAGTTATTAAAAAGTTTCCATGCTGCTCAATATTTAATAGGGAGAAGCACTTCTTATTTAAATTGTACTATGTACATGTTTTCCTATAAATATAGTATTTTTTCATAAATTCTTTATGCATGCTATATTTATTTTTTCAGTAGCAACTTTTCATAGACTTTTTATAAATATCATTTTTTAATTGATCACAATGTGTTAAATATCCTGTAAGAAAACGGTACTATACAGATGTAAAGTATGTATAAATATGTATTCTTCCTTCAGTAGCTGATGATTTCCATGATTACTGTTGTTGTTGTGCTATGTCTAGTGCACAAAATGTGTACGCTTTCTTTATTTAGCTCTCTCATAGTGCTTAACTTTCATTCATGCATTACAATATAGTTGTTTCTTTATTTGTGTTCATGAATCTATCAGTAATGCTACTCAATAAGATCATAATGAATTGAGAAGTAGTGATCTTGGAGTTCCAGTTTATCATGTACAGTAATGCACTGGTGTGCCAGTAGTAATACGCATCAAATTTTGCAATTCACAGTTTGAGATTTATAGGTCGTGACATTTCTTTCGTTGTTTCACTAATTTAAATCTTAAATGTATAGCTTATCAATTTGTACATAGTGGCTGATACAGGTGTCACATTATCTTAACATATATATTTTTTGTTAATAAAGCCCTTTATGCCATCTCTCACTTTTCTAGGGTACATCTTGCAAGGCATGAAGGGTTCATAGTCCAGTAGTGTTTATGTTCATTAGAGTTCATAGTCCAGTAATGACCAATGGTCCAGCTATGGTTCATGGTCCAGTAGTAACCAATGGTCCAGCTGTGGTTCATGGTCCAGTAGTAACCAATGGTCCAGCTGTGGTTCATGGTCTAGTAGTAACCAATGGTCCAGCTGTGGTTCATGGTCCAGTAGTAACCAATGGTCCAGCTATGGTTCATGGTCCAGTAGTAACCAATGGTCCAGCTGTAGTTCATGGTCCAGTAGTAACCAATGGTCCAGCTGTGGTTCATGGTCCAGTAGTAACCAATGGTCCAGCTGTGGTTCATGGTCCAGTAGTAACCAATGGTCCAGCTATGGTTCAGGTTTCTGTGCTCGCTGTTGTGTTTGCAAAGTGGGTAATGAATTTGTTGCTAAGGTCCTTACTATTTCATGAAAATGCTCACTTTAAAAATAGTTTTTGTTTTTAATTATAAAAGTGAAACTTTAGATAAAGAAAATACAGTACAGTAAGAAATATCTTTACAGATAAAAAAAAACATTAAATACAGTAAGATGGCTAGGGAAAATATTCTGTTGTCAATTTTATAAATACTGTACTCTTTTTGTTCATGGTATTTTGTATGTTTTTTTTTTCTCTCTGTCAGTAGGTTATTATAAATTCAAGAGTTTAATATCCAATGGCACCTCAAAAATCTGGACCTTGATTTAGGGGATTCCTCTATAAAGTTCAAACCAAATCTGCTTCCGGGATTTTTCTTCAAAATTCAGGTTTGTAAAACAAAATCAGGAATTCCAGGAGAGGGAGGCAGTGACATCCAGCAACAGTTAATGTAAAAATAATTTTCATCAAATTGTATTGCAGTATTTTTCTTATTCTTCCTAATCTTGATTTCTTTGTGTATAAATAGTATTAAAAATAATGTAGTTATATTTTAGAAATGTTTCACAAAGCTTGTACTGCACTATAAATTACACAAAACAGTTTGTTTCTTGCATTTTTTGGTGCATTTCTAGCACTGTGAGCTAGTGCTTGCGTGTTTGTATTCCCTGTGTGAGCGTGCAGTATGACCTCCTGCTACTGGAGCCATTTCACCGAGTTCATGTTGAATATATACACCAGTAATTATCTGCGATTTGCAACCATGTCATCCAGCAAGAGTGGATAAGATGGAGCCGGTAAAGGTAAAAGGAACTTCCTTACCATGGATAAAAAGGTAGTTATTAGAGAGAGTAGATTATGGTGTGGCAAGTAAATGATTGGCAGAGTATGTCACAGGTACTAGTGCAGAGCCGGTCGGCCGAACGGACAGCATGCTGGACTTGTGATCCTGTTGTCCTGGGTTCGATCCCAGGCGCCGGCGAGAAACAATGGGCAGAGTTTCTTTCACCCTATGCCCCTGTTACCTAGCAGTAAAATAGGTACCTGGGTGTTAGTCAGCTGTCACGGGCTGCTTCCTGGGGGTGGAGGCCTGGTCGAGGACCGGGCCGTGGGGACACTAATGCCCCGAAATCATCTCAAGATAGTACCGATTTGGATATAAAAAACTAAGGAAAGATATCATGGAGTTTGTCAGTAAGAAGGCAAGCAGTGGTGGAAGAAGTGGTGACAAAAACATTGCAGTCAAGTAAATATGACCAGCTGGATAATGCTGCTTATGTGTGGCTTATGCAGCATCAAGTACATTACAGTATGATGTGAAAGCTTAGTATTGCACTGCACACACTATACAGTACTATAACTATATCCTGCTACCACTGGGTTAAGAAGCCCAATCTCTGCTCCAAAAATGTAAGTAAACAAATACAGTATTTTTTGTATATTGATATAATAATTATACCCCCCACCAAAATCACTGTTTATATGTATTTGTCTAAATATGCAGAAACATGTATCTCTTGCTATAACAAAATGCAGAAAATGTGGTGGTAAATAGGCAAAAAAAGGGCAAATGTCCAGAAAACCGGATCAGGCTTAGAAAGATATAATCTGGATTTTTGAGGTGCACCTGTATTGTATGTATGTGTATGAGTACTGTATAAAAGTAGGTGTTTATGTATATATTTACTGTATGTATAATATATATACACATACATACATACATACTGTATATACATCAATACATTCACACAATATTTGTATATATATGTATGTGTGTATGCAGGTAATGTATGTTAAAATTTTAGCATACATCGTATATGTGCAACAAAGTTAATCATATACTGTATCCACATTCAGACTGCACTGTACATGATGGGTGCAGAGGCACAGGGACACACACATGCTTAAATTAAGTCTCCAAACATAACAGACTGTAAGAATTCTTTGGATAAAAAACGAAAACAACAAAAATCTTTCCAGTACTGGTGTAGAATAACTGGTTGTGCTGGTTCTCTGGTTCTAACTGGTTCTCTTTACGTTTATCAGTACTCTTACCAGTAGCCGCAACATTCCTACTGTGATGATTTGTTGTGCTTTGTTGCAATGTTTCATACAACTTTGTTCTATATATCTTATATTTATTATAAGTCATTGTCTTTGGATGTGGTGTTTATGATATTTGTATAGTTGATTACTTATGAAATCAATAAGCTATTTATTCTTTGCGCCGTCAGGTCCTTAAATGTGCCCGACATAATTTATATTATCTGTATGGTAGTGTAGGTTTTAGACTGTCAAACAGTAATTGGAATTGGTTAAAATCATTTGTCTGCCTATTATGGCTTATATTAGTGTTTATGATATTGGAAAAATGGCCATAAATGATATTTGAATACGTATCTAAAAGATATTTGTATTATTTATTCAAAAAATTGTATAGTCCAAACTGGCATATTTGATTTCTCAAAGAAAGCCTGTATAACACTATGATTAGTGGTTCTAGCAGCAGCAGTGTGCCCTACAAACAATATTTAATGTGTGTGTGTGTGTGTGCATTTTTGTTATCAGATTTGTGTGCACTGTACTTGCATGCACACATGTATGTACTCACTTAGTTGTGAGTACGTGTGTTTGTATGTGCATATGTACACGTGTGTGTGTGTGTGTGTATATGTATACAAACCCACACATACATACATACTTGCATACAGGCATACATACATGGGTGCATAAGAGTTTACCCAAGGTAGGTTCTGGAACCTCTGCTATACTCTCTGCAGCTTGAATGGCATCCAAGCATCATAAGTCAAATCTTGATCATGCAGGCTGTTTTTGTTTGAAACCTGTTTACCCACTAAACCTGTGTGTGTTGCATATGTTTTCAGAGGTAAGTGATTTCTTGTAAGGTGCACCAAAAAAAAAGTAACAGAAATATTTAAGGGCATATTTATGTAACTTCTTTAGACCTTATATTTGTGGAGTAACTTTGATTATGTATCATTTTACCAGTGGCATATGGGCACGGCCCTTGGCTGTGTTGTATTATGTAAACCTGTTAGCAAAGTCTACAAGGCAGTATTCTTTAATTGTAAGCAATCTAGTCCTACCGAAAAAACCAGCTGAACTTTCTTCCAAGACAGAACTGACAAACTCGGTATTTGTCTTTATTTTTACATTTAGAACAAACTGAGAATTTAGTTTCTAGTATTTGACATGAATAGATTACTTTAAGAATGTTGTATATATTTTAGGTAGCTGGCCATATCAGTTCTTACAATATGACCAGAAAATAATGATGAATTCATTAATTGCAATAAGCTCAAGATGTGATTGGTCATCATTCTTAATCAAATATTACACTGAATACAGTATGAGTACTGTACATAATAACCTTGAAAGCCTACAAATCAAACATAATTCATTTGTCGCAATTCACCAAGGTCAGTGATATTGTCATTTATAGCAGTATGTAGAGTCTACCATTTCAGTTTCCATATCACTGAAAAATAAAGTTCTGAAGCAAATGCCCTTTTCATTGCTCTAACCTTTCAATAAAATTTTAAAATGTACTTTTCTGGGGGAAGCCCCGTCAACTCCCCGGAGCTATCCAGGCTGATATGGATATGTATAACTTTCTGGCATCAGTCAATGTGCATGGAATTTTTGCCTACCAGTGACCACAAGCCAGAATCTGACCCCCTCAGAAAGACACGAGCAGTAGTGGCCTATAGAAACCCCCTGTGGTTGGGAGCATTCTATGTCTGCCATCGACCAGGTCTGGCACCTAGAAGGTAGGCGCCCCAAAACAAATCCCTATTCTGGTGAAAAATTGCTACCAAAAGCCGAACGAGTGGACAGAACTCCCCCAAACGAAAATTAACGAACGAGCCTGACTTCATCACGCCGCTGTCTACGCAACCCCCCCTCTCCGGGAAGGGGAATCCCTAGACCGGCAATCCACTCACCAGTTCTTAGGCTGGATGTCAAAATACGTGAAAAACACCGTTGACAGGAGTGAGGGAGGGATGCAGGGGAACCTGGACTGGCCCAGAAAGTGGCTTTTCATTACATTTAATGCTGGTTTTCGGGGGGAGCTCTGTTGGCAACCCGGAGCTACCTCGCCAAAGATAAGGAAAAGAGGGAAGGACCCAGGAGGTGGATGCCATGCGCCCGAAGACAAAAACAAGTCAACCGGCAAAACCAAAGGACCCTGCGGATGACCGGGAGATCCAAACCCTGTAATAGGAAGGAGGGAAGGGAACCCGGCCAACCCAAAGCACGGCCACTGCCAGAGAGGCCAAGACGCGTAGACAATGACAGAGCCGCAACCAAACAACACATAATGCACCCCAGCCTCACCAACCAAGCATCAATAACCCAAGGACACCTCCGGAAAGCAGCAGACTCATACATCGCCAGAAAAAAAGGAGACGACTGCAACCGAACAAACCTATGACAGGACCAAAAGAGCTGAAACCCCTGTGCCGGAGGAGAGCATGAAGCTCCCCAACCCGACCCCCAGAGGCCATTGCCAACAGGAAAAAAGAAGCCGAAGAAAACACAACCCCGAATTGAAGGGACCACAACAAACCGAGGAGAAGAGAGAAAAAGAGAGCACCCGGTCCAAATACCAGGACGGCTCAGGCGGCGCATGAGACAGCTGACGAAACAGAGCAGACATACCATCAATACCGAACACAAGCAGGAGCGGCTCCACCAGCGCCACACAATACGAGGTGACAGTATCCGATAGAAGACGATGGTCCAGAAACAACCACGAAAGGACAGAACAACCCTATCAGAGACAGAAGTACACCTATGCAGTGATAGGAAAACGGAAGGACTGCCAGGAACTTCATACTGCCACCAAGACGAAATTCTCCTCTGAGGGTGGGGTTTTTGTTCTTTTGGCCCTGATGGGCATTTTGTTCGTTTGCAGCTGGCTCCTCCTTTTCTGACAAAGAATGAGTTAGTTGGCTTTCAGAGGGGTCCTTTGGTGATTGATGCTTGGTTGGCTCAGCTAGGGGTGCATCATGCTTTGAGATGCCAAAAATATCTGGTACTAACGGTACAACCTGTCCCCTTAAAAAGAACGTCGCTTTTGGCCGTTTGCCCGTATGGCCGAAAATGGACGTAATTTGAAAATTAAAAAAAATTAAAATAAATTTGAGATTTTTTTCAACAACAGTAAGTTAAGGGTCCTCTGAAAGGTTAGATGGGCAAGAAATTCTCATAAAGTTATGAAAAACGTTAATTGAAAGCTTCCTCTTTTAACCTTGCCAAGTAAGTCGGACGACTCAAACAGAAAACGGAACAGTATGTCACTTTTGTGAGTCGATTTCATTTCAAATTACGTCCAAATTTGGCCATAGTGCGCATACGAGCGAAAAGTGACATTATTTTTAAGAGGACGGGTTGAACAGTAAGTTGCCATTTAATATTTTTTTCAATTTAAGCCTAAAGCATAATCAGATATATGTACAGTATGTCATATGATACTATTGAGGCTTTGCAAGTAAAGTTTTGGGGGAAAATTCAAATCTCGGAACTAAATATTCCATTTAGTCCTAAATTCTAAAGCTAAGGGATTTTGATGAGAAAAATTTGGCCCAATAACTTAATGCAAAATGTTAATCACAATGCTCTTAGAGGCTGATGAGTCTGCAAGACTAAAAGCTACAGTGGCAACTGTCTTGAATTAGGTGTAAGGCTGAATATCGATTGATAAGTTACTAAAAATCTGGTTAGAGATCGTGTAACCCAGAGATGTGCAGCGAGAAAGCTAGAGTAGATGGGATGCAAGATAACTGAAAGGTATTGATTATTATAACTAAATTAACTATTTGTCCTGTTACATATAAATGCTATTTGGCAGTATGCAAAGGATCAATGAGAAAAAAAATATTGAATATAGAGGTTTATTAACATGAAAAATATATATATACTACTGTATGTGTATGTGTATATATATATACAGTATATATATTATATATATATATATATACACATATACATACACACACACACACACACTGTATCTCATCTTTTCAAATTATAAATTGTTATTCATTCCAAAATAATTGATAATATATATTCTATTCATCTGATAAGACTCTTGAAATATCTTCTCTAGGAAAAATGTATTTGGCAGGAAATATATATTACATGTATATAAATTTCTTAAAACTATACTGTATTTCAATGTTACAGTACTTTGATATTTAATCTTTAGTACAAAAGTAAAATTTTACTGGTGTGAGTAGATATAAATTCTTTGACTATAACTACATATCTTGATCCTCAAATTGGCAGGAATGATTTGTTACATTATAGATTTTGAACTAAAATTTAATATCTAAATGGACAAAAATGTTGTTTCTGTAACTTAATACTCAATGTTTCGTAACACTGTATCTGATCCTAATCTTCTCAGACTGACATCACTTACTCTTGAGAAAAACATTAGGACTGGTATGGCACTGTCGAGGATAGGAAACCTGTCAGGCTCACTGACACACTAGCCACTGGGAAGACTTCCCACATGAATGCAGGCGATGAGTCACAATAACGTGGCTGAAGTATGTTGATCAGACCACACACTAGAAGTTGAAGGGACGACGACGTTTCGGTCCGTCCTGGACCATTCTCAAGTCGATTGTGACTTGAGAATGGTCCAGGACGGACCAAAACGTCGTCGTCCCTTCAACTTCTAGTGTGTGGTCTGATCAACATACTTCCCACATGAATATTTATGGAAATACTGACCAGCTTCAATGGCATTTAACCCGACTGACCGTGACACCCACATCCAACCGTTTGAATATTCATCAAGTTCACATTTATACTACAAATTAGTAAATAAAATAAAATAAATTAAATATCATTGCAGTTGCAAAGTAAAATTATTTAAACTTGGAATTACAAGATCTTAAAATACAGTACAAGTACATGAATACAGTGTAATGAACAAACAGTATGGTTATAATTTTCTGGTTTTCAATTTGAAAATGCCAAATTAAGCCAAGTAGATGTGCTCCAAGTGCTGTTCTGAGGGTGGACCACATGTCTAATCAAGTTCTCAGTAGTTCAAGTTCAATTAACCTGTTTTAATAAAAAAATTATTGGTATTTTTCATTACTTTAGGAGGAAATAAGTTTTAGTCCATCAGAATATATACTGTACAGTACTAGTATTGGATTAAATCTGATTACTGCAAATGCTTCTTTAATTTTACTAAACAAAAATTTACTAAAATTGTCATGAAAGTAAATAAGTAATTATCATAATGTGTTAAGCCAGGTAAGCTGTATGTTAATACAATATATACCAAATGAAAGAGTTTTCAGCATGGAAAAGAGAGACTGGGACTTCTATATTTTAAAAATATAGTATGGCTAGGTTTTCTTTTTTAAGTCTTGATCATGCCTAAAACTATTTTGAAAAAGAACATACAACCATGTCTCCTTAATATTTGTTTAATAAGGATAGACAAAAGTTAATAGAAAAGCTTAGCTATGCTCAAAACTGAAATGCAGTTAAGTCAATGGGGCTATAGTATATGTAAAAGTGTGGTGATTTGAGTTGTGAATATGAGAAAATTTACTACAGTATTGTATGTAAAAGTCCTTAAGAACAAAAATCTGGGGGGGCACAACAACAACCACAACAATCCTTCCCCTCCCCCTTGTTATGGCTTACCACCAACAGGTGGTCCTGTCTTTCACCTCATTAAAACCTCAGTCCAGTCATCATCACCCAGTGACATGGCCGATGAACAGCCCTCAAACTCATACAAGACAAAAACAGGTTCAGAAGGCAATACTGTATCCATGAACTGCACCAAAAGCAGCAGGGAATTAACAGAGCCTGAAAGACTGACCAAACAGGCTGTCCAGGCACTGCGGATGGTTGCCAGGAATTATACAGATAAGCCAACACAGCCTAATTAATGTGGTTGCCCAGACAAAATATTCACTCAGACCAATGGGTCTGCCATGGTGTGCCATGACCCTTGGTTCTGGGTGACCCCTGACACACACTAGATAAAAACCCCACCCCAGTGGTCCAGCCTGTAAAGAGTGAATTTCGAACACACCAGAGAAGAGAACTTTGTCAGTGCATGGCAGCGCTATGGAGCACACAGGAAAGATAGCCCTGAACACATACATTTCCTTGCATCTACAAGCCAGGTCCACACCATACAAACCAAACAGAAAATGCACTTATGAAGCTAACTAAAATATAGAATAATACAAAGCAATGGTCCCTGCAGGGCAAAGTCCAAGGATGGCAGGTACTTTGCTTCCCGGACCCGAGTGCTCTATAGTAGACAACCAGAGGTATCAACATCAGCACCAGAACTGACTTGGATGGCTATGGAAGACCTGGACCTCCACTCTCCCCATCTATTGACAAGGGGTTAGTGCTAACAAGCCTATGCTAGTTTTGAGAGATTCAATCATTTGTTTACATTGGGAAGTTTGTTTGGCAGTTTTAAGGCTTTGGTTCTTTGAACCCAGCAATGGTCTTTATTGGTTTGCTGACTTTATGGATGCTTTCCCAATGGGATACAGAGTATCACCTGCTCCTTGCTCCTCTGTGAGGTGGGTAGGGGGTCATTAAGGCCTGGCTCTGGTTCCCAATAGGTGTGACCTGATGTGACCTAGTACAGTATATGGGAGCCATCTCAAAGAGATACAGTAGCTTCTGGGACTGAGGCTTCTTGTGGACATGGGGCTTCCCCAGAAAATATAGCTTTGTTGAAGCTCATCACCATAAATTTAAATTCTTTGCATTGAGTACAGTACCATGTTTATACAGTACATTAAGTACATTACATTAAGTATTGTATCTAACAATCAATAGTGTCTAATTGGCAAATCGCATTTTTACCTTAAAATATTCTGAACTATCATACTGTACACATATGCACCTTCCCGGCAGGAGCCACGTAAGTATATTAAACTGGCTAATATGGCCATTATGTTCCTTATTCAACAAGATAATAATAGTAAATATTCTATTTTGGTAGAAATTATACATCACAGTTTTAAATTTGCACTGTTTGTATCATGCAAACAATCATTACTTACCAAATGTAATACAAGGCTTGTACTATAACTAATGTTCCATAATTTTCTTCCATCAAGCTTGTGAATTTTCCCTACTTGCAAAAGATATCCAGTTCAGTTGATCAACATTTTATAAATTATTACCACTGATATTTTTATCTTGCAAGATGTTTTCATTAATCACATCATCTTCAAATGGTATCTTGCAGCTTAGCTCCCGCAAAAGATTGATAAGTGCATGTGGTGGGATGTTCTGGGCAAGAAGATCCATTATAGTCCTGGGATGGGGAGTATGAATATGATATTATAGCCAATCAATGTTTTTTAATACAAACATGAGTACAGTATCTGATAAAAGGATATGATTACCGCTACAATAATATAATACAGTACATTTTAACACTAAAATTCTTAGAAAACCACCTGGCATCAGTTTCCCTCTTTACCACTGATAGTTCTCTTCTTGGGTGTGTGGTACACCACGACTGCACACAGGAGCTGCTACGATCAAGTAGCCTTAAATCACAGGAAATTAGTGGGCGTGTGACATGAAGAATGCCTAGTTATGTTGTAAATATATAACAACAATTGCAAACCAAGAAAAAGTAAATAAACCTCTGCAAGTGAAACCCTAAAAGAATAATAAGATAATATGTTTAGCAATGTAAAGGACACAATGAAAGTAAAAAGATCCTGAGAACTATTTAATGAGCTTGGCTCGTACAGAAAGGTGTACAGGTATATTACAACAAACTCACTATATATAGGCCTGCATTCTTCTACTCCAGGGCAGTATTCCTCGAATCCATTACAGTATTTATAAACAAGTACAAAATATCAATGGCACATCACTCAGTATATTATGAAGAAAAAGCCTAAAAATCAGGCGATAACAGGCTCTTAAAACTATGGACATAACCCTATTTCAAAAGGAAATACAGTACTTGCTTCTCTGATTTCCTCTAGATGTTTGGGTGCCTTCCGCGTATATCTTGCAGTACAGTTGGCTTTTTTCTTGACTCGCAATTGGGGGAGCTTGGGTTTAATTTCTGGTACAGTAGAGACAATATTGGTTGAGCATGTTTCATTTTACTAAGTGCCTCTGTTCACCTAGCAGTAAATAGGTACCCGGGAGTTAGGCAACTGTTGTGGGGTTGTATCCTAGGAAGGATTAGTAGTTGAATCTTGTGGGGGAGGGGGGGAGGAACTTGATACAAGCCTAAAGTATATATACATACAGGCTTCCTACTTCACACAAAACTAAAACAAATTAAAATTTGGCATGCATCTCATTTATTTCATTGTCTAACAATAAACCATTCCAGTCAATCCCATTAAAGAACTCTCTTTGATTCCCATATTGACCTTGTTTAAAGTAGAGTTTCTCTGTTATCTTCTGTGTTGTACCGTGTTGTGTACAATTTTCAAGGTATTTTCAAGGTTCCAGATGGGTAGCTCAGGAAGATACTATGGAGGTCATTCCAGAAAAGAACTTAGAACAAATAAACACAGGATCAAATAGGACCATAACATGGATACTTAATTAAACCACTGTATATATATTACAGTATGTACTAACTTGAACAGCTGAGGATGGATGATGATACCAGTAGCTCTCACCAAGTCAAAAAGTTGCCGTTGTTCAGAATTAAGATTGGTTTTTGTTACAAATGTGTACTGGTGGACCTCACTCATACTGATGCTAAAAAGAAAAAAAAATATTATATTAAGTGAAATTAAATGCCCAGTTCTGAGTGGTTTCTCAGTAGCTCCCCTTGGGCTCAAGCCAATACTAACAAATTGTTAGACTCTTTTGTGACTATCCCAGAAAGACAAGTAACCTATTACAGTACTGTGTAATACATTTTATCCCCCCTGCCACCAGAAGGTAGACACCAGCTTGGACACCATTTGCAAGCCTGATATGAACTACAAACAGACTCAGGAAAGAGGACAGGGAGCCACAAAAAGACCCACCGGAAAGAGGCATTTTATTTAATCCTTTATTTATTTTCCAGGAAAGCTTCCTTCAGTAGCTTCCCGAGCTAACTCCTCATGGAGAAGGAAACATCAGTAAACTGGATCAACCAACCCAATGCCATGCAAGTCTTGCATTACAGTACATAGGAATATTGCACCTTAAGACCTCAGTAATTTGGATTCCGAATCTCTGAGTATTCTGAATGAATCCACAGTCACCCGAATGATTCTGAGTATCATAAATTATTTGTAGTGGGAGCACATGGTGACTAATCTCGGCTGAAAAGGTCTCAGCTGGAAGGTAGTCCCCAAAAGCAATACCAATGCTCAAGTTCAATTCAAGAGGAATCAAACCATCCAAAAAGCACCAAAAATCTCGGGAAAGATACCAATATTGGTTATTGATCCTCCCAGATCAAGGCAAAGGAAGGCTATTGTACTAAAACAAGGTCAAAGCAGACTACAAGTAGAATGCAAACCATGCCTGTGATGAGAACTATTAAACAATAAATACCTTGCACTATGACAGGTAGTCTTACTACAGTTAACTGCTCTGAAACTTAATTAATGTAAAAGTCTGTTAGCCACTGCAGAGAAGCAAATGGTGAATCAAGTGCAAGGCTTAAGAATGAAGTGGTCAGCTCTCTTCGACCCTGTACACAATAGGGCTGCCCCCTAGAGGTGATTGATGTAGTTGGTGGAGACGAAGTCATTAGTTTCAGAATAACTCGACTTTTTAATTACCAAGAATCATTTGCAGGGAGTGTCGAGTAGGTTGCAGGGTTTATTTGAGTTATAGTGAGCGACTTTTTTTCTGTAAGATATGAACGTATTCTCACCATTGAGTTTCCAGTCCTGTCAATAGGTGGACAAGACTAGTTAAAAGTTATTGATCCTTCTGGGGTGAAGAGTCACACAAAAAGTGACAATTTGTAGGTGTGTGGCAGAGCCCAGAGCATTTCACCAAAGAGCTAGCAAGGAATCATTCTCAGAAAATTCTTTACACTTCAACAAATACTATCCTGTGCTGTACATAAACAGTGTAAAAAATGGAAAAAATACAGCATTGCCCTATATAAAGTTGTGCATGGAATACTAAACTACATAATCACAGTTGGCCTCAAATTTATTTATATATCTGAAAAACCTACATGATTATAAACCTATGGAACTGCCTACCCACTGAAGCTGAAAATGCCAAAGACCCATTGGATTTTGAAAATGTTCCTGAGCCAGTAGGCTCAGGAATCTGTACACCAGTTGATTGACAGTTGAGAGGCGGGACCAAAGAGCCAGAGCTCAACTCCCGCAAGCACAACTACGTGAATACAAGCCTTACGTTAGGTTGCTGTTGGTCTTGGGTCAGTGACGATGTAAGAACTTGGTTTGTTATTGTTGTTGTTAGAAGGTTTAGGGGCAGCTACAGCACAGGCCGCGCTTAGTGAACAGACACCAGCATAGTACTCACCTAGTTGTGCTTGTGGGGGATGAGCTTCAGCTCTTTGGTCCCGCCTCTCAACTGTCAATCTACTGGTGTGCAGATTTTTGAGCCTACTGGGCTCTATCATATCTACATTTGAAGCTGTATATGGAGTCTGCCTCCACCACATCACTGCCTAATGCACTCCATTTGTTAACTACCCTAACTCTAGAAAAATTCTTTCTAATGTTTCTGCGGCTCATTTGAGTACTAAGTCTCCACATACCCTTGTTCGTGTTCTTCTCATGCTAAATAGTCTGTCCACCCTGTCAATTCCTCTGAAAATGTTGTTGTTGGTGATCATATCTCCCCTAACTCTTGTGTCTTCTAGGGACGTGAAGTTTAATTCCTGTAGCCTTTCCTCGTAACTGAAGCTCCCAGCTCTGGAACCAATTTGGTGGAATACCTTTGAATCTTCTGTAACTTTGTCTTGTGTTTAACTACGTATGAACTCCAGGCTGAAGCTGCATATTTCATGATTTGTCTGACATATGTGGTATTCAAGGTTCTGAATGATTCCTTACATAAGTTTCTAAAGGAAATTCTCATGTTGGATAATCTAGCATATGCCGCTTATGATATTCTTTTGATGTGCGCTTCTGAGGACAGGTTCAGTGTGATATCAGTGGGTGATTTCCAGTTAGCACTGTATCTCGGACATGGGTACAGTGCCTGAATACCTAGCAACCAATTATCGTTTCCATATTTTTGGAGGATCTCCAACTCATGTCAGGGTTTGAACAAATGATTAAAGGCTAGATTTTACTTTTTGCACAACAGATGGCGGCCAGCTATATACTTATCATTTCAGTAGTGCACAGGTATGACATAAAAAAAAAAAATATATATATATATATATATCAGCTACCCTAAGAGCGAATGGAATGGAGGATAATAGGGACAGAGAAATAGTCATGGAATCCTTCAACGCACCAGCGAGCAATCTATATGCAAGCTTGTTGAGGAGAAGTGTTGTCAATCTCATTAAACTGAATATTCCTTTTGTATGCACTGTACTAGTCAGTGATATTCCATTATATCTGGATACTGAAATATAAGTGTCATACACGGTAAAACACTTATATTTCAGCAAAATATATCAGCAAAAAAAGTAAGGAAATCCCAGCACTCCCGAAAGCAACAACGCTTAAAACTATTGAGTCCTATATTTATTATTTATTTATTTACTTATATACAAAAAGGTACATTGGGTTTGTGAGAATACATAGCATAGTATTTACAATCTTGTAAAGCCACTAGTACGCGCAGCGTTTCGGGCAGGTCCTTAATCTAACAGATAATTCTAAGTAGGTAAATTATAATTCAAATAAATTGTAATTATATAATTCATTGTGTCGGGGGAACAGGAAGCCAGAGCATATTTATACACGTTAGGCTTTTATCGAAAAAATACAACATGCAAAATACATACTAGGAATATTATGACATTCCTTTTGTTACTCTATTTTGTTGTAATTTTTCAGCTTTTCAAAATTTAAAAAAAAAATCAAAAAATTTAATAACCCAGGGAGGCTGCTATTAAACAAATAGTGAAACTCAAGCCAAACAAATCCCCAGTGCCCGACAAAGTGTTTGCCAGGGTAGCTTAAAGAATGCAAAGAGGACCTTTGCGAACCACTGTCTACCATATTTAATAAATCATTAGTAAGGCAAATTGCCAAAGTCGTGAAAGGTTGCTAATGTGGTACCAATTTTCAAGAAACCCGAAACTCTGCCCGAAACGCTTTGCGTAATAGTGGCTTTAGGCATTGTATGTACTATAGCTCTATCTATTAACCCAACAAACTTTGTAAAATCTCTTTATGTATGTACCTTACCTAAATAAACATTTATTTATTTATTTATTTATTTAAGAAAGGAGATTGATCACTTGCGTCAAACTATCAGACAATTAGCTTAACATCTATTGTGGGTTGTTACGTAAATCCCCTACATAGTGGAGCTGCCTCTTCCACTTACCTCTCATGTCATCATACTGGAAGTTCACCTCTATGTCACCCAAGACCAGTCCTACAACAGCAGGCTCGCCATAGCCCGTGCTTCTTGCCCCGCTCCTGTGCCAGGTAAGTTACGGGCTCACCATAGCCCGTGCTTCTTGGAACTTGTTCCTAGTAGCTGAATCTATAACAACAACCTACAACAGATACTCCACCTGCCACACGCGCCACCACTCTGTACCACACAATGCCGGGTACAGCTTGCCGGCAGGCAGAGTGCCTCTGCAAACTACGGGCTCACCATAGCCCGTGCTACTTGGAACTTTGTTCCAGGTAGCGAATCTTAAACAACATATTAGTTAGCCACTACTACCAAGTAGTAGTAGTGTATAATAAAAGTGTATAATAATAAGTGTATAGTGTATAATAATAATTGCCTCTAACTAGCAGTTACACAGCCTCTACCCAGCTGTTGTGCGGCTGCAAACTAGCAGTTACCGCCAGCTGTTTGTTACTGCCCTCGTTGACACAAGACATGATGTCATCACCAGCAGGGGGTATAAATAGGGCCCCCGCTCCTGTGCCAGGTAAGTCCACTAAGGGCTCACCATAGGCCGTGCTACTTGGAACTTTTTGTTCTCTGATGCTCTTGGGGGTCATCAGTGCTTCTTTCACTCGCCATCTGCTACCAGCCTACGTTGTGTGTCTGATGCCGTAGTGGTATGGTAGATGTCTTCAGTTCACTAGTATAATAACAATAATAATATTTTATTTAGGAAAAGTACATACATTGGTGCAGAGTTACAAACATTCTGATTGATGTATAGATAGAGCTAGTACATACAATACCTAAAGCCACTAGTATGCATAGCGTTTCGAGCAAAATAATATTGTATTAGAGGGGGTAGAGATAGCCTAAGCTACTCTATCCCTTGAGATGTAGTTCTTTCTTGTCTCAATAAACATACTTACTGCCCGAAACGCTTTGCGTAATAGTGGCTTTAGGCATTGTATGTGCTAGCTCTATCTATAAATCTAAATTTTTGTAAAATCTCTTGTATGTATGTACCTTACCTGAATAAACATTTATTTATTTATTATTATTTATTAGTTGATATTGTATTCATATTAATGATTTCATTTGCTTGTTTTGTTTGTTCCGTTATAATAGCCAAGTGTTTGCAGGAACTGTTTTCTGTTATACTAATTATTATGGTAAAGTTTATTATTTGTTCATCTGTCTCATGTTTCATCATGCCACTTACACATTGCAAGGGCCAAAGCAACATTTTTTTATGTAATTACACACTACACCGGCCCAGTACTGCTGCATCATTGCATCACGGCACATGGGAAAAGTTGCTTGAATCGATAATTGCAAATACCATTGGTCATCATATTGAAAAACATAGATTAATAAATGATTCACAACATGGTTTTACTAACGGCCGTTCATGTTTAACAAATTTGCTATCATTTTATTCCAACATAGTTGAGGAAGTTAAAGATAGTGGTAAGGTATATTATATAAGGTATATTGGTAAGTGATAGTGGTAAAGGTATATTATATATAATATTATGCATTATTATACATAATATTGACGGTGAGAAACTACCTAAGAGAAATAATGTTTTTCATTATTTATTCCCGTTTCACCTTACTGTAATGATTTTGAAGCTTAGTATGTTCTATGAGTGCAGCATAATATTTGTGTTCAGAGAATAGTAAAATATTCTAGGCAAACGACTATATATAACTACTCATCAGTTTCCCGCCTCCTGCTATAGTTACGACTCCTGCCGAGAGAGGGCCCAGTAATCGTATGTGTGTTACAATCCCATTGATTATGGAAGAAATTTGAATATTAAGATGTATTCTTTTAAATTTTTATATGCAGTAAGAATAACAATAAAATTCCTCAAAAGGAAATGTAAAAAGAAAGTGCTTATTAAGCCCATTACAAGTTCAAAATATTATCCATATCTAACTCTGGATGCTCAAAGTTTCAGCGCATGCGCACCGGAGGCTAGAGTGACCAGTTGTAAACTTTCCTTGGTGAGGTGAGGGTTGTCGGTCCCTCAAGTTGTGAATATCTGTAGTCACACGGCGTAGTAGTGTTGTGATCCTTGTGATTTGTGTACAAATGTGTAAATGAATGCTACGATGACGTAGATATGCCATACCGGTCATTTCTAAGGGGAATTGTACAAGTTTTTTGAGTGAATTACCTGTGACAAGCACGGCGTTGTTACCTGTCCTCGCGCAAAGTAAGTAGTCACCTGTCAATAGTCATTTAAGACGGTCAAATGGTGGTGTTGAACTGTTGTGGTTGGCTTTAGGTGTTGAAGGTGGGGGGAGGGGGTTGGTGGGGTGTGGGGGGAGGGGTGGGTGGGGTGGTAAACGTTTAAAAAGTGGTGTTGTAAAGGGAGGAGGAGGAGTGTTGGAGTCGCCCGAGGGCACGTTGGTGGACAGGTAGGCGGCCTCCCGCCCCACTCTCACTCACTCTCACACTCACTCACTCATGCTACACGCACGCCCACACTCACTACACGCCCACACTCACTACACGCCCACACTCACTACACGCCCACACTCACTACACGCCCACATACACACACTACACGCCCACATACACACACTACACGCCCACATACACACACTACACGCCCACATACACACACTACACGCCCACATACACACACTACACGCCCACACACACTCACTACACGCCACATACACACACTACACGCCCACACTCACTACACGCCCACACTTACACTACATGCCCACACACACACACACGCCCACCCACCCAACACTACACACACACACACGCCCACCCACCCAACACTACACACACACACACACGCCCACCCAACACTACACACACACACACGCCCACCCACCCTACACACACACACACACACACGCCCACCCACCCAACACTACACACACACACACACACACACGCCCACCCACCCAACACTACACACACACACACACACGCCCACCCACCCAACACTACACACACACACACGCCCACCCACCCAACACTACCCACACACACACGCCCACCCACCCAACACTACCCACACACACACACACACACACACACACACACACACACACACACACACACACACACACACACACACACACACACACACACACACACACACACACACACGCCCACCCACCCAACACTACGCACACACACACACACACACATGCCCACCCACCCAACACTACACACACACGCCCACCCACCCAACACTACACACACACGCCCATCCACCCAACACTACACACACACGCCCACCCACCCAACACTACACACACACGCCCACCCACCCAACACTACACACACACGCCCACCCACCCAACACTACACACACACGCCCACCCACCCAACACTACACACACACGCCCACCCACCCAACACTACACACACACGCCCACCCACCCAACACTACACACTCACGCCCACCCACCCAACACTACACACACACGCCCACCCACCCAACACTACACACACACGCCCACCCACCCAACACTACACACACACGCCCACCCACCCAACACTACACACACACGCCCACCCACCCAACACTACACACACACGCCCACCCACCCAACACTACACACACACGCCCACCCACCCAACACTACCCACACACAAATACCTAACCGATGGACCCACGCACTGATAAGGTGGCTGTTCGCGAACCGCTATGATGTATAGTACAATATAGTGTTATTGACCTTTGGAGGCGTGGTGAGGGACCGGGCCTCCGGGAGAAGGGCGGGGGAGCCGTACACAACCCTCAGGTGAGGGAGGAATGTAGGTAAAGTAGTATTATCTCCAGGCTGGGCCAGATGTGGGCCAGAGTGTCATTATTGGCAGCGGTGTACTGAGCCTCAAGTGCCTACCTATCACCTTAGATGCCTGGGAATGTGGTGCTTGGAGAACCAGTGGGGCCATCTGCGAACCTGGCCAGATTACCTGCTTGGCTATATATAACTATTATCAACAAATACTTATGATTTTTTTCTTACTAAAGTACACTCACATACCCAGTTAAAATTTCGCTATCATTACTCTAAGGCCTACGAAGGCAGGACGAGGTAGTGATTGTTCCTGAGAAGTATAGGGGTCTGCACACTACCAAGCCTTGTGGTTGACCTGATCAGCCAAACTGTTTGTTGCTCGCAGTCCGCGGTAGCCTACGCACCACCACCATTGTGGTGGTCTCAAGTTTACCTTGTTCTCTAATTGTGCTTATGGCACCTCCAACTTTTCATTGGATTTATTCTGCACTTCTTACCGTATCTCTTACTTCAGTATATTGTATTGTTACTGTATGAAACCTATCCTTCCAGTATATTCCATTATGCGCAGTGTTAAAGAGCTTGGGGCCCTTTATGTTTAGCTCTTAAGAGTTATCTAGTAACCTACGCCTTTGTTTACTTAGTACACCCCTACTCTTCAATGGCGTTATTTTGGAGAGGGTTTCTGGAGTTCTACTTCCCGAGTCCGGCCAGGGGCCAGGCTCGACTTATAACTTGGTCCATCAGGGTGTTGATTGGAGGGGCCCGCAGGCCCACATATCCACTTCGACCCGGTTGGTCTGGCACTTCTTGGAAGACCCTATCTGCTTTTCTAAGACATTCACCTTTGTTCCGGCAATATTTCTAATGTTTGCTCGAGAGATGCTGGAGAAGACGGGCTGAAAGGGCACCCTACCCCCCTTCCCTATGGTATTTATCAGAAACACTTAAATCAGTAGATATGATTACACTTCACAGGGATACTTAGTTGATGGGGTTCTGGGAGTTGTTCTACTTCCCAAGCCCGGCCCGAGGCCACACTTGACTTGTGACAGTTTGGTCCACCAGGCTGTTGCTTGCAGCGGCCCGCAGGCCCACATATGTAGCAGAGCCTTGGCTAAATACTATAGAACGGTCACACTAACATCCAACATAATTAAAATAGGAATCAAATCTCCAGTTTTATGAAGAACAATGAATTTCACAACCGAGCACTTCCAGCATATCATTTGTGGTGTTTAGCAGCTGAATGCAGATGAGTGACTAATATAGAGACTGACCCCACCCTGTAGCCTGTGTTTCCTGTCACATCTTTTAAAGATTTTACTCCGGTATCCATATTTCACACTCCTTTGTGCGAGTTTGTGAGGGATGCAAGCACAGCCTTTGTCTCATTTATGAGGCCAGCTATAAAGTGGACTTTGGTATACGTCATTTTACACCCAGAATGTTGACAAATACAAAGGATGTTACTGTATTTGTGTAAGTGCTCTCATTAACACTTGGAATTGGTGTTCTGGTAGCGGGCACTGTTTGTGGCCTCTCTAGCATTGGAGAAAGTTTGTGATAATCTTGACATTTTTAGCCGTTCTTCTCCTTTTCCTCTTGCTAAAAAAACCTTCGTTGTATGTTCAGTTGGAGCGGTTTACATTGTAGCGTTCGTGTGGTTTTATTCGACTGGTTCCTCTAAAGTGAAGGTGCTCAAAAAAATTAACATTCTAGCAGGAAGTGCCGGACTAGTTACATTGTAATAGATATGTGAGCATGCAGGTCGCTCCACGCAACAGCCCTTTAAATCAAGTTATCATAAGACAAGTTTGGCCCCATGCTGGGATTGGCGCGTAGAACTCTGGGAGGAGAGCATAGATCGGGCCACTCAACAATGAGGGAAGTAAAACACTGGGAAGGGGTCAGGATAAGGATTTGGGATGGGACGGCGGGAAAGGAATGGTGCCCAACCACTTGGACGATCGGGAATTGAACGCCGACCTGCATGAAGCGAGACCATCGCTCTACCGCCCAGCCCAAGTGGTTGGGACAACACTCTGGAATACACTTGGCCAAGGTTGTTAGACTATAGTTCAGAAGAATGAAGTTCATTGCGAGATCTTGATACCTTCAATAAGAAAACATTAGCCAATTGCATCGAAGTTTTCTGATCAAAGACTTTTTCCGCAACTGGAAGTATGCATCTTAATTTTATCTTGTAGCTCATATAGTCCCAGGTTGTTCTGTTGTGACCAAATTGGCCTCATCTGATTGATGCTTCTAGCATTACCCCTGTGAACTCTCCTTGACAAAGAGTGGTGGCAGTATGGGTGTGGGCGGTGTATGGGTATGGGGGGGCAGGGTATGAATGGGCATGGGCACTGGTGGGCTGGGTAGCCTCACTGGTCGAGGACCTGTCATAATCTTGATAACCCAGAACCCAGCTCCCCGACTTCACCAAGACCTCTACCCCTCAATTATACACAATGTGAACGTTTCACATTTTTTCTCTTCATATTTAGAGTAGACCTAAGCCTGGTTATCTACAGTTGCCTTGCGTGCATTTCGGGGATCAACGTTCCCGCGGCCCGGTCTGACCAGACCAGACCACCTCTTTGATGGTCTGGTTAACAGGCTATGGGATTATATATATATATATATATATATATATATATATATATATATATATATATATATATATATATATATATATATATATATATATATATATATATATATATATATATATATATATATATATATATATATATATATATATATATATATATATATATATATATATATATATATATATATATACACACACATATACACATATACACATATACATACCCATCGAGTCTAACCCGAAATGATAAGATTTCTTCCCAAGGATTTTAAACTTATTTTTTTGGCCAACTAAAACTATATATAATCCCTAGGCCCAATGTATAATATATACAATAATAATCCTGACCTAACTTAACCTTACTTGATACTTAGCCAAACTTGTAAAGTGACTGATGTCGGCCTAATTATAGTACTGTAAGATCGTGTTAAGGCTATTGAGTACATCAACGTCTATGATTAAATGAAAATGTATATAAAATAAATGAAAATGTATATATTTTATTTGGTGTCAATTTCGTGTCACGTGACTGCAGTAATTACAGTTTCATTTCTTGCGTTTAGAGTAAGCCTATGTCGGAATTTGCCTCTTAATTTGAATAACTTTTACATTGGGTTTGCTATTAATTACCGTTAGTCCTACACGAAAATTGTCTGGTGTCCATCACTTTGTCCTCCATCAGACAGTTTGGTCGCTTCCTATTTACACGCAGGTCCCTTCCTGCATTAGCACGGGGGGGTTTAAATGAAGTATGCTTCCGCTCCTTGCTTGTGCGCTCAGCCGAGGTGCCCTTATCCCTAGCCTCTCTCTCTACCTGTTCCTCCTAACCACTTCCCCTTTCCATCCTCGCGTTCCTTCATCCTTTTCTCTCCCTCCCACGCCCTACCTCCCTCCCTCCCATGCTCTTCCAACGATCTACCTCCTGCTTCTACCCATTTGACCCTCCTACCTATGCAGACGAGGAGTCACAGTAACGTGGTGAAGTACTACGGTATATTTTCACCAATACCTAGGTATAGGTAGCCTATGTATAAGGTATAAGTAGCTCCTGTGGTTTACCCGTCATTGGTTTCGATAGTTGTTCTCTCTAACCCCCGGCTGGGGATTAGAATTATCTGATAAACGTGATGGGTAAGGTTGATTGCTTGCAGCCGCCCGCAAGCCCAGATTCATTGCAACTGTTGACCCCACACTCCCTGCAATAATTTATCAAATTTCCCCTTGAAAATTGTTCACTTTTGTTCTTATGTTTGATGGGAGGTTGAGCTGTAGTGTTACTTAAAAGTACTACTACTAAGGTACTAGACTACTTTCTTCCCACTCTCCACCTTTCTTTCAGCACTAAAATGTGTTGTAAAGTTATGTATGTAAAGTTACTTAGCTGTGAACTTGTAATGATTTTATTCACCTGAAATGCAATTATTGTATTATCAACATTATTGAAGCGAGGCTGTTGCTTCAGTAAGTTTGTGTGTGTATATGATGGTGTTACAACTACGGGGGCGTTTTGTACATTGCAGATGGGTGATGACGCAGGAGCAAGGCGTGTCCAGGAGAGGGAGAACTTGCGTCATATTATACAACAGTGGAACGCCAACAGACTCGACTTGTTCGAAATCTCTGAACCAAACGAGGTGAGTACCGTTCATGAACTTGGATGTGCGTCGTGTTTAGTAGTCTTAAGTATGCCGTGAGTTGGTGTTGAATACTACGTCGACTCAAGGTCAAGCTGCGTCGACTCAAGGTTAAGCTGCGTCGATTCGAGGTCAAGCTGCGTCGATTCGAGGTCAAACTTCGTCGACTCGAGGTCAAACTACGTCGACTCGAGGTCAAGCTACATCGACTCGAGGTCAAACTATGGTACTACACTACTTAATCTTCTAGGCTAAGTTCTGACCATTCCGAGGATGTAACACACACAACTGTTGCCAAACTCCCGGGGTGCTGGTTTCCTGCTAGGTGAGCAGAGGCATCAGGTGAAAGGGAACGTGCTCAAACGTCTCTAGATGTAGGTTATCTATGTTTCTGAATATTTCATGAATGGTGCGTTCAGGTATGTAGATTACCCGCATGAGGAGTCTTAGGATAAGAGTTAAGTGCACATGTATGATTGTAGTTTGATTAAGAGCCAGCTGGCTGATTAACACCTCCATGTGGTTATGGTCAGGTTGCTACAGGTGTGGCACCACTGTTTACTACGGGTGTGGCACCACTGTTTACTACGGGTGTGGCACCACTGTTTACTACGGGTGTGGCACAGCTGAGTGCCAGGGGAAGTTACGCGGATGCCATGCTCTGGGAGTAGTGAACTGACATTCATATTATATGACTATGCAGCCACCACTTTCATATCTTATCTCAAGCTGAATGTGGTTGTTTTACTTATCTGTTAGTCCTATACTACCAGCCCGTTCTCGCCAGCGTTCCCAACGTCAACCGGTAGCTAGAAAGACGAGAGCCAGGAGCTGAAGCGCAACCCTACAAGCTTATTTAGGTTATGTGCGTGGTGTTAAGATCCTTTAACAGGGTATCACATTCAGCTTCCCCGCTCTTCTGGTTCGGCTCATTAGTTTTGCATCATCTGCGAACACTGATATGAAGACACTTTCCTCTTGTCGGGTCGTTAATATACACTAATGAAATGATGGGCGCTAACACCTACCCTTGTGGTACACCGCTCGTTACCTCTCCAGTCTGGTATCTCGAGTACTCTCAGTACCCTAATCTTTTACTTTCTTCCCGAGATGTACTCCTTTGCCCATTCGAACACTCTTCAAGATATTACAGGCTGCTGCTGTAACTTAAACAAGAGTCTCTTGCATGTAAGATACAAAACTTCCTGCCTGAGTGTTCCACATGCTTCCTGACAGTCAAGGAATATGCAGTCTGCCCATCCCTCCTTTTTTATTTTAGTTTATTTAGAACTCTTAATAAATTCCTCAAGCAGGATTACCCTTAACTAAATCCATATTGGGGTTTAAAGACAATATTTCTGTTTTGTGTAACGCTGTTTGGATCAGTCTCTAGTAATTTACATGGAATGCCTCTTATATGGTCTGTAGTTCAGTTCTTGTCTTCCCATTGTAAATTGGCCTCACAGTCTGAAAGCTCCCAGCTTTCTAGAGATGAGTCTTAAACTATGTCAAAGGGACTATATAATGCGTCTGTTGCTTCCTTTAATATCCAAAGCGATATCTTGTATGAACTACAGCTTGTCATATCCTGTTGTTATAGTTGTTTCTTGACTACTGCTGGTGTCACTACCATTTCGGCGAGTCATTCCCATGCTGGCAGCTGTTCTGTGAGGGATCTTAGCTCTAGTAGCAAATCATGTTTCAACTTGCAACCTTTCTATTATTTGTACTTATTATTCTCTTTATGGCCGCCGCCTCTTGTGTGTAGCCTGGTCATCTGTTTGTCCAGTATCTTTCTCCTATAGAGCAATTTAGGTTGCTCCTTAGCTTTGGCTGCTTTGTCATTCTCATTAACTTCTCGACAACTAAATTTATTTACTCGTTTCTCGTCCATTTGGATACATAAAATTTCCCTCTGTTCTGTGTTCTCTATATTTTTCCAGTGTCTCTTTGATTCCTTTTGCCTCCATGCACTGTATCAAAGCATGGGCCAATGCTTCTGGTTCAGGTCCATTGTTTCCAAGTCAAGTTTGTCATGATTGAAGTCTCCCATTACTATCTTATCTGTTGTCTCTGTTGTCTCTGTTGTCTCTGTTTCACCCTTGAAGGATATTTATCCTTAAGGGGAAACAAGGTTTTATATATACACTCTGGTTTTATATTTTGTGGTTCTCTGGGAAGTTGTAGATCACAGCTATGACTACTTGGGCCTCGAGGCCTGGTCGAGGACCGGGCCGCGGGGACGCTGAGCCCCGAAATCATCTCAAGATAACCTCTCAAGATAACTTGCTGTCTTTCCACCTGAATGATACCCAAAACAGTCCTAGTTGTTTCAAAGAAACTGGACTACTGGAATGCCTGTTTAATTTGATCAGTGGTGCCACATCACCACGTGTGTGTGTGTGTGTGTGTGTTTGTTTACACACAGTCACATGTCAATTACACACATGTATTTACACACATGCCGCTTAATGTGCATAAATAGTCACCCGAGTTACATTTTCTAATGACGGCGACAGTGTTGTAAAAATAGGCAATATTATAGACATTGCGATATAGAAAGGCATTCAGTAAATGAGCGTACATGAGACTGCATGAGGGAGGAACTCTCATGAACTGGCAACTCACATTTAGTTGCCAGATGTCGGGACGCGCCTTAACTTGGCGGTTGTATGACTGGGTTGACGGGGCACAATTAGTAGCGGTTTGGTCTATTACGGCTCGTCATGATATCTAGTGGTTGCTCGGCTAGCAGTTGCCTTTCTGTTTGAGGATAGCGGCATCTACACGATGCATGTTCACCATTTCTTAAAGATATCTAAATTGATGCAGGCGATGAATCACGATAACGTGGCTAAAGTATGTTGACAATCGACTTGAGAATGGTCCAGGACGGACCGAAACGTCGTCGTCCCTTCACCTTCTAGTGTGGTCTGGTCAATATCTAAATTGATGTCTACTGCGCACTGATAATATTGAGCGCATTTATCCTCTATTCAGTGCTCCTCAGAGCAAATTACGAAAATGGGTTAATGTTTATCTTGAACTGCGACGTTTTTCTCCTGTGAAGTGCGGCCACGTGAAAGGAAATTGTAAATCAGTCATGAATTTCACACTAGATTGGCTGTTTACTTCTGGTAATTTCAACGGTGCCTACTGAATATACTAATTTACGTGTCGTCGTTACGAGGCTAAACCCAGTATCTTTCAGTTTCTGTGTCAAGGTTTGTATGGAATGATTCGGCTGTTAATTAACTATATAATGCCAGCGCTGGGCATTATTATCTGCATTCCAAGTTTCACATTTTGAGAATTTCCTATTAGGCTGTGTCGCAGTGACTGGTGTATAGATCTGTGGCCGTGCTCCTTACCCCCGGGGCGGTAGATCTAAGCGGCATATAACATAACATCACTTGCACACACATTAGTACCGCTCCTGTGCCAGGTGAGTCCACTACGGGCTCTCCATAGCCCGTGCTACTTAGAACTTTTTGTTCCCAGTAGCTGAATCTTAAACAACACCACCACCACTTGCCGATGTCAACAGGGTGTAGGGTGGGTGGGAGCAGCAGTGTGTCAACAGGGTGTAGGGAGGGTGGGAGCACTTCTCACAAAAAAGAAAGTTGTGAGGAAGGTGTTGAGAGGAAGTGCTGGGGTGTACGCCCAGAGTTTCTCCATTGTTGCAGCTTTTGCTCGGTCATTTATTCTTCTGGCGGTGTGCTACTTGTGATGGCTTTGTTCACAGATAGATATTAATCCTTGAAGACGTGATAGGGGACCACAGACTTGTCACAACACATGGTAATGTGTCCCTCCTTCCAACTGTTTCCCCCCCCCCCCCCTCTCTCTTCCTTCTCCCTCCCTCCCCCTCCCTCCCTCCTCTTCCCCCACTGACCCCTCTACAGCATTTCACACACACAAGATCACAAAACACGCGGAACTAACAATTTTAATTATAGCTGGTCTTCACATCGATGCAAATGGTATATTTTGGCAACATTCCCGGAAACTCTCATTAGTCTAAGCCAAGGAAATAATAGATAGCTTATCTGAGTACAATCGTTTTAGATGTTACCAAATAATAGATAAGAGCGCCTGTTAAAGTCTGGCTTAGGATTGGAATACCTCACAAATCCAGCTCCAGACATCTTGTGAGACATAAAACGGAAAATGTGGCAGACTCCGTGATGACAGAATTTCTGGAAACAATTTAGAAGATACCTGTGCAGGCGATGAGTCACAATAACGTGGCTAAAGTATGTTGACCAGACCACACACTAGAAGGTGAAGGGACGACGATGTTTCGGTCCGTCCTGGACCATTCTCAAGTCGATAGGTAGAAGATACCTGCTTGATGGGGTTCTGGGAGTTGTTCTACTCTACCCAAACCCGGCCATGACTTGTCTGAGAGCTTGGTCCACCAGGCTGTTGCTTGGAGCGGCCCGCAGTTACAGAGCTTAAAGATCTATCAAGGGTGCAGCTTACTAAAGATCAATCAAGGGTGCAGCTTACTAAAGATCAATCAAGGGTGCAGCTTACTAAAGATCAATCAAGGGTGCAGCTTACTAAAGATCAATCAAGGGTGCAGCTTACTAAAGATCAATCAAGGTGCAGCTTACTAAAGATCAATCAAGGGTGCAGCTTACTAAAGATCAATCAAGGGTGCAGCTTACTAAAGATCAATCAAGGGTGCAGCTTACTAAAGATCAATCAAGGGTGCAGCTTACTAAAGATCTCAAGGGTGCAGCTTACTAAAGATCAATCAAGGGTGCAGCTTACTAAAGATCAATCAAGGGTGCAGCTTACTAAAGATCAATCAAGGGTGCAGCTTACTAAAGATCAATCAAGGGTGCAGCTTACTAAAGATCAATCAAGGGTGCAGCTTACTAAAGATCAATCAAGGGTGCAGCTTACTAAAGATCATCAAGGGTGCAGCTTACTAAAGATCAATCAAGGGTGCAGCTTACTAAAGATCAATCAAGGGTGCAGCTTACTAAAGA